CTTTGCCGAGCTGGACCAGACGAGGCCTGGCAAGGCCAGCAGCCACAGTGTGATTGTTGCGATGTAGATCTGGCTGGCCTATTACAGTCATGAAATTCTGTCTGACAGTTAATTGCTGTATAAGTAATTGCGATTAACAGTTCAATTACTTTTTTTGTTCAAGCCTAAAGTGGCCAGATTGATTAGCTTACTTGCTTCCTAGCCGTCAGTATTTAGTAGCTCCGAACTGACAAAAACACAGATTACTCATCGCTGTTCTGTAAATGTGTTATAGCATCCAGTAGAATTTTCACATTTGTGAAAGACCTGTGTCAAAATGCGTTTTCTGCTTTCTGTTGTTTATGTGTATTTGCTGCATCCAGTTCACGCTGTTGTAGTGATATCATTTGTAACAACTTTTTTGGGAAAATAATTGCGATTAGGTTAAGCAATTGCAATCAGACATTAATGTTATTGTGACACTTTCTGACACATAATTAAAAGGTCTAGGTGATACAACAGTAATGAATATTGGAAATCTGTTCATATTGATTATATACACTTGGGATATTTTTGCTAAAATTATTATCCTATTCTGTTTCTTAGTCCGGTATTATCAACTTTAACGTACAACGGTTGCCATATCTTCACACTAGGTGGTCATATGTCTCTCTTACTTGCTAGACATTGAGGAAATCTAGCCATTCTCTAGATGTTTAGCAGTCTAGCTGTTTTTGGTGTTAAAATTATAGAGAGAAAATAGTATAGCTGCGAAAAATGAATATTTTGATATTTGATTTATACATGTGAAGTAATCGACTAACAATCAAGGTAAATGTTCCCTGTAACTGTGAAGAGCCATAACAGCAAAATGTATAGCAATGATCTACAAAATGAGGTAGTTAGCTGGCTAATGTATGTAACACTGTGACAGGGCAAGCTGTCAAAAGCTTAATAGGTTTTTGAAGTAGCTGCTAAATACTTCTAATTCATGGAAAATGATATGGTTTAGAGTACACCAGTGACTAGTATTTGTATTATAACATGTGGGGCTTTAGTGATGTTTGTAGGGGTAACATTAGCTCATTCTGACAAATCCCTTACATTGCATACTGCACATACTCAAAGAGTAGTTCGGTTTGTCAGTGCACCAGTACGAGGGAGAGCTAACGGTTACTGACCGCTCTGCTGCTTCAGAATCGACATTGTGTTTTCTGTTACAGTGTCAAAGGTAACGTTGTGCTTCTGTGGAAAGCTAAGTCAGGCTTGTTTACGTCGGCACTTTATCCTTTTATCCACTTTTTATTTGAACAAAATCTTGCAGACTTGACCTTTTTTAACTTTGTGCTAATCGTTCTTTTTCTTTGACTATCTGCTCACAGAGGTGTGACACTGTGAGTGAATTGCTGCCCTCTTGAGGTCGAGTCATTAACTCACTCGAAGTTGAAAATCATTTTGCGAATGTAAACGGATAATCGACAAAGGAAATATTTGTCAATGTTTTTTTATTGTCACCATTTTCAGTAATGCTGAGTAGTTGTCTCAGCCATAAAAACATTTTTTTTATACATACACACATCACATAGAGATGGTTGTGGTGTCAACACATTGCTATTCTGGCACCTCCTTTACCCTCAACTCTGAGGTAATATAGCTGTTGCGGTTCATGAGGCCACGTGGCATGTGCTTGCAGCAAACTTCAGTATGAGTGTGTGATTTTCTGTGAGGGACACGGAGACAAAAGCAGAGCGCTGTGATAGTTTAACTGCTACAGTGTGAAGCCCCTGGGAGTGATCGTCAGTTCTGGATGGAAGGTCTCTTTCGTTCTTCTCCAGAAATGTTTGCTAAACATTCCCTCATGTTCAGTGCTGGGAAAAGTTATGAGCGTCATATTTCTACGTTTGATCATCGTGTTCAGTTCATATGCGCGCCAGCCCCTGCCACAGCCCATCCTGCCACGTTCTATTTCAGTATCTGATGGGCCCACTGCTTCGTTTACTCCTGAGGAATCAGGGCACACCTTTCACTTTGCGCAAAAGTCACAGCTGCTCTACCATTACAGTCTGATTCAGATTTACTGCTGCAGATATAAAGCCAGCGAGGCTGCCTGCTGGTGTAGTTACTAGTGAAATTGTCCGTTCCAATGTTGGATGATTTCTTTCATATTTCTGGTGAATGTCTGAACAGTAACATACATAACTCACCGCTGGTTTAATGGCTGCCGTTCTAATTTCTGCTGCAGCTAAGGGGAATGCTGACTGTTGAGGAGTTTGCCAGAGTGTCTACAATGATCTGTCACTTCTGAGCTCTGGACCTTGTGCATTTTTTTTGCTCCATCAGGCAGGCCTTTGATGGACAGCAAGTGCTGCTCTGTCCTCTGTCTGCTCCAGAACGTGCTGAGGTGACATCTTGATGGCTAATTTGGCCGTCCTTCTATGACCTGTGTCCTTGGAGGTGACGGCCAAAGTATATCCAGATACGCTGAGGTCTTGTAGCTTCGTCCATCAACGTGTCAGGCAGGGAACTGTGCAACATCCACTTGATTTTTTGGCTGCAAAGAAGGGAATTATATATTTTGTTTGTCAGGCTAAATCCGCCGGCCATCTGCAACATTATCTCTGTTTGACGTAACCTTTTTTTTTACGGAAGTCTCCGCTAGAGGATTACACAACATCACTTGTCATACATGTCACGGCTGTGAGCAGAGAGATAGTGTGAGGTCATGGCTACTACCCCAGTTCTCTGTGGTGGGTACAAGGTCTGGCTTTCCCTGTGAGCCAAAAATTGGAAGTGTGAGTCAGAATAGGGTGGTCTGTGTTTTGTAGATTTCCCTTGTGTGATTATGTGTATGTGTCTGCTTGGCTGTATGATTGATCCATGGCTGGGTGTCTGCATGTTTTGCTGGCCTGGTTGCTAGGAGGGAAGGGAATTGACCATCCAGACGCAGATGCACTTTTGAAAATAATGTTGCCAAAAAAGATGATTTGGAGCGATGCCATAGAACAGAGGTCCTCAGCTCTCGACTTGGATATTGTACTTCTTAGGGATGGATTGATACAATTTTTTTCAGACCAAGTACATGTTTTTTAGTACTCACCAATACCATGTCTGATACCATAACAAATTACCGTCAAATAATTATTAAATCTGATTAAATCTGATTTTAAATGACATGCATTAGCTAGCTATGCTACATTAGTTACCTTGAATTGAGCAGTGCTACTGTGGACATAACTGGGTTTTGTTCCAAGTCAGAAAAGCAGCAGTAAGTGAAGTGTGTTTCATAGTTTTGATGCTCCTCATCTGTGTCTTTCAACAACAGTCCAACAGTCTCTACAGCACAGTGACAGAATCGCAGGCTAATGCATCTGAAGAGCTCACTTGTGAAGTTTTACATCTGAAGTCTTTTGAGCTGTAGCTGATGTAAAAAGCCAAACATACATTTGTTCTTTGGTGACCTTACACTTTACGTTTGAATAGTCCATCGTTTGCAATTTATATACTCGCACTGTAGGAAAACGCTCCGTCCATGCTACAGGAAACGCAACCTCTACAGACAGCTTTGTTCATGAACAATGTCAAATAAACCTGTTTCGTTTAAAATAACATGCTAGGTGCTGAGCACTGAGCAAACACTGAGAAACTGAGCTACACTGCTGCTTATCCTGTGCACTGAAGCCAAAAGCCAGACGTGTATGTAAAAGACAGGACAATACAGTCTCCCTACAGCCTGTTTTACAAAAACAGTTTAAAAAAATCTATGTTTATAGAATGGGATGCAGCTGCACATGGGCCACGTCCAGCATCAGTACCTGATCTCACTAATGCTCTTGTGTCTGAGTGCAATCAAATCTTCACAGCAATGTTCCAACATCTAGTGTAAAGCACCTGCCTATTGGCCATCAAGAATCATGCCTACCAGTCATTAAAAAAATACTAGACCAGAAATCAAATGGAGCAAGTCTGGAGTTGAATACCTGTCATAATAGAACCACTTTTTTGGTTCCTTTACAGAACCATGTATGTAAATGAGATGATGTGAGTGTGAAGAACCTTTTTAAAATCCAAAGAACCTTTACATAATGTAAGTGTTCCATACCAGCAGCACTGTACATCCGCGTCAAGAACCTTTTAGGAACCTTTATTCACAACAGTGTGAACAGGGCAACTCAAAGTGATTTGCCAAGGAATTTGTTTACTTGTGGTGGGGCTACAAATAACTGCAGGGTTTTTATACACACCAAAGTGCTGCTTCCCCTCCAGGCAGCCGTACAACACAAACAGGCCAGAGGGGAAAGAGTGGATTCTTATTAAAGTAGCTCCTACACGTGTTCCATCAGTCCACATGGCTTGCATTACACTTTGACTCTCTGCTAAGCTCTTCTCTTGCCGTTCAGCTGCTCTGCTCAAACTGTTCAATTTATGTTTGACTTCAGGATCTGTCTCTTTGTCCACAGTGTGGACGGTTTCTCTAGAAGTATCAATCTCTTAACCACCGGGCCTGTTTCCAAGCAGCTGAAAAATGGCCCTCAAATGTAAATGAACGGCAACTGCAAGTGCACAAGGTTTGGGTGTAGAGTTATGGATGCTGCTTTGAATTTCACTACTTGGGAAGATTCAGCAGCTGAGGTATTTGTGCTGTAGGGATAGACGTCTCCGCAGAATTGCTGTGTGACAGCAAGGAAAATGCTGGTCATTATCTCCTCGGCCTGACTGGCTTTGAAAAAGAACATTTGGGGTGAATAGTTCCAGAACTCATGACATTTTAGCCTTCGTCTCCTCCAGATGTTACATCATTATAGCCACACATAATAGATACAGTGTCCTCATCTGGTTTGTGCCAGGATTGTTTGCTCTTTGCCCTGGCTACTGCATTATGTGGATACGATTGCAAATTGAAGTTGGACAATTGAAGTGGGCAATTTCTAACTTAGTGTTTTTCTACAAATCAAAATTTGTTTAACCTCTGCTCATTTGTTTCATTTTTCATCAACAGTCTTGTTTTCTTTTTCTTTTCCCAGGCCTTTGGAAACGCAAAGACCGCACACAATAACAACTCGAGCCGCTTCGGCAAGTTCATCCAAGTGAATTACCAGGAGAGCGGCACTGTTAGAGGGTGAGAGCACTGCTGTCATGTCTCTTTGCCTTTTTGTCATTTTTGTACGGTTTTTGAACTTTTACTAATCTTAAGCTTTTTCTATTCCAGCGCGTATGTGGAGAAGTACCTGCTAGAGAAGTCCCGGCTTGTCTATCAGGAGCACAATGAAAGGTAGGGGCCCTTACAGCAACAGTACCTCATAGAGCTGAGCAATATAATATGTTATATATGTTATAATATATATATATATATATATATATATATATATATATATATATATATATATATAGAGAGAGAGAGAGAGAGAGAGAGAGAGAGAGAGAGAGAGAGAGAGAGAGAGAGATTTTTTTCAGTTTATTTTGTTTTTTTGTTTCTTATGGTTTAGTTCATGACACCCAATCAACAATGCTGAATCACTGCATGTTGTGTTGATGTGTAAATCTTTATATCAAATTAAAAGTAGCAGCACGTTTTACAGGTTGATTAAAATTCTGGGTGATGATCTGCCAGAGTATACAGTTCTATAGTGAACTAATCAAAGCCCCAGATCTTTACACACCCATCTGTACCACTATGTAGTGGAAGGAAACGTGTCTATCTGCTTGTAAATTTCCACCAGGTGCATGATGGGGAATAATCTCAAAAATCTAGTTGCAGTCTTGTAAATAGTGACACTACAAGATTCCTAGTCTTTACAAAATCACAGTCTGTGACTAAAAAACATAACACCGTCTTTAGATGTGAGAGGGTGTCAGACTTTAGTCTTTCAAAAGTCTTTTTTTAAAAGTCTTCTAGCGTATGGTCAGCATAAGAAGAGCTATTTTGTTCCTTTCAGCAAAAAGCAAACCACCTTGTGGGCCACAATATTTTATATCCATATGTCCATTTTGCCGTCTTGGCTGTAAATATGTCTCAGTATGTTTTAATGTGTTAGTATTTGCTAACAAATTTAAAATGAACAGTCTTCTTGTTTGAATTTTCCCATTCCACCTTAAACAGGAATGGGAAAATGAGAACAAGAAACTGACTTCAGCTTTGTGACTTTAGTGTATGACAGTTTCTTGTTGCAGATTAAACGTATCGGGAGTCCAGCTAGAGTGCTTATAAATGCAGAAGTCCATTCGTCTCCAAATTATCCGTGTTTGATTTTAAAACTCTCTCTTTGCCTGTTGGTTGGCTACTAGCTAGGCAAGACTGTTGTCTGCGTTGCTGTGTATGTGACCATCAGTCTGCGTGTCAATCTTTAGGTTGGTGAATTAGCAGTTATACATTAACTGCAGTGACTCCATTTATTGTTAAAACTGTGTTGAACGATCAGCAGAGCTTCATTTTACTGTAAAGGAGGATTATTTAATTTTTACCTAAAAATCTAATTCTGCTGTGGAGCCACAACAGGGCAGTAACAGAGCCGCATGTGGTCTTTAGACCAATTCTAAAGGATCTGTAAGCTACAACAACCGTATAGTAACCGCATCATTTTTCTTAGCCAAACACAAAAGGAGCAATGAATTAGTATTACATAAACTAAACCCAGTACTTTAGTTTAGCTCTGATATAGTGGCAGCAGTCAAAATAAATCCACTTTTTGTGTATGAAAGGTCAACATGTGGGAATGATTGCACCACACAGGATGATTGTGTTGAAGTTATCACCAAATTTAGACATATAGCAGCTTCCTGGTCACACATACGAGAGATCCCACTCCCGGCAGTCCACAATTATTGGAACCGCTAATCTCCTCAGTTTTAGCAGGTCGGGACATTGAGAGCTTGTGAAGGAATCAACGGTTCTTGCATGCCAGACCATAATTTCCTGGTGGTGTGGAGTTTCAGACTGATGACAGCAGAGACAACGGTCATTGGTTCATTTCAAATTCGAGCTGACACTTGGAGAGACCTCCCAGACTAAGTTTCATGTCTGGGACCTTGTGTAAACTCCTACTAGAGAGCATTACGGAGTCAGCAGTGATTTTCAGGCTGATAAGAGCTGTAGAGTTATGCATTTCTTTTATACCTTTTCATATCTTTAGATAACGATTGCATATGGCATAATAAAACTACTCTGTCTTATATTCTTATATCCAGGAATTCTGCTGTGACAGTGAGATACCCAGTCGCTGCCATTTTCAGTTGACCTCTGTTCCCTCCCACACACATAACATGCACTATTCTCCTTTTTCTTTTTGACCTTGTCTTCTTCTTGTCTTCTGTCCTGGTTTTTCTCTCTTTTTCTCCACTTTCTATGAGGCTTTGTGTTTGCGCTGAGACTTAGGGGTGGGCAATATGATGATATGTTAGTGTTATTGCATAACAAAAGCTTTGCAGTACACAATACATCTCTGGTATTGGCAGTACTTGTAGAAGACTGGCAACTGCATGCTTCGTAAAAGTAAGGAGATTTAGGCCTGCTCTCTATTTTTTTTTTGTTTACAAAAAAGTGATTTTAAAAATCTTGCCATCAATATGAGAATGCAAAAACAACCCTAAAACACTATCATGGGCATTTTTTTATGTCAAATGAGAGCATGCATATTGTGCAAAACATAAAGACAAAGCTGAAGCAAAATTTATCAACAAAGTGAGAGCAGCGTGTTGTAAACACAGTGTTTAACTTTAGCAGACCTTAATGTAATTCAAAATCCCTTACAGAGTCTGTTAGATTTCTGCCAGCAAATAAAAGCTTAAAAAGCTACGCAGCTGTTTCTGAAATATCCAGCTCTAAAACGCCCACAACTCCATTTGAATTATAGAGTTAGGAATTTGATAGCAAAGCTGATGGTTTTTAATGATCATTAAATAACATATTTTTAGAACCTTTGAGAACATTCATATATGCTTCCTTACTATAGTGTAATGAAAATTAAAGCCGTTGTGAAAATATTAACCCCCACACAGAAACAGTTCAGACGTATTTTAGACAGAGATCTGCATGCGCAAAAAATAAAAACAGCAATGAAGCAGCAAATGGCTTGGTATCATGTCATACATATAATGATGATAAGGGCTGTAGTGTTTGAAGATGACTTCCAGAATTGTAATATTTCATTTCTGCCATATCACCCACCCTAAATTCAGAAGCTCATTCTTGTGTGCATGTGTAAGTCTATGTCATCACTCTCAGAGTAAACCTTTTATAACTTTATAATTTTTGCTTTTTTTTTGCTATGTATTCATTTATTTCATTATTTATTTTATCATAGTCTGAAAATACCAGTTTCTACGCTGTCAAAATCCAATCCAAATGGTCAAAAATCTATAAATAAAATAAAATCTAGTAACATTTGCGTATACTAAAAGTTAAGATTTGTTTTTTGCTTTTCCTGTAAAGTTACTTTAGGAGACACGAGGTGTTCGTGAATGAGTTCTGATACTGCTTCGGTCTGTTTTTGAGATGAATTGCTGACTGCAGGCTCCCACTGCTGTGTGAGGGACTCCCTACAGCTGCAGCCCCTCCATGACATTTGACCTCCAGCAACACACCCTGCGCACTGACCTCCGCTGGGAGACATTATGCACTCTCATAGCTGTATATGAATGCCAGTGGAAAATGGGCCTGTGTGTCTGTGTGCATGTTTGTTGTCGTTGACTCCAGCTGTGTTTTTCCTTACAGGAACTACCATGTGTTTTACTACCTGCTGGCGGGCGCGAGTGAGGAGGAGAGGACGGCATTCCACCTCCGAAAACCTGAAGAATACCATTACCTCAGTCAGGTACGGCCTGCTGCTCACTGCCCAGCCCCGCTTTACTGCTGACCCAGCAAGCTGAGAGGGTGCCAAGCCTAGAGCTGCACAATATGCGCAAAATCCCATATTGTGATTATTTAATGCAGCAAATGATTATGATATGCCTTACAATATATTAAAAAATAGTGAGCCCTTAATGTGGCATGGTTAAAGACATGATTGGCCAATTGCTGCTGAATGCATGTTCTGATTTTGACTGTTTCTGATCAATATCCCCAATTTTGAAAAAAAAAAAAGTATTAGGTAACACTTAATATGAACCCTACTACGTAACACTGACATAACCGTAAACATGTCCTGCCAGATATCTTATGCTGTCATGAGTTGTCATGACAAATTTTAGTCATTTATATGGATCATTCTACCAAATTGAATCAAAGAAAGTCAAAGAAAAATTCCTTATGGACTTTTAACTTACTTGGGCTTTAAACTAATTCTTTTTCTTTCAATGACCCTATACCTTAATTATGGTTATTTTATTAAACAAATGATTGAACATGAGATTGGATACCACAACATTCATAACACGGAATTACGGAATGTTTTGGTTGTGACAGTTTTAGCAAATTTTTTGCATAACTCAAAAAAACTAGCCAGTACATGACTAACAAACACAGCTTTAAACAGTTGGACACACATAAAATCATACTATTTTCCAACAAAACAAAAAAAATACTTTGCAAAAGTATTTGCAGAAAATATGTGTTTCGGTACTGACAGTTCTTAAGGTTACACACTGATTTTTAGACTTTGGGACACATTTACTTCAAAACAATGGGATCTAACAGCTTCCTGTGTGTCCATTATGGACAGTCTGGAAAGTCTTAATTTATCAAAACATCCAGAAAAGCTCATCTTAAATGTTCAAGGTTTGGTCAGGATATTAGCGACATCCACAAAAACTCTGTGATTTGTTAGCTCACTCATTTGCATATTGCAGCCATGTGGGATTTCAGTCTGGCTATTTCGGTATTGCGATATAATTAGCGCATCATATATTGTGCAGCCCTAGTCTGGCCTGAACAGAAGTGCACTCTGTACCATTTGTCCTCTCTTGCTGTGCTTTATCTGTGAAATGCAGTAAACACAGAATAGATACGGTTCTGTTTCTGACAACTGGACAGCAGCAGCGCTTTGTGACTGTGCACATGTGGAGCGTTCTTTTGTGTGTGTGCGTGTGTTTGTGTGACTTCATGCGTGCATCAGGCAGCTGTGTGCAGTTCTCCGAGGCCCGAACGGGCTGCGTCCACACTCACTCTCACTGACAAACAGGATGGAGGGGAAAGCGGTGTGCCTAGGAAATGGATTCCATTGTTCATTCCTTTCAGCTGCTCCTATAGCCTCGCACACAGAGCCGCTCTACAGACTAATCCCCTCTGACAGAAAGCAGCTCTGTGCTCTTAACCTACTCCCTCATTTCCATAACACAGCCCTGTTGTGTCCACTTTGTTTTACCTTCTGTGCCTTGTCAGTGTATGTGCATGTGTGCTCTCTTGTGTGTTGGCGTCTGTGTTTGTGTATTTGTGCTGAATGATACAGAGAAAACTCAATATAATGATATTTTTCAAACATATCATAGTCAAATGTGTCAAATATATCATGGTATCAGATGACATAATGTATTAATGTAATTTATTAATGAAACCAAAATATTACCAAATTTAATGAACCCATGATTCTTAAGAACTGCCACTCTATTCTAAAAAGAATGTCCTAAAAACCAGACATAAAATACTGCGTAAAACTCAGAGACCACCGTTCATTTATTTACTTTCATATCCCAATTACAGATTTAGACTCAGCATTATATGAAATCTTGCTCTCCATCTCAGATGTCCAGTTTCAGTGTTCTAGTGCAGATTTTTTCATTTGTTTTGTCTGTTTCCTTTTCTCAGTAACAGTTGACAGCTGCACATCCTTTCTGGCCCATAACAATGAGTTGTAGTGGTTTGATTTACTCAGTATATCTAAATAATTTTTTTAATGTTTTAAATGTTTTTTTTTCTCTTTTTTCTTTGACTTTCCTCTTCCTCATGCAAGTGAATTATCTTATGTCTGATCTCATCAGAAGTGTCTCCAGAAAAGTGAATAACATACTTTATGGCTGTTTTAATGAGAAATTAAGTAAATGAAGGGTGGTATCTGACTTTTGGACAGTACTGTTGCTTTCTTTGTTTGAACTGATTTGTTTCTGTTTTGCTTCTGTTAAAATTACACCAAAAAGGAACCTAAAGTTCCATATAGGCATTTTATTATTTTTCAGCTTTGATGTTTTTTGCATTGTTATTTCAAAACAATCTGAAGCACCCAGTAAATGCCATACGGTGCACTTTTTTTCATTCATCTATCAATACTATCAATACAATCAGTATTGCTGTGTGACACCAATACCAAAATATTGATGAAATGTCTATAGTATATTTTGCCAAACACTCAAATTCAATATTAATAACCTGTTACATTTGGTGTGTTTGTGTGTCACATTTCATGCCCCCTGATATTCTTGGCCATCTGGCCCACAGTTCTCAGTCTGTCCCAGTAGTGCACTGGCTGGCAGCCTTTAGTTTATACACTTTTCACACATGCTCACACACTCTTGCACGCGCTGGCTTTCCAAAGCCATGTGACGATCACTGGCCTGGCCCCCTGGGCTCAGCGCACAGAGGCCAGTGTGTACTGGCCCCAGCAGAGCTAACAGGCAGTCTTTTCATGGCCTGCTTGTCTGCCTACTGGCAACACAGAACAATACGTACTACAGTCGCACATTCAGTCAGGGAGAACTAGCTTTCCAATCGCTAAATATCTTTCTAAATATGTTTTCTCTTAAATGGTTAGCTGTGGAAAAGTAATCTTAAGGAGATTTATGCCAAAGCTGGACTCTTCCCCGGAAAACAGCCGGCGTGTTTAGAGGTTTAGAGGTGTTTAGATGTGAATTCCAGTCATTTTTCCCAAGTGCCCTACAGAGTTAGAGTCTTCCATATCAAATGAACCTCCCAGGGCCGTGCGGAAATGTGGAGAATTTCACAAGTTATACTCAGAATTGCATATGCAGTCACATATACTGCCCTACCGAGGTGTCCACTGAATACATACCATGGACCCTCTTTCAACAAAAGCCAGTTCATAGGTGTTTTCAACCCTTAGGCCTTATATGTTATTATTACCACCCAGCAACTAAGTAATTAGTTTCGATTGATCACATTATTTAGTGTAGTCGATCTCGACTAATTGCATCTGTTTGTTTTAATTGTTTTCTGTTTAAAAAGCAGTGAATTTTGTTATAGGCCAGTTATATGAATGCGCAGCTTCAACCGAATGTATTTATTACTTTCAGTCATTCAGAAACTTGATATTCATCATGTGAACCATGAACATGGAAATTACGTGGTTTCCTGGGCGCAGCTTCCAGTTTTCAACACTAGCATTGTAATAAGTAAGCCAGTTCTGCTTAAAGGGGAATTCCATAGATTTTTCAAATGTACGTGTAATCAAAGCATCACACTGTAAACAAAGTCATTCAGGATGGTATGGCATGAAATTGCACAATTTAAGATTCTGAATTTTTCACGGTGGTGATACAAACCAGATGTTTAAAAGCTACCCCAAGGACAGTTTTTGCATGGTATGATTATAAAAATGCTGCTGGGTGCCGTAGACATTGTTGTATGGTAGTTTTGGGAGGAGATTTTGGTCTGTAACATATTTTTTTTTTAAATACGTTAATGAAGAAAATACATTTTTTTCAAATTTAACACAATTTTACCATTATCAGCATTTATAGTTAATAAAATGCTCATATTTGTGTTATAGATATCTCGGTTTTCATCACCTCCACTATAAAAAAAATCTGAGTCTGTACTTTTCTTTACAATGCATAATCTCACATCAAACCACTCTGAATGGCTTTCCTTACATCTCAGTGACCAAATTATACAGAAACTTTGAAAAATAATTGGAATTCCCCTTTTACTCATTCAAACTCTTCAGTGTCCATCTCAGGCCACTCTCCTTATAATCCCATATACATGTGTGGAGGTTGTTTTTTGTGAGCCTGTGTCTGAGTGAGTTTTATGTGTATTTTAATGCATGTTCTTCTGTCTTCCTACTAAAAACAGCATGTCTTATGTACTCAGAGTGTCTGTGTGCCGTCTGTGGAGTGTTGCCTAACCCCATCTACCTTACCTTACTTCCAGATGAGAAAGAAACCTCAGAGACTGCACTGGGAAAATTACTATGAGAGCGAACCGGTCAGTATTTTAAACCGTGTGCGTGTGTGTGTTGTGGTGCTGTAGGGACACGGACCGAGGGCTTCCTCACAACCCCTTTTTCCGTGGCGCTCACGTCACACAAGACACTGCTCCCATGCTCTGCGTGATTTGTGTGTTATCCCAGCGGCTGTCTGTCTGTCCTCTGGGCCGTCTGAGGCTGTTTGTCTTATTTGGTCATTGTGCTGCTCTGTGTATTAAAGTGTGTTTAGCTGATGCTGTTGCTGGCTCCACAGACTGGACGCCCTCCGAGGCCCACAGACCCACACCCATACACCCATTTATAGTGTGAGCACTCGGAGCATCTCGGTCAGATCCTTATCTGCCTGCAAACACTCAACAAGATAAAATGAGCGTGATAAGCAAGAGTACACATATGCTCTTATTTGCATTGGGAGAGTTTTGCTTGCTGCAAATGTACACATGTTGACATAGCCTCGCAGTAGCCACTCTGCACTTTCCCCTCTACCCTCCTTTTGTAGAACGGTGGGCTGGATACAGTGCTCTGGAGCTGCTCTCCACCACTGGGGAATGCATGAAATTAGTGATAGTTTGGCAAGAAAAATTGAATTTATAAACCTCAAATGTAGTTGATGTAGTTGAGTGTCTGAAGTTCACGGTTTTGGTTTCACACTGGAGCTACAAGGCTAATGTAACTAAGAAGTAAATTTACAAGTTTATATAATGAACAAGAGCAGAAAAAGAGTGGATGATGTTCAAGATGCCCTCCACTAATGCTTTTAGACGTGCAACAATCTTCTGTCCTGTTTTTATAGATACTGTTGTATCAACATGCAGGGCTTCGACACATCCTGCACACTTATAGGCTAGTTTACCAAAAAAAAATGGAAAGTAAGAAAAGTAATAAAACGTCCTGGAAAAGTGTGAAGATGTGTTTTAAGCCTCTAGATGCTTATTTTGCTTATTTTTCCAAGTTGAGTATCTACTTGTACTCATGGTTAGTGTTGCACTGAAATGGATACCATACTGGTGTTGACCCAGATACTGGCACTTAAATACAATATCAGTATCAGCAGTCGAGAATACCAATACCATGAGGCAATTTCTGGTTTGCACATGTGCTATTAAATGATATCAGCACACGTGCCAGTAGATGGAGCTTAACTGAAGCAAGCAACATGTTGGTAGTGTAGAAAATGGTCTTTTTGCAGATTGCAAAATCTGTAATGCCTGTATTTGTAGGGGAGGCATGACCAACAAGCATTTACATTAAATTTCATTACGTATTTAAAAATTATTTAAAATTTAATTAAGCATTTAAACAAACTTTGCCAAATAGCACTTATCATACCTCTAAAACAAATGAGATGTTATCCAATCAGTAACTATTTGTTACACAGAACACTGTGTTTACCTAAATTAAATATTAAATGATTTAAATATTTGGATTTATAGTCACCCGTGGATTAGTAAAGTTACATATTCTTAGCAGTTGGTATTGGTACTGATATTCGAGTATCAAGTATTGGAAGGAAAAAGTGGTATCGTTCATTCCTACTTATGAATATTGAGTGTTGCATGTGAAAAGGCACATGGACTCTCTGACCTCTAATTATTTAGCTGAACTTCAAATGATAAGTGGTAGCAGAACGCTTTGTGTGAGTGTGTCTTTGTGTCATTCCGTCTGTAAGAAGTCATTAGTATCAACTTTAATGTTAAGAATGTCAGCAGTTGTGCTGGAATTTTAAGAGGCCTTTCGTGAGCAACAGCTGTTGAGTCTATAAGTCATGGAAATTGTGCTGGAATTTGGTCAGGAAAGTCCTGGAAAATGATTTCCTGAATAGAGTAGTAAGCATGTAGTGTCAGACACCACATAAGCACGTCTATTTGAGATTCCTTAACAACTTGACACACGGTGAAAGCTTCTTTTACTCGTTAGCTATGTTTGTAGCTCCAGTGCAAGACTAAGGAAGTAAGTTCAGACCCCAAAACATCAGCTACATTTGGGATAAGAGGAAAATAGATGCTTTGCTTTCAATTTCGGTTCTGTTATAGTCCCTTTTTACACACAAAGTCAATGACCAAAAAGGCATTTGTTCAGTGGTGTTGCTTGGTGGTGGGGTTTCAAGTCCTTAGGGGCCCGTGGACCCTTTCTGTCATTCATGAATGTGAATAATTCTACGCCCATGACTGCATCAGTGCTTATCAAATGATAATCTAAAGGTAAGTGATGTATCCTTGAGCTAGCATGGAATGTTGTTGGGATATCCACGGAAATAAGGAGCCTGGTGAATTCCCGCTCATGCAAACCACTGTTCCGCAGTAGCTGTCATTTCACTTCAAGTCAAAACCGTAAAACACCTTTCTATAGCCGTGGATTTATTTTGCTTGGGATAGCTTGTAATATTTAACATAAGGAATTGTCCTTTTTACATTTCCTACACTGGAAACGTGAAAGGAGGAAAGCAAACAGGCTGGAGTCGGGTCTAACCGTAGGGCTGGTCGGGTTTCAGCGCTGTTTGCCTTTCCATTGCTCTGGTATGCCATAATTATGGCATCAGCGGTGGAGCTAGGCGATGAAGGAGACACTGTCTCATTAAAGGGAGGACATGTGTGTAAATTTGCCCATGTTTTCCTGAGCAGTTTCTCTGCCAGCTCTGATATTCTGCTGTAAATGACAGTTTTCCTCTTGCAGGATCTCTCCCTTCCAGTGTGTCCTATATAGTTTATGATTAGGCTAAGGTCTGGAGGAAATGGCAGCTTTAGCATGTGCTCAAAAACCAACTGTGAAATTGACATGTAGCTGCACGATATATCGTTTGTTTATCATTATCATGATATTGGTCTTTGCAGTACCAGTATCACTGCAGGTTATTTTAAATGAGCTCATAACCAGTCATGTTTTCTTTACTTTGTGCTGTGAATATCTTGACCAATCACAGTCCCAAATGAGTGTTTCAGTGGGTAGAAGAATCAGAATATTTGTGTAATATAACAAAAGTTGATTACTAGGAGATCACCCTTCATTCATTTAATTTCCAGTCAACATGGCCATTGAGTTATTCATTTTTAGGAGATATTTTTAAAGAGATTAGAGCCGTGCAAGACCAGGAAGACCACCAAAACTGTCACCATCAGATAAACAGCACTTACAGCTTTCATGTTTACGGAAGAGGAGAAAATCAAGCTGCTTCGGATCTGAAAAAAAATCCCCAGCTGTTTCTGTCCATCCTTCCACTGTGAGAAGACGACACTGTGGGTCTGAAAGGATGTGTAGCTGTCATGAAACCACTACTGAGAAAAGGATATTCATGCAAATAAACAAAGAAGCTGCTGATGTTCTCAGAACAATGGACTGACCACCTCAGAGCCCAGACCTCGACATCACTGAATTTGTTTGAGATTTTTTGGAGCAACAGAAAATGCAACCAACTTCTGTGACTGAACTTTAGAGGTGTGGAAAAATATCCTTAAAGGGCATTTGACTGAAAATGAATAAATGAAGGGCGGACTCTAACGTTGGCATGGTACTGTATTTTGGTCAAAATAATGCAAGAGAGTCTTTAATTAGGGACAGACAGTATTTCGATATGTATTGTTATCATGTTAACCTATAGTCAGAATATCAGAATTTCTGAGTGTGTTACGGATGTCATCAGTAGTTAAAGAAACACAAAGAAAATAATTAGTCCTGTGTGATTAAATTTATACTTTTCTGATGGATTTTCCTCTGTTCCAGCTTATCAAACCTCAGGGAAGCTAAATAATGTGATACACATTGTGTATCATGAAAATGTCTGTCTTCTTGTTAAATGTTGCCATATCGCCCACCACTATCTTTACCTGTGTCACATTATTGTGTCAATAATGCAGTTTTCATACATTGCAAAGTGTGTTGCCACTTGCAGTATATGGTAATGTAGTTGCAACACTAAAATTTTGTCCATATTGTGCATTAATAAGAGACAGCTGCAATTGCCACATGTTACTAATGTTGGGCTCCAAGCCATGAGATATCAAGCTGGCATATATTCCCCATTGATCTTCAACATGTGGTACTTCTTTTGATAGGTGTAAAATCAATCACCCTGAATTTACAGCCTGACTTTTCCTGTACAGATTGCCTTATACTGCAGGCCTGGCATGCATCATGCTTCTATCTGCTCAACTCCCGTTTGATGCGATGAATTAAGTCATAAATTGCTACTTCTCTTATTACTTTTGTGTGTGTGCCAAATTTCCATGGGGAATGTAAAAAGCCAAGCGTTCTGAATTTTCCACTGCATGAGCAGAACCTGCATATGCTACCATTCACCAGGCCCCTTATTTGCAACCAGAAAAAATGTTGCCACTCCAGCTCGTTTGACCAAACTTCATAATGACATGGTGCTCTGAGTCACTCGGCCTGGCTCTGTCATGCTACTGTTCCGTCTTTGAGCACCACCGCACTATCAGCCGTGAGAAAGAGTTCAGGGAGCTTTCATGTTAACACGTCTGCTTATCACCGGTTATCATTGTTTGTTATCTGGTGGTTCATATCTGAGTGCTGGCATGGCAAGCCACTTAAGACACATGAATGTAGCATCTACGTTTCATGAAAGTGCATGCATGAGCTGCAGTGCAATTAGGGCTGTCACGATTAATCGTTTATATAGGTGTATATATAATTTTTTTTTAGTAATGATCAATGATAATATTGCATCTTTACATTCTAAACTGGTTTCTCTTACAATGATAAACAGCCTGGTGGATTCACCCATTTACACCGATCATTCATAATATTATGACCACCTCCTTGTTTCTACGCTCACTGTCCATTTTATCAGCTCCACTTACTATATAGGTGTAGTTCTACAGTTACAGACTGTAGTCCATCTGTTTCTCTGCATACTTTGTTAGCCCCTTTTACCCTGTTCTTCAGTGGTCAGGACCCTCATGGACCCTCACAGAGTAGGTACTATTTGGGTGGTGGATCATTCTCAGCACTGCAGTAACACTGACGTGGTGGTGGTGTGTTAGTGTGCGTTGCACTGGTCTGAGTGGATCAGACACAGCAGTGCTGCTGGAGATTTTAAACACCTCAGTGTCACTGCTGGACTGAGAATAGTCCACCAACCAAAATATCCAGCCAACAGCGTCCTGTGGGCAGCGTCCTGTGACCACTGATGAAGGACTAGAGGATGACCAACACAAACTGTGCAGCAGCAGATGAGCTATCGTCTCTGACTTTACATCTACAAGGTGGACTGACAAGGTAGGAGTGTCTAATAGAGTGGACAGTGAGTGGACACAGTGTTTAAAAACTCCAGGAGCACTGCTGTGTCTGATCCACTCAGACCAGTGCAACACACACTAACACACCACCACCACGTCAGTGTTACTGCAGTGCTGAGAATGATCCACCACCCAAATAGTACCTGTTCTGTGAGGGTCCATGGGGGTCCTGACCACTGAAGAACAGGGTAAAGGGGGAAACAGATGGACTACAGTCTGTAACTGTAGAACTACATAGTGCACCTATATAGTAAGTGGAGCTGTTAAAATTGACAATGAGTGTAAAAACAAGGAGGTGGTCATAATGTTATGCCTGATCGGTGTATGTGTCCAGTTTGAGGATGCTGTTTTTCCAGTGGAGTTCAGTTATTGTATTCAGCTGTTGTTCAGTTAAACCTTTTTTACTGTATGACTTCAAAAAAAACATAATTAATCATCAGAGTAATTACTAGAGTACTAGAGTTAGATTACTAACAGTGTCAGCCCTAAATGCAATGCTGTGCAGTAAACTAGAATTGTGGCACATAAATCCACCTATGTGTGGACCTCACATTGTGGTAAATGTTTAACTGCTGGTGACTCCTTGCTCCTTGCTGTTGAAACCAGCAGGATTGTTTCACAGTGGAAGGGGAGGATCTGAAGCACGACTTTGAGAGGCTGCAGCTGGCTATGGAGATGGTGGGGTTCCTACCCGCTACACGCAAACAGTGAGTCCACCAACAATCTGCTCCCCAAATGTCTCTCTTCCTCTCTGCTCATACTTTGCTGCTCGCAAACATGACGGCTTTCTCATGCATGAATGGTGCTTGGAGGATAAACAAACACAATTTGCTCATCTTTGCTGTTCTAAGAAAACTTTTTTTTTTTTCTTTGAAGTGGTAACTTTATAGTAGAATGGAAAACAAGACCTCAACATCTTTTATTGTACACTCAGCACAGTGATTATTGGTACCTTTGATAAAGATCAGAATTTGTGATATTTCAATCTTTAAAGACCCCCCACACTCCTCTTGGATGGCTTGTTACGATTATACATACTGATGCTTGTGTCAAACGTGTTACCATAGTGCGGAGTTGACATGTTTCCATTGAAAACACAGTCCTCCTCAGTACGTCCGACTTATTACATAGCAGCTTAGTTATGTATGTTGCAAATGAACTTGAGGCTGTTACAGTCTTATATACTAAAATATGCTAATGAGTGGCTTATGAGAAGCAGCAGAAAGCTTTCCTTTAGCCAGAGAACATGTCTGCGCTAATGTAGCTTACTTGTTTGAACTGTTTGGACTGTGCAGTAAGCTGTTAGATAAAATAGACAAATGAATTTGGTATTTAAAAATATGATTGATTTAAATATATATTCCAGATCTATCCGATAAACTGTCAAATAAAGGTGTAGAGCTGTAGCAGGTAGCACTGCTTTAGCATGGTGCAGGTGTGACTTCAGCTCACTGGAGTTCCACTGAACATTTAGAGGCTAAGGATTCATATCTGAGGGACCATTCCTATGTTTTTTGTGATTCATAATCTAAGCTCATATTGGCTCTTCACACTCTCCTCCCTAGCACAGGAAGCTAACATTAGCTTAGCGAGCAACCTAAAACATTTTACATGCCACAATACAGGTTCAATTACAGTTCACTGATGCCTCATCCTGCAAGTTTAGAGGATAAAGACTTAAATCTGAGGGAGTGAATCTGTGGAGCCGTTATGTAAGCTAATCTTGTTTCGCCACTCTCTTAGTATGCTAAATGCGTGGAGGGGTTTGGAAACCAGGAGGCAAAAGGGGGGGTGTTTGCAGGTTGCATCATTGTGCATATTTATAAAGGTTCACATTTGTAATGTTGGTCAAATTTTAGAGAAGCTTTTAATGAATTTTTAGTTGTTTTCTGGGTGTAACAATAATACATAAGTATTAGACCATTTATTGTTCAACATAGATTTTTTTTATTTAAATCATGACTTTCGGGATACTTCAAAGTAAATTTGGTCTAGGAAGACAAAAAACCTTATCAATAAATATGTTTTAACAGAAGCACATCACAGTTATTGGTACTCCTCAAAATTCTAATGAACAGAATGTAACTGAAGCATGTTACCATTTATATTTCACTTTTTTTTAGATCACCTTAGAGTTCAGAAACTCTTAAGCTCATCTATGACTTCCCATTTCATCAGGGTAAAAATATACGGTGACACAGGGGCCACATTTTGTTTGCTCATTCTAAACCTCCAGCCACTCCTGGACTTGCAGACATGCTGACTCAATGTGCGCATCTACAAGACCAAAGGCCTGTGTAATTCTGCCTTTCATCTAGGCTGTAAAGGGTATAATACAGATTTTCGACGATGAAAGTCTGCTGAACGCTCCATCTCAGTCAGCTTCTCTGGAATTTGAATTGTATTATACCCTTAACAGCCAACATTACCCAAAATTCAGGAAAACACACATGAGGACATAAACGAAACAGGAGGACTTCCAAAAATAAGAAGTACAAATGACTATTTTTTAAATTTAAACAAAAAAAATATTTTTCAAAGTAAGTAATACGTTAGTCATGTGCAGATGTGCAGATTTTGGTGTTAGTATCAACCATGGGAATGAGACGAAGTTCCCTCTGATTAGCAGCCTCGCAGATCTGATGTCCATGAGACTGGAGACCACGGGGCTGGAGTCCAGAGATTGGGCATGTGTTGTACATCAAAGAAGATTAGAGAATATTCAAATGAAATGAGACAAATATCTTCTGGCCTGAACCCCACTGAAAACCTGTGGGGTGAGCCTGTGGGTGAGCTAGTGAAGTCCAAAAGAGGAGCTAAGACCATAGAGGACTGGATTCCTTGCTCTGTGCTCTCTAGTCACATCAATCGTTGTAAGAGAAAGCTTATTGCTGCTATAGTGGCAAAGGGAGTTTGCACAAAGTACTAAACACAGGGGTACCAGTAGTTATGACACATCTGATTTTGTTAAAAAAAAAAAAATTGAGAATTTTTTACTAAATTTGCTTTAATTCAAATTAGATTTCTCTCATACTTTCAGTGATTTGAGCTAGTTAAACCTTTCACAATCTTTTTTATTCATCTTTACCAAAGTCCAGTAATTATGAAACTGACTCTTAAACAAACCTTTCTTTTCAACGATCTGTTTGTCCATTTTTCGTGAAATGTTCGTACGGTGTAAAGACAGGTGATGTTTTCAAATGATGTAAATAAAACATTTTGCAAGTGTTACTGTTCTTTTTTTCTTGAACATCTCGTGTTAAACCGTGTCCTTTTTCCTTTGCCCCTGCAGAATCTTTTCTCTGTTGTCGGCCATCCTTCACTTAGGAAATATCCGATATAAGAAGAAGACGTACCGGGATGACTCCATCGATATCTGCAACCTTGATGTTCTGCCCATCGTCTCAGAGCTGCTGGAGGTGCGTTTGATCCTGTGCCCATTTATTCCAACTCTGTTTAACTTTTTGAGTTATTGCCTGACTTTCTTGCATCATGAACCTCCTCCTGTATGCACAAGCACACCAGTGTTCTGTTTCAGCGCTGTCCCTGAGAGCGTTGCCTCTGTTCAGGCGTGATTCGCTGGCTGCTCGGCTGAGTGCGGAGCAGGGCCTCTGTCAGCGCTGTGCTGGTGCTGATGGTTCCATTAAAGCTGACATGGTAATGGAGAGCTGTCAGTGGAGTGCAGGTGCTGATGAGGGCAGACACACTCACACTTGCTCTGGACCTAAGGCTCCCCTCACTGCTCCTGTCCTCTTCCGCTTTATTTCAGTCTCAACTCAAAGCTGCGAATGTGCTGACAGTTTTTGGGGTGCTCAGAATTAATAGCTCTCGATTCAGACTCTCTGGACTAATTCACGGTAGACGGTTTGTAAGAGGTGAACATGAGAGCTCAGTCCTACAGCAGGCAGTCTTTTTAAAGCCCTTTTTATATGGCCTGATATAGCTCAAGGCATGACTCTATCTCTGCATCTCCTATTCTGTGGATGGGAATGTGTCAGCAACCTCAGATCTGTACAATAATGATGACAGATGGTGGAGATGAAATACTGAAAGCTAACAGTATATAACAGTATAGTGTATACATATACATATCGTTTTTTTTTTTTTTAATATTTTCTTTACACCATTGAAAGTGCTAGCTTCCCATTAGTAGTAGTTAGCATTAGCCTAACATGGACACCAGACCAATTCATGTGCTTCCTCTTGTACCTGTGCAGGTACCAGAATGTAACTGCTGCACCAGTTAAGGTGGAGTGGAAAATTCATACAAAAATCTGCTAAATAAGAAACCAGCTTCAGCTTTGTAGAAATTAAGACCTGAAACAACAACTGGCACCAATTTTGCCCCTGCCTGCTGCACTAGTGTTAGAAGATAATATGGACACAGGTTTATCTGTATATTCTTCAGCTTTGTTTTTAACTTTTGCACAATTAAAATAACTTTTTAAGATTTACTTTGATTGTTAAAAATGGTTCTTATTAAAAGTGAAAGGACGTCCCAGGAGAGTAAGCCGCTGTTAACCTACAATAATAAGTTTACTTAGGCATCTAAAATTAATTTATTTGAAAATATATTTACCATGATATATGCCAAAACTGTCAGAAATTTTAATTATGCTGTGATATATTTTCTGGCCATACAGCCCACTGTTACTGCCCGTTGTGTGAGCATTTCATGACAAATGAGAAAATAGAAATGGTAACTTGAAATAAAATGTCATTCCATTGAAGTACATTAAAGATAAGAATGTTTATTCATTTTCTTTTTAAGGCTACAATTTCATAACACTACTGTCGTAACAAACCCTGAAATGATGATATAGCTAATATGGATAAGAAAAGCAGAAAATAAGAAGTGTGACAGTTTTTGAGAAAGATCATTTATGCTAAATTCAGTTAAACCCCATCCAAAATGGCATACTTACAGTAAATAGACATAGATGAGCTTTTAGGACTGTAGTTATGCAGATGGTGGCTATTTATTGTAATTTGTAGATTATGGTGTGTCACAGGTTTCTCTGCCTTTATTCCAGCCATGTGGCTTTGTTTGCCAGATAAACGCTTGTAGTGAGTTTATTAGGAATGTTAGTCGTATCATATCCCCCAGATAGAGCTGAAGCCAGGGAGGGAGAACCAAATCTGGGCTTAATGTTATCAGCTTGGGCTTTCCTTAAGCGGTGATGTGGCACAGGATGTGGGGAGGGGTAGGGGAGTCCTGTCCAGATTCGTCTCTGAATGTGGTAGCTTTGTAGAGACCATTGTTGATGGAGGCAGACTTTGAAATGTGGTTGAAATGTATGCAGGCATGAAGTACTGTGCAGAAGTCTTAGGCCACCTGAGAAAATTCTATTTAAAACCATTTTTGTCATCTAGAAGTGTTAACGTGGTGGTTCTGGTATTTGCATTTATGAATGGTTTAAAATTAGTTTGTTAATGGTTAATTAGTTAGGTCATAAACACAACATTTTAATAAGCATTTATAACACATTAATAAAAAGAGCAAAAGTGAGCTGTTATATCTGAAAAAATATGAATATGTGAGTTTAATACTGACAGATAAAGACAAAAGTAAACATCAAAATCTGAGCTTTAAAAGTATAAATCAATGAAGGTTTACAGCTCACTGTTGCCCTTTTTTATTTTTGTGTTGTAACTGCCTGTTAATGATTATAAGGTCTTTATGACCTAATTAATAAACTAATTTTAAATGATTCATGAACCTTTATAAGGGTAGTCTTATTTTGAAGTGGTACCACATTTTTTAAATTAATTACATTTGAAGTAAAAACCAAATATCTCTTCAGAAATTTGAAAATGTGTTGCATGACATTCCCGGTGGACATCGGTGAAGACTGTTGATAGCAGGCTACAATGACTGACTTGGATGTTGAAATTGACCCTCAACGGCTATTGTAGGTCTTTATTTTCTCAATAGCGAAAATATTCAATTTTTGGACTTGATGTGAAGTTGCTTGATGTAGAGTGCCAGACTGACAGTTCACAGGCTCTGTTGTTTGGTTAAATTTACCTGCATAAAAGTCAAGACAACGTTAAATAATGTAGGATAAAATTAAAATTGCACTCAGCTGGCCCAGTTTCCAAGGTGGCTATGTATTCTCTCTCCATGCTAACAACAGTAGGCCTTCATGGTGTGCTAGCATGACCATGCATAATATTGCTCTTCAGAGCTCTATATTCAGCAGGCACTTAGAGAGACAGGGTCCCAAAGAGATTCTGACACGCTGAAACGTGTGCATGTGCTGTATGGGGTTGTAATGTACGCAGATTGAGTTGATGCAGGCCTTTGATAAGCCGTGGCACATCTGCTCATGGTCACCACCGCTGAGCTAGGCAGGGGGAGACTGACCATTAGGTCTGTGTAATCGCTCCCATCAGAAGCACATTCCCTGGGGCTCTATAGAGGCCATGCTATTTTCACAGTTCAACAGTAGGGTGCATTTGGGAGCTTTGATGTGATAATTAACTTAACAAGTTTTGGCCCGTATTTCAGGCACTTAGTTGTAAACATTGCCCTTTGCACTGTATGTGAAAATTGTTCCGTAGCAAACGTGTGATTCTACAACCGCATTATATACATTGCTGCAGTATTGTTTATCTCCCTATATCAGCACGCTTGAGCGGAAAGTTTAGCTTGTTCTAGATAGTTCCAGATAGATAGGAAGGCGGGAAGTTATGATGAGTCCACTGTCTTGCTACATGTGTTTTTGCCCTTGGACTGTCCTTTGGCTCTGTGTGCTGCCGGATGTTTACAGCCTAGCTCAGCATTGTAGACCCCAAAGTCAATAATGAGAAATAAATCTCTCACGGCTGTTAATGCACTTCACGTCTTCTGGCACATTACTATGTGTGTTTCTGAACACTAAGCTGAATTTAAGTGTTGGAGATGTCAAGAAGAACATCATGATCCCATACATGTTGAAGTATATAGTAGACTGAAAAGCAATCTTTCAAGGCCTCAATGTGATGGATCACGCAGTAGACCAGGCAAACAAGGATATGTGCACTGGACCTCACAGTAAACAAGGGGGTGAAACAAGGCCGTTGTACACAAAACTATACATATAGTGCAGTTGGACAGATCAGTGCAGCACAATAAGATAAATGCAATGTAGTAAATAGACTGTCTCCATGGAGAAGCCATTAGTCTGCAGTGGGGAGTGATCAGCGTGGGCCTTTCTGGAGTCAGTGATAATCTGTTTTGTTTTATCCAAATTAAGAGGTGTTTTTTACACCTACCATCCACTCCACCTCCACTCTGCTGACTCATTATTATTGCTTTGAGGCCTACCATCATTGTCGCTGTTAGACTTGATGATGTAATTCAAACTGTACTTAACAGCACAGCAGTGGGTTATCAGTGTAAACAGCAGTGGGCTGAACACGTAGCCCTGGGTTGCACCAGTGTTCAGTGTGGTATTGCTAGAGGTGTAGCCACTTCTCTGAACTGTTTGATATCTCTCAGTCCAGGATCCATTTACACTTACCTGAGAGTGCAACAAACTGCACCACTCCACATGGCCATTGAAGCCAAAAGAGCAGAGATGTCTATGCCGAGATGAGCGGTGAACCTGCTGAGCTGCATCCAAGGCTGTCTTCCTCCCTTTAAGACGTTCTGTAACTCCAACAGCTCAGTCTTCTGCTCTGTAGCTCACCGGTGACTAAGCTTGACTCGGCCTGCGTGTCGCCTTCGCTGCTGCTTTCCATGATAAAAAAAAAAACGGTTAACTAGTCAAATAAAAAACTCGATAACAGCCAACTAAAACAGTGATGGTGATAAATAAAATGACAACTCGTAATTCTTTACACACTTAGCATATAGATACGCATATTCTAGATATGACTAGCCTCTCAAATGATAAATGGTGTGAGTGCAAGTCAATAGGCATGGTGGTGATGAGACAGATGGGGACAACTGATTTAAACTTTAAAGATGTCTATGTAGTTCTGCACACTCCCTGGACATATTAATGGTTTTGAATGTTAGCAGTGTGTGCTGTCAAGGTCCATCAATAAACTGGCCTTCTTCTAAACCCCATGTGTCAAACACAAGGCCTGTGGGCTAACTCAGGCCCGTGACACAATCTTATCCAGCCCACAGAAGTGTTTTAATTTTCTAGTAATATTAGCCCCTTTCACAATGTTCTGCACCACAGTCCCCAGCATGCAGTGCAACATAATGTGTGCTCTGACTCTCCTACCCCAAACAACACTCCATAGGACAGAGGTTATGCCTCAGTTCTACAGAATCCTGCGCAATTCCACACCAGTCATATCACCAAACGCACTAGCTGCATTTCAGCTGCAGTTGAACCAATATAAACACCTTACATCAGCTCAGCAGCTCAGAAACTGAGGCCAAGTCTTAATGAACTTGGAGCAAAGAAAAGATGCCAGGTATCTGGTCTATCTCAAGCACATAGGTAGATTTAAAAGACTCAACACCTGGCAACATTTGAATTTTGAATATTTTAAGTGTCTATGTAATATTTCAAGGTCTACTACAAGTGTCTGTATTTTACTGGTGAAGTTTTTGCATGATTTGAATAAACAATGGCCAGTTGGGGTTACAGCACAACATTAATTAAAAAAATAATAAACACATTTTTTCTCTGGCCCACAGATTTGATGAGATTTTTTTAATACGGCCCTTTGACTGGTTGAGTTTGATACCCCTGTTCTAAACTGTGCACTATATGCCCAAAAAAAAAAACCTATCACTCTCCAGTGGTCTCTTTTTTAGAAAGTCACAGCCTTTTATCAGCAGTCTAGCAATAATGTCGAAGTTGTTAACATGTCCTCCTGCTGAAACACAGAGGATGTCCTAAAACAGTGATAACCTCTGTCTTTTCCTTTTTAGGTGAAGGAGGAGATGCTGGTTGAAGCCCTGACAACAAGGAAGACAGTTACTGTAGGAGAGAGGCTGATCGTGCCCTACAAGCTGGCTGAGGTGAGTCAGGGGACCCAATAAGCATGATCTGTTGTTTTTTTCTAGCCCCCTTAATGCTTTATCAGCTCTCGGTGGCCCAGCAACATGTCATACTTGATAGTTTTTAATGGCTAATTAGCAGTCCCTCTTTCTCAAAAGCAGCCCAGATTCACTATGTATTATCATCAGCATCAGTCCTTCTAATGAGGACAGTCCACTCTGCCAACTCCAGCTCTTATTCCTTATTTAGGAATTCTCCCTTCTCCCTCAGTTTGATGATGAAACTCCTTGCTGTCCTGTTGCAACCAGCCACAGGCTTGTGAGACGCTGCTCCTGTGAAATGGCTGAGAACTATAAGGAGTAACAGCTGTAGAGTTATTTGAACTATTATCCCAAGCTAACGACAATTACTCCCAATTCTGACAGCCTGTTTATCGATTATGTGCTGTTGTTTGACAACGCAGCCAAGCTGGATGCGATTATTGTACAAAGTTTAAAAGTCATGCGTAATTATGATACATATGGGTGAATAGGTCAGCGCTATGAGAAACAATAGCCCCCTTCAGTCTTTCAGTGACACATCTCAAATGCATCTAATACAAACAAAGATCAAGGAATGCTTATGTAAAAACAACATTCCCTAGAAATGCACGGTATAATAGCAGCGAATTAAAATGTCAACACAGAGAGGCTATGAATTGTGGAAAAGGTCAAACATGCCAATGCTTTGACTCTCAGAAGTCAAAATGTTGCCACTTAAGCCTGTTACTCTGTTCCAGCCATATATTGTAGCGGGATACTTTGAGCAGTAGAGTCATGATGAGTTTTGTGATTGCTTTCACAGTTTACTTTTTTTCGTTCTCCCAGTTTGCTTTCCCTTATTTGTCTTTCTTTGCTTTCGTACAAAGGAGATTTTTGGAATAACATTGGTTGATTAAGTCTGCCGGAGTCTCGCAGGATTGCCTGCGTTCCCCCCGGGGGGCAGGATTTACTCGTCTTTTCCAATCAAAGAGAGGCAGAAATCACACGGAGGTCACAGAACAGGAAAGGCCTCAGAGGCTGACTCTGTCCAACCTCCATTTGTACACTTACTCTGTCTGGCTTTAGTGAAGTAGGGGGACATTTCAGAAACAAATACTCACTGACACAAAAACTGTACAGTATTAGAGATACATTACTAGCTAGAGCTTGGTGAAAATATATACATATATATATATATATATATATATATATATATATACACACACACACACTGTAACTTTTTTGAAGACCCATCAAACGCTGTAAAATTTGTGTTATATTAACACACTTCGTTTTGACAGTTAAAGTTGCTGAAGTCTGGAGTGGTTGTAATAGTCTAGTAATCCCCCCTTGTCCTGGGAGTTATTCATGCGTTGAGTCTTATTAACAAAATGGCAAATCTACCGGGAACAACTTGTTTTCCATATCTCAGTGCATCTAATAAAGGCTGCTGAGTCTAAAAGTATCATTGTTCTGGTAAACAATCATAATATAATCACTAGTCACTAATATAATATATAAACAGTACTGTGCAAAAGTAAGAGACCACCTATCGTGTTTTAAATTTCCAGTCAAAACAGCCATCAAGTGCAAATTCAAGTCAAGTCAAAGTTTATTTATAGAGCGCTTTTTACGACAGGTGTTGTCAGAAAGCAGCTTTACAGAAAAATCTGGGTCCAGGCCCCCACGAGCGTCGACAGTGGCAAGGAAAAACTCTGTAAAGAAAGAAACCTTGGGAGGAACCAAGACTCAAAAGGGGAACCTATCCTCCTCTGGTCGACACCAGATAGGAAACAGTGTTCATTTTTCAGCATCAGGACCAAAGTAGAATACAAATATTTAAAAGAAAAATTACATAGAAGCCTCAACAATTAAATATTATGTATTTTTTCCAGTATTTTGTATGTCCACACTTTGTCTTTATTACAGCTTCCATTTCTTTCGGGAGACTTCTGCAGGGAGTTTTTCCCACATCTTGAAAGTTCCGTCTTAGTAGTTGCATTTTCTGTTTCTCACAGTCCAAATAAATCACAAACACATTCAGTGATCTGGGCCTGGAAGTGTTCAGCTCATTGTTCTGACAAAAAAAACAGCTTCTTTGTTTAGTTTGCCAATTTTCTTTTCACAGTAAGGGCTTCTTAACAGCTACACATCATTTCACACTCTTCTCACAGTGGACGGATGGACAGAAACACCTGTGGATTTTTTTTTAGATTTGAAACAAGAGTGAAGCTGATTTTCTCCTCTCTTTCAAAGATGAAAGCTTTAAGCACCATTTATCTGATAGTGACAGTTTTGGTGGTCTACCAGGTCTTTCATGGTTCTTAGGAGTTACAGTTGTTTTGTATATTTTAGTAGTTTTAAACTGAATACTAGTTTTGGTATTGTCACCTGTTTTTTTTTTTTGACTGTCTCTTTACCTGTGCAAGTGGATTATCTTATATCTGTCATATTACGGCTTGCATTTATTAGCTGTTTTAACTGGAAATGAAACACATGGAAGGTGGTGTGTGACTTTTGCACAGCACCGTACATTTTCCATTGTTCTCATGCTAGTTCTTGCTGGGCCTCACTGAACTTCAGTGCAGCGACATGAACCAGATTCTAGAAAGTGTTTAAGGTACTAAAAGAATAGATATGATGCGACACCATGGCAAACTCCATGCAGCAGAATGATTTGAATAACTGTTGGACTTTGGGGTCTTTAGCCTCTGAGCTGAGCTTTTGTTTAGAGCAGATTCAAACCCAGTTTTCATTAGTGCTGGTTTGAAAACAAACACAAGCTACGGCTCCCAGAGACATTCCAGCTGACGTATACTGGCCTCTCTCCGCACACAAACACACGCGCACACACACACACACACACACACACACACACACACGCTCTCACAGGATCAGAGATATATATGTGTGTGTGTGCGCAACTTTCCATCCGAGAGCCTGCCACTGAGGCTATTAAACACTCCTTAATCAAAACCAGCAGAGAGGCTTCTTTTTGCTCATCAGACACTAAACCAACTCTTCTAATCACTCTGAGTGCGCGCTGGGTGGCCCTTGAGAAAATATTTGTCTTTCCATCATCAGTTCTCCATTTAAGACCATTGCTGTTAATACTGCGGCAAAACTATGCATCATTGTATTCTAAGTCTTGTAGATAAGGGATTGTTTTACAGTATGGAATGATAACTAACACATTCTACTTTATGGCCTCTGACAAAAAAAGGCACAGCTTTTGCATCAGCTGTGGGGAAATGCACACGGCAGACGCTGTTTGTAAGTAGTTTACACAAGTCAAATCCCTGGCCGCCGTAAGCCATGTCAGTGCTACAGTAGATTGGATTGGGAGAGGCCGTGTGACATTGAAGAGCATTAGAGCGCCTAATGTCGTTATTCATGGCCTGAGGAACTGCACAGACATGTCTGGAGAATGCCAGCGATCTCACCTTATCCGCATCTCCTGCAACTCACCGCAACCTTACGTTCTGTTAGATGCGGCTGTGTTCACTATAGACACATTTCCGTTGTAGGAAACTGTTCAGGAAGCAGGAACTTTTAGACGTGATTCCAAAGGACATATGAATTTAGTTTATGTGCTGTAGTTCTAGGAATGGCTTTAGTTTCTACTCAACAATGGCTGTGTTTACATGCAAAGATTTTTGCCAATCCGATTGAATACCTTCCGATTACAGATGAAGACTGAGGTGTTTATATGCTCACTCTACTCAACAATCTGATGGAAAATCTTGAGAAGAAGAAATTGTATTCCGAATGACCTTAATCGGACTAGACTATTCCGATTGAAGTGTATACACGGACGTATTCTATTCCGACTGAGCTATTAGTCAGATTATTAACGGAATGCATGTCTCAATACTTTTTCCACCTTTTGCTGAAATATATCTCAAAATTAACGTATTCTTAATGAAATGCAAATGTTTCAAAGAGGGATCCTTCAGTCAGAAGGGCTGGACTAAACAAACTTTATTAAATGCAGTAGGAGATGAAAATAAATAAACAGTTGCCAAATAGAACTAAAGTATAGTTTAAATTTTAATAATAAGATTTAGAAATTGGAAGTAACAATCTGTATTTTGTGAAATGAACACAAAGACAGATGCTTTAGTCATTTCTCATGCTGCAGGCGAGTGCTGTTTACGGTAAGAATATCTTTGCAAGGGATACAATGTATATCGATGCTCGATTTATTATTTTCCGGTAACTGATAAAAATATCAGTTTGATAATGAACTTTTGGCCGATGATTACAACTGCTACATGTGCTACGAATAGTAGCAAATATAGTGACTTGTGGTGGGAATTTCTCTTCTTCTAGACCACACAACGCCCTCCACTGGTCGCTCTTAGTTTCTGTAACAGTCGAAGGCACATAATGTAACTCGCTGACAGAAAACTGAATTTTGTCACAAACTGAATTTTAGTTGGTTACATATGGTTTGTTTTTAATAGTCATGTTGCACATATATGCACCCCTTTTTACGGTGAATGCTTCAAAAAGGCAGAGACATTCAGACTGCTTAGTTCTAACGGTTAACGTGACCTGTTTCAAATGCAGAGACAAACGACAGGTCTGACGTTGACGTTGATACCATTGATGATGCATAGTAAATCAAATATGAACATCTTAAAATTCTTAGTTTAGCTGTGAATTTTCGTAGATAATTTAGCTGTTGTTCATGTGTGCACATACAATGAACAGGATGAAGCACAATGTTCATAATGTTGCCTAATTTTATATCTCCAAATAAATCTTAAATATATCAGAAATATTCAGTATATTGCCCAGCCCCAAGCTTGCAAGACTGAAGGTTACTGATTCGTCAACACAACAGAACATTCGTCCTTGAGCAAGTTATGGACACCAGCATTGTCAATAATTGCTTGTAAAAGTCTTCTCGTCTCTTCAACTGCTATTGCTTGTCATCAAAAGTCAGTGTCGAGGTTAACATTATATTCATGTAGCAGAGCAAAAAAATAAATAAAGAAGAAAATAAATTTAATCTCAAGCCATGTTCACAGTGATGCTGTATTTTTCTTAAATAGTACAATATGACTTTCAAGGAGATGGCTTCAGTTCAGTTTCCATATGTATTACCTTTCTCTTTCTCTTTTTTAGGCCTTGTGTTACTATATTAACACATAATGTGGTATTAATAAATGTCTAACTATCTATTAACTCTCATTGCTCTCACTCGTATGGCTGCCAATACTCTTCAAAAAGAAGTTAGTGTTCTAATACTATTTTCCGAAAGCATGCAGCAACACATGACTTATGAATAACAGCAATCGGAAGAGTGGGTTACAAACTTAAAGGCCCATTGTGAATTTAATATGACTTTCTCATGAGAATAACACGCGCTGGATCCCAGAGCTGGCAGCGTCTTACATGAAGGCATACAGCGCTCCCTTTATAGAAAGTGGTGACCTTCAGGGTTTGTGTTGATGGCTGTCCTCTGTTGTGTTGCAGGCTGGGACTGTGCGTGACTCCATGGCTAAATCGCTGTACAGCGCTCTGTTTGACTGGATCGTGTTCAGAATCAATCACGCACTGCTCAACAACAGAGACCTGGAGGAGTCAGCCAAGGTAAGAGACATTTCATGCAATGATGGAGGGAGATGAAGAGAAAGCAAAGGAACGTTTACGAAGAGTTTAAAGCACATGGGTGATTGCATGTCACATCTCCACTCCACTGCTCTGAGAGCTCAGATCAAGTGGAATATGAGCACATCTGATGGGGATTTGCAGTGTTATTCCGTCATTCTCTCTGCTGGAGAGCGCTGCTTTAATCTGTAAATTATGGATGCAGACATTATGTAATGGGATATTTTCAGCCGGAGAGCATGCAGCTCATTGTGTTTTTTACTCTTACATAAAATTCTCTCTGCAGTTTGCTTTCTACTAGAGAAGGCCTAAATCTTTTCTGTCGCATTGCTTCTTAAAGGAATACTCGAGTGGTTTTTAGCTTGAGGCCGTATTACGGAAACTTCTTAAGTTAAGATCTGGCAAGTTCAAGATAAGGTTTTTCAGAAATTCATAATACAGAAGCAGGATGTCTTACCTCACAGCATCTTATCTCAGGTTTAATGAATCCTATACTACCCAGCCAGGGTTGTTAATCAGTTATGTCTGGTAGCAAACAGCTTAATGTACACACACAGCTGCTAGACGTAAACACAATCATAATGCTGAAAACAGAGGTTAGCTAGACGGCTTGATGTTATTTAAAAAAAAAAAAAGTCCTGAAGTGAGAGAAACTGGGAGTTTTGGTAACTTCAGTCGAAAAAAGCTTTAAAATTTCTGAGTGTCTCTGATCACTACTTTTAGTTTCCATTTCCCAAGGCCAAGTAGCCTGCTTTAGAGGTCATTCAGATGACACCTTTTTGAACATGAAATGAGCTGCATCTTGTGGTAAAAAGAGAGACGGCCCGTAAATCTTTAGTAACTGACATTATATAATAACGTGTCGAGTGTTGTACAGCTCTGGGTGTTCTAAGAACAGTCTAGGCTAGGTAGATGCTTTTCAGGCACTGTGCATGTTGCTCCATAGACTGCAATGGAAACAAGCACATTGAGATAGTTTCAGAAGGCGATGTATGAACATCCCCCGTGCCTTCCTCCTAATAAACTGTGACATAACCAGCTTCTCATTACTTGCCCAATCACTGTAATATTTAATTTGGCAAGTCTTCTTCGTCGTTCGCACATGCAGGTAATGAGGATTTGTGGAGAAAGTGTCTGGTGTTTTTTAGAACTACAGCGCTATGGCTAATGGTGCAAACAGAAGCTTCCTGACTTCATGAAAAAACTTGTCCTAACTTCTGTTACAAGCTTCTTATCTGGGAATAAGATAAGTTAATGAATGTAGGAAATGCTGTTCTGTAATGCTCATGGTAACTGAACAGATAAGATTTCAGAGTTAGGTTGTTTCTGTAGTTTGACCTTTGGACTCTATCTGATACGGGGCACAGAAAGGTGGTTCAAGTTGGGGTGCTGAAATTTTAAGCGTCTTATATGTAATGTGTGCTGTGAGCTCATGCAAAATGACTTTATATGCATTGAATTTTTTTGGATAATTTACATCGGACTGTCATGATGTGCTACTATGTGGTGAAAGTCAGCATTATTCACATATACCTGATAATCCGACTGCTGATGCCCACTCTGCTCTCTGTTTAAGGGCAAACTTTATGAAGATGAGCTGTTCTGTGGCAAATTAGATTGGTAATATGTACATCGTAACCAATTGTGCCTCTTGGAGGTTCAGCAATAAAATGCACTCTAAGCTGGAGATATAATGGTTCAAAAAAATTGTGTTCAAACTATGAGACATCATAATTGTAGACCAATTTTAGACCACAAATATTGCTTATGTTTTAACAGCATAGCCCCAAAGCGGGCAAAAGTTACCGAGGGAAGTGATCCGGCTCACTGTAATGAAGGCATGAATGCAGTATTGGCTTAAACAGTGCATCACTACTGTAGGCTGTGAAAATATGTCAATAAAACAACATAAAAATAAAAACTCCAAGCTGAAACAAGCACACACAGGTCTGCACTGAAAATATTTTTGAGTTTAGTACTATTTATTTATTTATTTATTTGCAGCACACAGTCCTTAAATCTTGGGGAAATTATTGTCCATGGTAATCAGTCATATGCTACAAATATGCCAGATATAGATTAAGTTAAAAATAAAAAATAAAAACACTGCAGTGTTCCTTTAATGACTCCCTGTCTCTGCTTCTTCTCAGATGTTGTCCATTGGGGTGCTTGACATCTTCGGCTTTGAAGACTATGAGAACAACAGCTTCGAGCAGTTCTGCATCAACTTTGCCAATGAGAGACTTCAGCATTACTTTAACCAGCACATCTTCAAGCTGGAGCAGGTAGGCCTCTTTTTCGCCCAGGCTAAGATGTGGACCTGAGAGATAACCATCACCTCCTCTCCCCACGCAGATCGCTCAACATTACGGGCTAATAACGGATTTATTGCCGGCAATTATGGCTCAAGTTGTTTTGACTGCACACAGAACGAAAATAACTGCCTACACTCTACTTGACTTAATGGTTTGGCAGTGTTGAGTGTTTGGGGCAATTCTCCATTTGGAAATCTTCTCCTGTATGACCGTGCACTCTGGCTTTCCTGAAATAAAGGGCAGACCACTTAAATTGTATGTCTTACACTGGTAAAATCATTAAAGAAGGGATAAACTTGCATACAGTATGGGCTCCTCTACATGCCAGTCTCCTCTGATCTGTACTTATTTACTATTAGGCTGGGCAAAGTGAATTTTTAGGAGGTGAATTTTTAGTTTAAATGACAGTAACTGACTATAATACCATGTGACATGACTAAAAATTTCCCTTCACTATATCTCCAGTGCACTGAATGGTTTACATGGTGGCTGGAATCTGGTGTGAGGTGGTTTGTCCTGATTGCTGGGCTTGTCGTTGCAAATAAACTGAGTTTGCGGAGATGACTAAATGAACCACTAGTGCAAAACAACTTTTTGAAGAAAAACTCTATTGCAGGTCATCTCTGTAACATGTATTTACTCAGTGGGGCTGGTTTTTCGAGGTAACTGCACTTACCACAAATCATCGTAATCACCACCTGTCAGAGCAGCGCCTTTTGTGACTCACCTTTTAAAGCGCCTGCTAGGTCAGAGAGGGTTTGTTAGGTTTGAGCTTTTATTTAGTCCAGGAGAGGACACTCATACTCATAGTTTGTGTTATTACTTTGTACTCACAAGGTGCATTAGTTGGACTGAATGACTGCTCAGAAAGGAATTAGACATGCACTTACACACACATTTTTAAGAGGAAGCAGCCTGGATTGCTTCCGTCACCAAACCTTGTATTTCAAAAGCAGTAGCTTTATGGAACAAGAAAAAAACATTTTATGCTTCAAACACTTATGCTCGTAGGTATATTTCAGTTTTTCCATCTGAATTTACATGCCCAAAGTTAAATTATTTAGTAACTGCATGAAATAACTGTAATTTTTTTGTTTGTTTTTTTTTTTGTAAAAGTTTCCCTCAAATGAACAGACAATGTGTTTTATGAACATAAACATACTGCTATATGCTTACAATTTACTGCTGAAAGATCTTGTTTATAGCTCAGATTTGTGGAAATGGGTCAACTTTCAGTAGAAAAAAAGAAGTTGTGAGTTCAGCTACTTTTATTATAAAGTTTTAAAATTACATTACCCATCTATTGGACTGGAAAAAGACAGTTACAGTTCTCATATGACCCCCACCTTTTGTATGAAGCTTATAAACTATGAAATTTATGAAGTAAAGAAAATGAGTTAAAGAGGTTAACGTACGTTAATGTAGGGTTTGGCAATGTATGAAATTTGATCATTGTCATGATAAAGTATGTCACAATTCCTTTACAGTACTGGTGATAGGAACCAGGGGTCACGATGTGTACAACGCAAATGTAGCCCATTTATTTCCAAAACATATATATATATATATATATATATATATATATATATATATATATATATATATATATATATCCCTGTTATCCCTATTATCAGTGGTATATAAAACCTCCTTAAATCTATTGTCTACTGTAAAACAATGTCTCGGGTGTCAGGCTGCGTATTCTTAACCATTTTGTGTAATAGTTTCCTGTAAGAGAACATTTAGAGGCATTAAATGCTGGTTCTCCACTGTGGAAAAATTCTGACAGTAAGTGCATGAACCATTTCACATCAAACCACTTTGAATGACTTCATTGACATCTAGTCCCATTATGCAGAAATGCTGAAAAAGCGATAGACTTCAGCGCATTGTGTTGATTCCCCCTTACGAAAGTGTCGTTTTTCATGTTTTTCAATTACAAAATTGGTTGTAATTCTGCCTTGATAGCAGAAACTCCTGCCTTTTACCGTCAGATGCACGTCTGCCCACTTAGGCTATTTTAGACCATCTCTTTAAGGAGCAGTTTAAGTAATCATACATTTGTTCCTCTTGAAGTGTCCTTCCAGTCCTTTTTACGTTGTTGTCAGTAATGCATGGGCTGAAGTGATGTTGAGTCTCCCCTGCTGTTCCGGAGACGGTCGAGTGTGTCGTTCAGACGACTGAAGTGTGTTCTGCTCGTTTAAGTGCCGGATCAGATTTGACTCGCCTCAGTGATTACTACCATTATTTCATCAGACAGTAGGACTTGCTGCCGGCGATCTACAAAATAGCAGCTCCTTATGCAGGAGACCACCTTATTATGATCCATCATGTTAATCTAGCACTGTCACTGTCAACTCAGCATTGTTTTGAGTGTAGCTTGTGTAAAGAGCTAATGGATCAAGGCATATAATATAGTACTCATATGGTATTTTAGGATATAGACCAGCCGATGCTTGTACGTATCGCAGTGTGATTGAAGAAATGCACGGTTTTTGTAATTTGTATGACCCAATGGCTGCCAAGCATAGCACATTTTTAATGTTTTTCCAGAGCCAGTTTAAGCCTGGACTAAATGTTAATAGATAACCCTTGGAACACTAGAATTATTCCTGTCATTTTACAAGGTTATTTATGTGTAATTACACAAATTATTATATAGTTGAGTGATTTCATGATTAGGATGCCATTTAGTGCTAATAACTCTTAATATGCAAACTTTTTTTTTTAAATTATTCACCATTAAATCTTATGTTATATGTCAAGTTGTAGTGGGCTGGTAAAGGCAAAAGTGCTGTAAGTTATTTATCTGAAATATAGATATAGATTTTTGTGAAAGGCACTTCACCTGTGTTTAAAATGTATTTAACCTTCATTTTATGCACATATTTGTAAAGGTAATATCAGTGAGACAGTGGCACCTCATTCATGGAACTACTTAATCAAGGACATTTCAAGTAAAGTCAAAGTTTATTTATATAGCACTTTTTGTAACAGGCGTTGTTGCAAGCCCCCATGAGCATCGTCAATGGTAACAGTGACAAGGAAAAGCTCCCTAAAACCAAGAGGAAGAAACATTGAGAGGAACAAAAGCCTCAAAAGGGGAACCCATTCTCCTCTGGTCAACACCGGATAGCTAAACAATAACAGAAGAGCAATATGAATGAGAATAGGGTTTTAACATTAGTATAAAATATTAAAATACAGAAAAGGGGAAAAGCAGGAGAAGCAATGACTATGATTCAGTAGTTTTACTCTGTGCAGCAACAGCATCGTCAGGAGGGTGAGTTCATGCAGGTGAGGTTTGCACAGCATTGTACAGTAAGGAAGGTCCATGATGGTCAAACTGGCCCTGAAGGCTGCCGAGCAGTGGGCACCCAGTCAAGGCAGATGAAGCAGAATTGGACTCCACAGGATGGGCGGTTTTTCGGCTCGGCAAAGAAAACACACAGAGAGTTAGTTCTGTTAAAAGAGACTGATTATAGTAAACAGTGTTAACAGAGTGCAGCAGTGACTCCGGCAGGTCTAGCTATTACAGCCTTATTACATTCGATTGAAGTTCTGTATCGACAGGCTCGAGTATTCACTTACAAAAACGCCAGAAGTCTAAAGGACATCCTTTCTTTCTGCAATACAAGACGAACAGCGATAACTTTTCAAAAGATATAAATCATAATAAAATATGTCCTCTTCTACTTACAAAGACAAATATAGTATTGACTGAAAGTTTTCGCTGCTTGTTTCACTGAGCTATGAGTGTGAAATAATTTCAAATTACATCATATTTTTGTCATTACTAACGATTACTGCTATTAAATGACTGTGTCAATGTGTCAGTGGGCGTTCTCTGTAGAAGGACTGATCCCGCTGACGTGCAGCAGGTCTGGCCTTAGGCCTTAAACCAGTGTCAATGGTTGTGTGTTGGCCCCCACAGACCTCTGGAGGAATTCTGCTGAAAGACTCATGGCTCTCTTATTCATGGGAAATTAGGAGACGTTTATTTGAATGTCTAGAAGGGGAAAATGCCTCATGATGTAATGACTGCATTGCCCATTTGTTCCTAGATAAAAGCTGTGGCATGCTGCACTCTGTGCCAAGATCCATGCTTTAATTGCTGCAATAGATGGAAAATATTGGATTCAAATGTCAGGAATGAGTTTGCTTTTGAAGTGCTTTTCCTAACATACTGTGTGATGAGCTGAAATGATTCTGTGGGATTTTTCCCATTGACTGTACACTTAAGCATGCTGGCGTTCTTTTAGCATGTCAAGTCAGGATGTTTAGCCTGTATAATTTGGGATATTTGCTTCACCTGATTTTGATATGTTAGACATTGTAAAGATGATAGTAGTAGTTAGTGCTGGGTGGTCTTGATAAAATTCAATATTATGATGTTTTCCCAAATATATCACATATATTTTTTTAATTTCTGCATAATCAAATAGTTAAGATGTAAACTATGTCATTCAGAGTGGTTTGATATGAAATGCTTAATTCTGGAGAAACTTGCCAGGTTGTGAACTTATAAACTTGCCAGGTTATAAATACACTGGCTGATTCCTGAGACAAAAGATTTTGGCCTAAAACTTCTTTAAAATCTTTAAAATCCATTCATGGTGGACAGGGACATGCAGGGCATTATAAGACATAATAGACAATGTATTTTTTTCATATTTACCACATTTTTTTCATTATTAACATTACACCTAAAACACAGTGTATTCTCTGTTGGTTTTGGATGGTGAAAGAAATGGCTATACTTACATTGTAGACACTGTGATCTCTGGTTCTTGTCACCACCATTGTGGAAGTTTGAGTCAGTAATTTGCTCTACAGTCAAGCATTTCACATCAAACCACTCTGAATGACTGTTTACACATCAGCAACAGAACTGTGCAGCTAATTTTGAAAAATCAGTGCAATTCCCCTTTGAGTTTGCATCAGTGAAGTTAATGAAGCGCATGCTTTGAATCCCGCTGCTCAGTACTAAAAGGAAAGAACAACTTGACGTAGAACCTGACATAGCTTGTTTTGATGTCTGTTTGTTCTGTTTTCTTTTCTTACAATTACTCCAAATGAGCCTCATACTGTAATGTAAATGTTAACCAAATACAAATTAGATTTCTGTAAAGTATTTTTTTTAGTTTTTTTATGTATTTTGAAGTGTTCCTCCTGAACAATCTGACACACCCAGCTAATTATATGCATAACAGTTATGTTTTTGTTATCAATATTGATAAAACTGAAAAATAACATAGCTGTGGGACACCACCACCAGTATACCTGCATAGGCAATGTACCGCCTATCATGAGTAGTAGTCATTGTAATGGTAGCAGTAGCGGTAGACATAGTCCTGCTGTGCATGGGTTGAAAAGTGGGCAGCAGGCTGGGCTCTGGGATATCCTGCCTGTTCCTCAGTTACGCCTGGCATGCATGCCATCTGCTGCCCATAAATCCAGCCCCGCTGGAGTGGCTCTCGGAAAAGGCAGACACACCACACACGCTCTCATTATACCATTAATGGCAGTTTTTCCCTCTTTTTTCACAGTGCCATTTATGGAGATGTTGTAAATGGGGTTTTATTTGCTTTCCTTCTGAGCCTCTCTGGGCTCATTCCTCTTGTCAGCCAAAAGAGGGCTGAGTGAAAAGTGGCTGCTAAGGCTGAAGTCCTGCCCATGCTAGTGTTGTTCTGGCACTGGATCGTTATTTCAGGCTGGTGCGTTATTTCGTGCTGTTCACTCCTGCCTGTCTCCTGCTCAACAGCTTCAGTGCTCTAATACAGCAGTGGGAACGTGGAGAGAATAGTTGGCTTTAGGGCTGCACATTATGGACGAATTACCATACTGAGAATATTTTTCTGCATGTTGTGTTTATGGTGTGCCTTGGACTGTATTAAAAAAACATATGTTTGTTGGATGATATGAAGGCTTTGACTCATTCAGACGCCCACAGAAACCCTCCTAGAGCTTGTTAGATTTGGTCAGGATGCTCATAGCGCACTTTAAAACATTTAGATTTATGTGAGAGCATATTTACGTATTGCATGCCTTGGTAATATCACTGTTACCAAGGCCAGCATTGCGATAACAGTTAACAAACAAGTTGTGCGGCCTTGGTTGGTTTTTGGTTGTCCTGTCATTGTTCTACTTTCCTACTCCAAATACAAATAATGCACAAAATAAAAGGATTTTATGTTTTTGTTTTAAAATACCTGTCCTCCATCACGCATACAGTATAAGTAAAAGTCAGAGAGCACTCTTCATTTATTTAATTTACGGTCAAATTGGCCATGATGTTAATCATTTTTCAGCAACAGGAAAATAAACAGTAAACATGTATGGGAGACTTTTTCAAGGGAATTTGCAGGGATATTTTTCCACACCTCCGAAGCTCAGTCTTAGGAAGTGGTTGCTTCTCACAATCCAAAGAAACCCAGATACATTTAATGATGTTAAGGTCTAGACTACTGGGTGGTCAGTCCATTGTTCTAAACTCCAGCAGCTTCTGCAATTTTCTGCATTTTTTTGTCTGTTTCCTTCTGCCAGTAACAGCTTAATGACGGTTCCACATCCTTCCAGATTCATATCTGTGTCCATACTTTCAGTGTGGACAGAAACACCTGTGCATTTTCAGATCTGAAGCAAGAGTGGAGCTTTTTTTCTGTTAAAGATGAAAGTACTGCTTTAAGTACTGTTTATCTGATCAGCTTTGGTGGTCTACCAGGTATTGCACAGTTAATAGGAGTTCTGTTTCCTCTACCTTGTGATCATTTTTTAACTTTTAGAAACTCCTGTTTTCTTGGACTTCCCCTTTCTTATGCAAGTGGATTATGTTTAATCTAATCTCCTCAGATATATCTGCTGAAAATGAACAACTTGTACTTGGCTTTTTTGACTGGAAGTTAAATAAATGAAAGGTGGTCTCTGACTTGTGTAAAATTGTCTAAGTTGTTACATGGATATGTATTTCTCTCTGGTATGTTACTGTTTATGTTATGTAAGTTTATTATTGGTGTCCCATATACTGTCTTAACAGTTATTTTATTTGTCTTTTTGCTTTCTTTCTTCATTCTGATAATTGTGTACCTCAGTTGGCTGCGCTGTGAAGTGTCTGCCAGTGAACTTGCCAGTGCCTCCAGTCTTTTTCTGAACAGGAAGTTGAATGAGGAGTAGAGCTTTAACTGGTTTGTTCAGCTGATTTTAGATTGTTGCCTTTAACTAGGAAATGAACGAGGGAGAAATGCCATTGATTTTATGAAACCCTGCTCAGATTACATCCTTTATTGTTTAATTTACTTTCTCAGAAATCCAAGGAAACTGCAAAAAAGCCAGCGAAATGTTAAGAATGCCTTTCATATTATTAAACCACAAAGGCCACGGTCAGGCGCAGGGGAACGTTTCTTCAGCCATGGACATGAAAACACTTCGCTGGCCTGTTGTTCTGTTGTTCTGGCTGCTATCCAGAGATGAAAGAAATGCCTAGGTTAGGTTGGAGGTGTGTAATAGCACCACAATGTTGAAAAAAGTGTGAAATGGTAACTTTTGTGTGGTATAGCAGGTGTCACATGTTATGCTATACATATATATCTGTTATTGCCTCTTTCCAGTCAATAGGCCTTATTCTATGTTGTTGTGAACCTTTTGAAGAAAAACTAAGTTTGTGGTTTTGTTTACTGAAAAGACATGTTAATGTTTGTATTTTGTCTTTCCTATCAGGAAGAGTACAGGGCAGAGGGCATCACCTGGCATAACATAGATTACATCGACAACACAGGCTGCATAAACCTCATCAGCAAGAAACCCACAGCACTGCTCCACCTACTGGACGAAGAGTGCAAGTGAGTTATCCAAACTAAAGTAAAATCCTCATACAGTAACTTCTTTGCTGTGCAGTTACCACACAGGCCAAGGTAATGCATAGCATGAATACCTCATATGCATCCCATACGTCTCATCAGGCCTTTCCAACGCAGTCTAACTGGTTCAACAACATCGGTCTTATGATCTTACATTTTTGCAACACTATTGAAAATAGAAACGTGGGCTATTTTTTAAAAAGCTCACTATTTTTCTTGTTTTTTGATCAAGGAAGTGAAACGAAGTTGCCTCTGCTTAAAATAGCTGGAAGTTGGACTGGCCGGATCAGTGGCTTTCATAGTTCAACTCTCTCATGGCACATTCTTCCTTTTCCTGTAGCCGTTGCTTTTCTGTTGAAGTATTGGCAACAGCTCTCATTCTTCTCAAGGCCAAAGAAACTGCACAAGTTTATTGTATCTCTGAAACTTTAACCCCTTATTCTCTGTCCCACTCCCTGACCTCCATCAGTCTACCAAGATACCTAGATGATCTGTAGTCGTATGCACTCAACTGGTCATTGTTGAAACACACAGTGACTTTAAGGAGCTAGAAATTTTGATAACAAACAGTATCGACTGATATATGGTCAAAAATTAAACAGACCCCAATAGTTTAGATTAAACTATGCTTTAATGACAAATTTAACTGTCTCTTGTCAGCTAATGAATATCAGATGCTATTTGCCAGCATTATATGTCAGTTCTTAGTTGTCATTCTCACAGCAGAGACCTACAAAGTCTTAAGTAATGTATTGTGTGTGTTGTAACGGGGTGGGGGTGCGGGGGTGTTCCAGAAATTTTAGTGGTTTGCTGGTTCAAATCAGTCAATCTCTTTTCTTACAAGCAATCAAATATCAGCCTGTTTATCTGCCAAGTTTTCACTGATAAATACACAAAACCTCACCATCGGCCATTACTATCAGGCAACTGATGTATTGGTCAGGCCCTGTTTGAAGCATCTTTGCTAGATTTGTTAAAGGAGATTCTTCAGTTAAACAGTGACCCACAGTGTCATTGATGCAAAGCACCAAAAGCTAGTTAAGTGTTAATAGTAATCCCTTGTGGAAACTCTTCAGCCTGATGTGAGGTACAAGTCAGGGGCTGGTTTTCAGGAGTGTTTTAAGAAAGAAAATCTTCTTAAATATGCCCTCTTTTTTAACTACATACATAAGAAAAAAGTTGAGATAACTTATTATTCTTGAAAAAAACTTCTTAAGAATTGTCTTTGTTTATCTTATACCTTTTCTCTTAAGAGCAATTGTACGAACATGTGGTATTCTTGAAAAAATGTTTTTAATTATTTTCTTAAACTTACAACAGTCACACATCTGTAGATATTGTAGATTTGTAGACATAGATTGTAAGAATTGACTTAAACTGTAACTTCCAATGAGTTTCACAGAATAGATTTTATATGATAAACCAAGGAGGATTTTTTGTGTTGGCTATTTTCTGTCTATTTTCTCCCCCATTACTTCTAGTTCTTGCTTGCTATGTTTTTTTTTTTTGATCATTTGTCCAGGCGTTAATGTGATAACCTGTTAACAGAAATATTGGATTATTTCATTTATCATTTTAATCTGCAAAAATTGACATGACATTGATAGTCTGCATGACAAAAACATTTGGCCTACATACAAAGAAATTCTGTTTCGGAGATGCATGTTATTGCTGGATTTCTAATCAGTACCTTTCACAGCTCAGAGTGTGAGCTAATCAGCACTGCTGTGTGGAGTGTGTGGAGTTTGTTATTGCCTCACCGCAGCTTTTGGACCCGTTCATTATCATTTTCGAGCCCAGCGTGCCCAGCTCCAGGAGAAACTGTTTATTTAAAAGGAGCATTTTGTAGTTGTTAGCACTATAACGAGTGCAGTGCCTTCTGTAGGGACACGCTTTTCTCCTTTCTTTTGTCCACATCAAGTCTTCTGTACAAGCATGTGAAAGGTTACAGCACATAGAGTGAATAGAGCACATGGTTTATATGGTTTCTTATGTCTTTTATGTCTTCTCTGTTCCATTGCAGCTTCCCACAGGCCACTAACCAGACATTACTGGACAAATTCAAGCGGCAACATGAGGGTAACAGTTACATTGAGTTTCCTGCAGTCATGGAGCCGGCTTTCATCATCAGACACTATGCCGGGAAGGTCAAGTACGGCGTGAAGGTGAGAGCTGCATGAAGTATACCTTTAGCTGCTCTGAGAACCACAAGGAACTTCTTTTACGTGCACCGTGGATAACATCCTACATTCTCACACATTGTGATGTGCACTACACATGCCTCAATAATGAAGAGCACTTAAATGATGTAAGACACATTACCCTTGTCTGCTCAGAGAGCTTAATCACTCTGCTGGACTGGCTCCCAGGTGGCCACTCATATTACTTAAATCAAGACTTAGGCCTTGTGAAAGCTTTCTGCTCCCCACTGAATGTGCTTGCAGTCCTTACTGACGACCTGTTATTTAGCTTCAGATATTTGTAGCATTCTTCCATGTTTTTGTTTAGTCTTCAGCGCCGCAAAAAAGAAACACTTTTAAGAGTGAATGGGCCATCTCATCAGAGTGATAAAACTGTCCGCCCAGTTGTTAGCGCAAGGTCAGGATAGAAGTCAGGATAAACTATGTGATGCCTTTGTTTTTGTTAAAGGGGTCATATTATGGAAAACTGATTTTTTTTTTTTTTTTTTAATAAGTCTGATGTACTACAGAAACATTGTTTCAAAATGTAGTATTGACCCATATGGCTTGTATCTTTCATATGTTCTATGTTACCACATATGTGGAAACTAAGCCCCAGAAAGCCTGTTTTGGATTAATCATGGTTGTGATGGCACAACAATGAACACATATCTTTACATATAACCGCCCTTTTAGCCTACAGCGGTTTAGCCCACCATTTCACATTAAAGTGATAAGTATTTTTAATGTTAGTGGATTATAAGAGGTTGGAAATGGTCATGTAAAAATGAATTATGACTGATTTTGGGACATAAAAACCACACAAATCAAAAATGAAAAATGCTTAAAACAATACAGAATATGGGCCCTTTAATAGAATGTTTTGATATTATTCCATGTTATTGAAATCATACCATTAGATTCATGGACTAAGTTGTCTGGCTTTTTGATCCATCTTTAATATTTACTTTCTTATGTATCTTTCATCACAGTACTGCACTCACTTCTTTCGATCCTCTTAATGTTAGTTTTCTTGAAACCTTATGTAATGCAGACCTGACAGCAGCTGCTCTCTGTTGCTGTTTCACCATGAACAGCGAGTTGGATGTAGACGTGGGTTCAGTATGGCTACTCTTAATTCCCTGCTTCCTCTGGCCTCCTCTGTCAGGACTTCAGGGAGAAGAATACGGACCACATGCGGCCGGACATCGTAGCTCTCCTGAAGAGCAGCAAGAACGCCTTCATCTGCGGCCTCATCGGCATCGACCCGGTGGCCACTTTCCGCTGGGCTGTCTTGCGGGCATATTTCAGAGCCGTGGTGGCTTTTAGGGAGGCAGGGAGGAGACGTGTGGAGAAGAAGAGTGGTGAGTCCATCACTTTAGACCCATACACACATACTTCAAGCCTGGAGCACTTTTAGTGTGAGCACAGCCAGAATGTGATATAAGTTTGCATTTGGCATCTTATAAAAAACACTTTATTTAGTTAAAACCATTGTGTTGTAGCCCTTTATTACCTTAAAGAAGGCCTTGCAAATGGGCTGAAATGTAAAGTGTTTATTATTTTATTAATTTCCTCCCCAAATAGACCTTTTTAAATGTTTAGTCAGCTTCTTTTTCTTTTTGTTTTGGTTCAGTACTTTGCATTTGTGCAAAATCTAGACACTTACTGATACTTTAGAACATGATTGCTTAGATTAATTTACATTGATGACCAGGTCACATAATTGTGTGTTATTTCTGGGCCTCATTATCACTCATTTGCAGGGTATTTCCAGCACAGTGCTGTTATATCAGTAATTGCTCACAACAGCCCTCAGTACTTTTGCTGCCATATGATCACAGGTGGGGTCAGTCATTCTGTGTTTGTGTGTGTGTTTGCAGCCAAGACAGCCTGTATTAGCTCAGCTTCTGTACTTGCTCAGTGGTACTGCCTAGCTCCTTCTGCTTGGACTACCTTTTGTTGCCCTGCTGATCTTTAGACCTTTAGCATCTCAGTTCTTTCCCTCTCACTAAACTGGAAGTAGAACTGTTTTGTAGAACAGCTTTAGTATTGTGCAAAAGTCTGAGAAATCCCCTTTCATTTATTTAATTTCCAGTCAAATTGGCCATTAAGTTCAAGTTATTCATTTGTCAGCATCAGGAAAAAGCATATAATGCAATAGCATGTTCAGCATTAAGTGTGTCCATCCTTTGCCTGTATTAAGAGACTTGCTTTCAGTTTTTCAAAGAAATCTGCAGGCATATATTTTTCACACCCTGAAAGTTCAGTCTTAGAAGTTAGTTGCATTTTCTGCTCCTTAAGTAATCCCAGACATATTCAATAATGTTGAAGTCTGGACTCTGAGGTGGCCAGTCCATTGTTCTGAGAACACCAGCAGTTTCTTTGTTTGATTTGCACATTACTTTTTATTTTACTGTTATATTATTATATGACTATTATATAGTCATATAATTATAGTTATATTATAGTTATATTATATGTTTTTCTCGTGTCTCTCAAAGAGGAAAGCTTTAAGGACTGTTTATCTGATGGTCTCATGTTTTTTATATACAGGTCTTTCCTCAAAAGTGAACTCAGTTTTTGATGCTACCATTGCTTGTGCAAGTGGATCATCTTTTATCTAATCTTCTCAGAAATATCTTCAGAAAAATGAATAACTTGTCCTTTATGGCCATTTTGACTGGAAATGAAATAAAATGAAGTGTGTTCTCTGACTTTTGCACAAGTCTGTATAATAAAGGCTTAGAAAAGAATAAGACAAGCTCCTTCAGTTATGTTATGTTGTCTTGTGACCTCGCTTTCACATTAGCCCAGCCCCAGAGGCAAGACAATTCTTATTTAGCTGTAGAGGTCATCAGCTTTTAGTCTAAACAGAGTAATGACCCTCCCTTCATTGCTGTCTCCTAAATACCCCAATCAGACCTGACCTTTTCACTCTAGAATATATACACAACTCCCCCACCATCCCTGTTTTATGAATGAGCCGTGTGTTTCTGAAGATAAATGCTCCAATATTTGAGTCTTGATTACTCATCTAAAAAAGTGCTCACAAAGAAAGGCTTCATTTAATTTAATGAAATCACTCTCAGTCATATTTCATCTTCCTGGAAGGGATGGTCAAATGAGAGAGATGATTACAGGTGACATCATCCTCTCTAAAATAGCAGTTATGCTATGAGGACACAGCCAATGTCGTGCTCATGTAGACGAGACTCAGCGCCTGCAATTTGTATGCCTGTCTCTCTCTGTCTCTGTCTCTCTCTCTACAGCTGCAGCTTTGCAGGTGATTTCTCTTGTAATTGCGCATCTTATTTCTCTCTGTTTAATTTGTCTTCTCTCTCTCCATCTCTCCTCTTTTTTTTTGTTTTGTTCCCTTTTTTGCTTCCCAAGGGCATGATGATGCTGCTCCATGTGCAGTTTTGAAAAGTGTGGATAGTTTTAGCTTTCTGCATCACCCTGTGCATCAGAGAAGCTTAGAGATCCTGCAGAGGTGCAAAGAGGAGAAGTACAGTAAGGCTGCCTTCCCACTATCCTTTCTCCTCACTCCATGCACCCGGGGCTGGGGCGGACGAGGAGCAGCAGCCCAGCCAGATGCTGAAAATAGGGGCAACTAGTTGATTGGATGTCTGCTCATTAATCTGTTATCTTATGTTATTAATTGATTCTTCACCGATAGTTCGATTTTTCCTTTACAATTTTTGTAAACATTGAATAGAAAAAATCTGTATATTCAGGTTTTTTTTAGCCTTTTCTAATTGACTAACCTGACTATTCTGCTAGTCAATTTTCTTCGTTCCAACTTTATTGCAAACTATATTTCATGCTGCAAATCATGTATCATGAAAATGCATTTAAGTATCGTGATGTTATATTATAAAGTACCAAAAAAAAAAAATCCAAAACCTGACTAAATCAAGCCTTGTATTGATCATATTCAACATTAATGTGATTTTCCCAAGTCCACTAAAGTGAGTGGAATAGTGGAATAAACACCATTTAGCTCAACTTTTCACTTGGCTGCTCTCCTCCTCTTGTCTAAGCCCATTGGTTCTGCACCTGTCTGTGTGTCATTACGCATTCTTGCATGTTGTCAGATTTGGGCATCTGTGCCAGTCTCTGTCTCTCACTAACAGCCATGTATGTGGGTTCAGCACAGCCTGCATGCTCATCCAGCAGCCCCCCGCTAACCCCCACCTGGAGCCTGCACTCTGTCCACTCTCAGCCAAGCAGTCCAGCTCCAGTGCAGGGTAATGCCGTCCACTCTCTTCTGCTCTCGGGCCTGTGGGCTGGGAGAAGGGTCTGCGGTGCTGCTAATCACACAAACAGTCAGGCACTTCGGTTATTGCATGATATAGCCACTGATTATTTAGTGTTTAGTGTTTTTGTTGGTATTTTATTTTGTGGGGTTTCGCTTTCCTGTTTAGTAGGTACATCCAACTACACTCATTGGCCATTTTATCGGAAACACCTGCCATAATGGGTGCACTTTGTAGGTTTACAGTTACAGAGTGTAGCCCATCTGTTGCTGCACAAGTTATCAGCAACCCTCCACTCTGTCCATCAAGTGAAGTGGACCAGCACAGGAACACCATTGACCAGATATTATTAGATGTCGGATCATTTTCAGCACAGCAGTGACGGTGACACGATAGTGGCATGTAGTGTGTGGTTCTGGTGCGAGTTTGACACAGCGGCATATTGATTTTATTTGATTGTATTGATTGTATACCTACTGAGTGAACCTTCAGTGCTGTGCAAAAGTGTTAGGCATGATATGTAAAGTAATATATCTGGGCAGTTAGCATTTAACATTAATATTAATATAAACACAAGTAAACAATACCTTGTGATTTTGTGTGTTATTTATGTTTATATTTGGGTATTTCCTTCTTACATGGTAGACAAACCTGATAAAATGGCCTATAAGTGTAGATACATGATAGGTGTGCTTGATAAGCTGGAAGCTCAGTGCATATTTACTAGCTGTAATATATTTTAATATGTTAAAATATCAGATGTTTTGAGTAGCGCAGGTGATGAATCACCAGTTTCTCTACTGCAGCTGTTTTCATATTTTAAACGTTTCTGTAATAACTGGTAGATTAAATTTTCATGTATTTTAAGTACATTTCCACAGACTGTTTTTCTTACTTCCATAGAACTGAGTTAAAATACAGGTAGCACAAATAGCAGAGGAAAAGTCGTTCCTATTTCTCCTATTTTTTTACTTAAATGATTGTTTAGATGGGCATAGCTGTAACTACAATTAGCCTAATTATGAAGCATTAACAGTAACGTACTTTCTAGACTGAGTATTTTAAAAGCAGCTATGTTAGGGCAGCTCTGTTTAACCAGTCACAAAGCTGTGAATGTGCATCCCTCTTACGCTGACCCTCAAAAGCATGTTTTGTGAAATTGACTCATCAACACAAAGGGCTGTCATTTCCAATCCACCCGACATTGGTTAATTCATAATCATGCATATGAATTATATCTTCATGTCATCTATTGTGTTGACCATAACCCCATGCTCACCCTCATCGCTCTGGTATTATTGTATAAAGTCAGTTCCATGCCTGAAGCTCTTGCCTGGCTTCTTTGTGTAAGGGGTGTGCTGTGTGCTTTGTCTCAGGTATGAGCAGAAGGAGCCCTCGCACGCCGCTCTCGGACCTACAGGGCACCAACAACGAGCGGTCTCCTGGGTAAGAATGACACACATCACTATACACATGATTTTAAAGTAATAGATTAACTAAAAGCTACATTTAGTCGGTCTAATAGGGAATATTTGGTGTCTGAAGTTTGCTTCTTTATGATCTATTTAAACCCAAGGCATTAATTGAGATAGTAATAAGCTGAATATATATAAAATCATCATTTACAGGGTGCTTTTTATTGGGAAGTGAATACCCCAAACCCTAACCCCTAAATTTAAACTGCGAATAGATTTATTATGAGCTTAGATTTTAAATTTAAAAAAAAAACTTTATTTCAAAAATGCTGTCCCATGTTGTCATGTAACCCCTAAAGCAGGAGTTTTAGTCTATAGGTGGAGCTTTATTTTGGCCACACCCCGGCATTTTAGAGAAGGAGGTGAGACTGCATCCCTGTCCAAAAAGGGTTTTAAACTTTGACTTGGATTCATAAAAATAACAGGATGTCTTTTAGTGACCACATAAACAAATTTGAGATTACTTAACAACTCAGTGTGGTTTGAGACGTATCTGTGATCACTTAAACTTGCAGTTTGCTTGACACTAATTGATGGGGTATAATATTACGTTACTTTTTAGCAATATTAGCCTTGTAGCCCCAGTGCAAAGCTAAATGAGCTAACTTTTGACACCGCACATGTCTTGGCTGACCGACTGCTTTTAGAGGTAAAGAGAGCATTATGAATTACATTTGCCATCACTTTAACCTTGTACCCTCTCTTTTTGTCATCACTGATACTCACTGTCACAAATGTTTACAGACAACATTCATTAAACTTCAGTCATCTAGTCATCTCTCTGTCTTGACGCTGACTAGGAAGCGCTGTGCATAAGATCTCCTCTGTATATTTCTAACACATGGCTGTTTCTTAGTGAGAAATGATGTGTTGAAGATGAGTCCACAGTCACAGCACTTGTTAAGCCCTTGGCATGGGTCTTTAAGAGGCAGCGATGAGTGTGCAGTGACCCCAAGGATGGCCCCCAGCCTCCTTCGCCTCATACCTCCTTCATGACTGCATGGCATTGAGATTAGCCCGCGTGTCCTCAACAAGTGGCCGGGGGGCCCGATTCCACAACAGCTCTTTTGTTTGCCCGTAAAGTCTTCTTAATGTGATTTGCAACCGCACACACTCGGCTAGGTTACTAAGTGACCGCTAAAACCCCACGCAGCTGCTTCCTGTGTGATGTCAGAGCGCAGCAATGCGCTCTCTCAGAGACTCGGAGGACAGGCCAGAGGGCTGATGGTTACTCACTCTCTGCAGGTTCCACTCCAGCACGCCCACAGTCCTCAGCAGAGGCTCTAAATTACTCCCAGCCTCATGTAGACTTTACAGTCTTTCCATGCTGGAGCGAGCAGGATTCGCTCTGAAATGGGCCCCACCGCATCTGCTTCTGATAAACACAGTGACAAAGGAGTCCAGGTTCATGTAGCTTGCTTTTTATTCTGAAACTACAAGGGGAGTTCAGCCAGTTTTGTCAGCTTTTTTCTCACTCAAAATGAAGATGTTTCTTTTTGCTATGAGTACTGAAATGAATGAAGGATTCTGTTTCTTCAGGCACTTACAATGGAAACTGAAATGTGCAATGTATTGCTAGACGGTTGATGCATGGAGTTTTCATTTCAAGTATTACTCAAAATGAATAATATGACTGAATGAGGACTTTGACTTCTTCAGGTACTCAAAACAAAGATATTGTGGAAACTGCATTGTATTTCTAGTTAGTTGATGCACGGAGCTTTCATTCTTTTTCTTTTAACGTTGCTTGAATGAAGGATTCAATTTGTTCAGGCACTTAAAATAAATACTTTACACAAAGTGCAGTGTATTGCTAGGCCATTGATGCATGGGGTTTTCATTCAAAGCATTTAATGTTGCATGAATGAAGGATTTGGTTTGGTCAGACACTTCAAATGGAAACTCTGTGAAAAGTGCTTCGCTAGGAAGCTGATTCGTTCTACAATCCTCAGTTCCAAAAGGTTGTGATTACTGAGTTCTGTTTGACCTGTAGCTCATGGATTTAGATTTGAAAGTGGAATTTTTTTCCATTATAAGGCTTCAGGGGCCTTCATGGTCATATTTTGTGGTTCATAATGTACCACACGTTTTCAGAGGGAGACAGGACTGGACTTCAGGCAGGCCAGTTGAGCTCTGACACTTTCTGATTATGCAGCCATGCTGTTGTAACACATGCAGTCGGTGGCTTTGCATTGTCATGTTGAAATAAGCTTGGATGCCCCTGAAAATGACATCATCTACACCGAGGTTCCAAAACTGGTCCTCTGAGCACCCAGACAGTCCACATTTTGGCTCCAATCCAACTGGCAAAATACAGGGATAGAGGAAAAATGTGAACTGGTTTGACAGCCAATGACATGTGTCACTCCAAAACATGTAGATATAACAATACGTGTTTCCACTGTGCGTCAGTCCATTTCATATTAGCTCAAACCCAGAGAAGTCGGCGGTGTTTCTGGACATGATTGACACATAGCTTCTTAACTTGCATATGTAGATACAGCATCAAATTTATTAACAAGGGTTTGTCAGAGGATTCCTAAGCCCGTTTGGTGAAGTCAGGGTCAGTTTTTAACGCAGTGCCATCTGAAAGTTCAAAGTTCATGGCAGTCAACTGTAGTTTTTAACTTTGCCCTTTATGCTCAGACTTTTCTCTGGATTTCCCGAATCTTGTCATGATGTCATTTACTGTAAAGGGGGAAATATGCTTGCTTTTTTTGGCAAAGTGGCAAGCCTTGACCCATCCTTGCTCATAAAGGTCCAGCCCTTTCCTGGATGTTCCTTTTAAACCCCAGCATGATTGCATCACCTGTTTTAGATGTTTTTTGAACATTTCAAAAATGCTCCTATCCTTAGGTTATCCCATCTCAGCTTTTTTGGAATGTTTTGTGGGCATCAGTTTTAGAATGAATATATATTTATGAAAAATAGTGACGTTAATGAAAAATCTCTCAGGCCAAAGTGGATTTACCTTTACCGCTCATTCACAAATCACTGCTTTCTGTTTTATTTGCTTTTCATATACTGTCCCAATTTGTTTTGGAATTGAGTTTTGGAAGTATTTGATGTTGCTTCGGCATTTTTATTTATTTATTTTTAGAAATAACATAGTCAGATCTACAGATACACTCTCTCCCCATTTTGGTGTCAGGCACAGAATATTCACCTGCACACCTTCAAATACTCGTCCCTCTCCATTCACCAGTAGTTTGTAGCAATAGAGCAGACTGAGCAGGGGTGGTACTCCCTGCCTGGGGTATTTATAGGTTCAGACTGCACTGTTGCCTCTGCACAAAGCTAATTTATTTGCACAAGGGCCTCTGGCTCATATTGCTTTATGGAAGTACTATTATTTACAGTCCCTGTGCTCAGCATGTCCGTGCATGCCAAAGGTTTAAATCAGCCAGAGGTACTGGACCGGCTGTTATTGTTGTCAGAATGCCTCTGGACCTGGGCTTTTGGGCCTGGCCTTCTTCTTAAGCATGTTGGACCTAATTGCACAGGCCGCAGGCTACGCATGTGGAGTTCTCCAGGGTCTGTGTCACAGCTATGCTGAAAAGTGAGGAAAATCTGCTGCAGCCCTTCAAAGACCAATTAAGTGAATCTAGCATTTATGAGTCTGGCTGTTATTTTAGTCTGCCAGTTGTTTAAAAATACACCCTCTGTTTTGTTACATTGTAAGCAGTGTTTGGTTATTAAAGCAGCCATATCGTGGAATTTTCTTTGCTTTTTATTTACTGTTGTAAATATTGTTAAATTCCAAATAATACCACTCACAACATCTCATTTTTTCAAACGTCTCCGATGATTTCAGTCTGAACTTAAGAGTTTGTTTCATACATTCCAGCCTGGGTAGCTTTTGTTTTGGGTCCAAAAAAGAGAACATTTATTTTCTTAAATGAAATACTTTTTCATTTTTTACGTTTTGTTTTAATTCTCCTACAAACCAAACTAGATAGTGCGTCAAAATAGTGTGCGGCCTCAGAACAGCACTTGTGAGCCACATGTTTAAGATACATTGTGTTAATAATCTTAGGAATGTTCGTTCAAGCTTAATTTTTCATGCTCTAGAAAAACACCCACACAAAATAACCCCAAAATAACCCAACCTACATTAGATTTTAGTACCTGTTCACCATGACTTGCTCTTACTGTGCGTGAAACTGGTCCAGTGAGTCGTTTCCCGTCACATGGGCATCAGATCTGGCTAGAATCCCATCGGTCCAAGCCTTGTGCTGTCTCTGTGTGAGGTAAGACCACTGGAGCAGGTTTAAATCACAACCACAGCTGCAAAGTAAACCTCTCTGCACCCGCAGCCCTCCTGTCTGCTTGTTGAGATGGATGGGCTTTAACCTTCACTTTCCTGGATACCACAAAGCCTTGGAGTGGACTGTCCTTTTTTGTTCCTCTTTCTGTTTTGCCCATGCCTGAGTGGTTTGTCTTAAATGTTTTTTTCTGGGATTAGGGTTAACCATCCCAGCCACTGAACAGACACAAGAGTTTTTGTTCAGCATGGTGAGCGAACTTTACCTTACAGCTAGAAGGATGTCTGAATGTGACTGTGTATTAGACTGTTAGTCCATTGCTGGAAACTTCACTTCAAGTCATGCTTAATGAGAAATGGATGGCTGTGTGCTGCGCTCACATTGGAGAATTGAAGTGGCACAAATCCATAATAAATAACATAAATAAATTTGATCTGTTCACATTACATTAGATTTTTTTGCTCAGATCTTATTTGTCAAGGCCCATATGTGAAAGGCTGTGTTCACAATATGGGATTGAAGCACATGTATTGTTTTTCATAAATGTGTCAGAGTTATGTGTACACAAAATATGATTCAGATCAAATCTGAACCACTTTGGCTTTGTTCACATTTCAATTCACATTTCAGTTTTGCTCAGATCTGATCTTTTAGGACCGTATATGAAAAGGACACGTTTATAGCTGGAACACATAAAGAAACACTAACAACTGTAGTAAATGTGTATATTTTCAATAACTCCTGCTGTGCTGTTTCATTCATCTTACTTTGCTCAAGGAGCCTTGCTGGTGTTGTTTACTAGGTGAACTCCAGTATCACATGGTTGGGAATGGAAGTGAGTCTGTAGATTCCTCTTGAGTGTGTTGGTTCCTGAGCATGTGTTTATTTTGTGTCATCAGAGAGAGCCGGAATGGCCGTGTTGGAAGACAGAGCAGACTGTCCTCTGCTGGCTCTGTCACAGAGGAGGATGGGATCTTCATCAACTCCACCAGCAGCAAGCTCCTGGAGAGAGCACACGGCATCCTCATGTAAGTCTCTCTCTTTCTCTCTCTCTCTCTCTTTCTCTCTCTCTCTCTCCCCTCTCTCTCTCTTTCTCTCTGAGTCAAATGAATGATTTAGCCAGATCAATTTTATACAATTTTCCTCCATAGCCCAAATGTCAGCCAAGACAGCTCTCTCTGATGTCGTGCAGCAAAAACCTATAGCAGTAACCATTTTGAGACTTTGTCACTACTTTTTTCCCATTTTTATAGATACAGATAAGTAATAAGCTTATCTGATATTACTAGGGGTGCAGGAAAAAATCGATTCTTAGATGCATCGCGATGTGGACATGAACGATTCTGAATCGATTCACAAATGTCAAAAATCGATTTTCTAAATATTTAATTTATAACGTAATGTTGACGGAACGCAAAAGGCGGAACTTGGAAGTGCGGAAGTTTAGCGCCCGGACAGTCTGTGGCGGCACATAACAAAAACAGTACTGGATGATCGAGAAATCCGACCGGCTCCCTCTGCATTAAAGCCTTAACACAAATGTTAAGAAGAGCCATTTTATCCTTTCAACAAATATCAAACCAGCTTGGGAGCCGCAACATTTAATGCCCAGTATGTGTCAGTATGTGTTAATGTCCTAGTATTGGCTAAACAATATAAGTTAAACAAAAACACAGATTTACTTCGCTCTGCTTTAAGCTTTAGCTTCTCATTCTCCAGCTTCTTGTTTGAATTTACACGTTCCACCTGGCTGTATGTAAATGCGGCACCATTTAAGGTGGAACGGGAGAATTTGAAAGAGAAGCGACTTCAGCTTCGCCACTTTTTAGTGTTTAACAGTCTCTCGTTGCTGATTTAACGTACCAGGAAACCAACTGCGCCGCTTATAAATGCAAATAACGCATCGCTGCTATGTGACCTGCAGTCTGCACGGCGGTGGCCAAACAGGGCTTTTGCGCTATGTTGCACACGACCCGTCTCAAAGATACTTTACTGACACAGCGATCCCCCCGTCTCTACAACGAGACCAAAACCGAAGGTATAAAATCTCTAATGAAAACGGGTAGAATAGCTGTAACATGTGCTGCGTGGACACCCATCACCACTGGATCTTATTTCACCGTAACTGCGCATTCTCGTGCTCCAAACAAAAGCCCTGAATGAGAGCCTTCTAGTTCACTTGCCACATCACTTTCATCTGTTTTATTAAAAAAGATATTGGAAGTAAATTCATTATGGATCATTACAAATACTTTGCTTTAAAAGTACCAAGTCACTTTAAATAACAATGACACTGAGTTACTTAGTCTCTTTAAAATGTATACTGTCTCTATATTCTGTATATATTTTGTGTATATTTAATATATTTCCGTTGGTTTTTCTTGTATTTTTATTTTTACTTATTTACTTTCTGTAGAGTGATTAGCTGAGCCTCACCACAAGCATTTCAATGCATAAATGTCCTGACATGTTGTGCAAGTGACAAATAAACTTGAAACTTGAACTCACACAGTGAGAAAATATAAATGCTATATAGAAAAAAAAAGATGCATCGAGATGCATCGATAATCGTTTTATAATTGCATCGCAGCCCTCTGAATCGTAATCGAATCGAATCGTGAGGTGCCTAGAGAGTCCCACCCATAGATATTACTTAACCCTTTTTCACAGTAGCCATAAAATGAATGAATGAAATTTCTGCTTGTTTTTGTTTTTGTTTTGTTTTGTTTTTTTTTAAACATTAGAAAATACTTCAATGCAAATGTATGATTTATAAAACCGAAAGAGAACTGAATTGTCATTTTTGTAGGTGAGCAAACAAATAGGTGAGCATTTATAAAATCTTTTATGTTTACATGTTTCTGTCATGGTAGTTGTACACAAGGTTTTGATATTAAGAAAGCTGCTGTTGCCCTTGAATTGTTTTCATAGCAGTGGGTTCCCATCCTTCCTCTTTCACAACGCATTGCTTCCTAGCAGCTCAACCCAGTCACAACATTTCACACACAGAGCCAACAGTGTTCTAGTTAATCTGATAACAGAGTTATGGGGAAAACTTTTTTTATTTTACATTAATTAAAAATATCAGATTTTTTTATTTCCCCCACTGGAATGGCCACTAGTACTTAGACAAGGAGGCTACCAATTAGATGCAAAGCGCTGTTGTCAGAAAAAAACCCTTGTATCTCCAAAATATAGGAGAAAGAAAAAACTACTTTACTTTCTATGTAAGGCAATGGAACCAGACTTTTTTCCAGGTCGTTTTGGGCCATTTCTTTGGGTCCCTTCTTTTGGTCCATTCATGAAATTTACACACAATGTAAAGGCCAATAGACATCTTCAAATTATGTCAAAAACTGAAAACCGTTTTCTACCAACAGTGGCGAAAGGCAAGTGTGTTGTAAGGATTTATGCTTGCAGTTTGCACAGTGTAACCTGGTGGCTATAAGATTTCATTGCTAGTTTGCTACATTAGTTCCAGCTTACTTTGGACAAACGTGTCTTGGTTGATTATTTACATTTAGGGTAATGAGTGAAATTATGTAAATTTCTTTTTTGGCTCAACCATCAGTTCACGCAGTGTCCTGTGTCAGAGTGACCCCAGTTTAGTGTAGAGTCCCTTCTAACCAGTTTTGTGTTGTTTTTTCCCCTCAAGGAGGAACAAAAACTACAAAATGAGACCCAGTCTTCCAAAGGTGAATATTCCATAAGAAGTGGCGCTTTATCTTTTTATTAAGCTGTAATTCTGAGCCGTACGTTTTATTTATAACACATATAATCTGCTGCAGCACTTGCTGGATGTGAAGTCTCTGAAGTACCTGAGTAACCTGACCCTGCATGACCGCATCACCAAATCGCTGCTGCACCTCCACAAGAAGAAGAAACCTCCAAGTATTAGTGCCCAGTTTCAGGTTAGTGCATCTCTTTATTGCTCTCTCTCATGCTTTCCTTCTGTCTCTCCCACTCTATCTCTCTCTCTCTCTCTCAATGTCTTTGTTAGTGTGCTTGCACTTGACTGACCTCAGATTATCCCCAATTAGCTCATCAACCTCACCAAAAGTGAACATTAATTATATCATGTCTGGATTTTTTTCAAAAAAGGAAACAAAAATGCTTTTACTGACTTTTACAACTCATCAGTTTTTATCTCATTTAATTATAATGACATCAATTATAATTATAATAATGGAAGAAGAAAATCAACTACAACGTTATTCATGAAACAGTATTAAGATTACTTAAAATGTATCTTATTACAGAGATTGCTTGTTATTGCATCCAATAGCGACATCCTTAGCCACTCAGAGAGTGCATGAACTCATTTAGTGGATAATCGGAGACGGAACAAAGCCAGTCATTACTCCACAAAGGACAACTCGATCTGTTATCAGCCCAGTGAGCTGTGAGTTTGTTTGGTGGAGAGAATGCAGAACTCTCTCATGCTGATGGTTCCAGCTCATGTTTCCCCCTGCGGAGCAGCGAGCAAGGGAGCGGCGGAGGGCCGTAAACACCCCCGGCTGTCTGCAACCATGCAGCCTCTGGCAGCAGGCCTGCACAAATGTGTGGATGACTTCACTTCCCACATCCTGTTGTGGGGCTGATTGCTCTCTTTTTGGGAGAGGAGAAAGTGAATTCCTGACCACCAAAATAGATGCTTTTCCTTCCCTCAGTCCAGACACTGGCATATACACATACACACATGCAAGCATGTTGGCCTAAGGTCAGGCCGGGCTGTTAGCAGTGCAGCCCATTTCCTTTGATCTCCAAATTAAATTCTGTCCCAACTCACAGAAAATCATGGCTGATAGCTAAACACTAATTATGATTGATACATGTATTGTCTCAATGTAAGAAAACCACATATCTATGAAATGCTAACTTTAAAGGAGAAGGAAAAGAAGGAGAAGGAAAAAGCATTCCTAACTTTTTAAACTTGCATAGGAAAGTCTGTCCACTCAAAGGCCATATTGCAACACCCCTGGACAGTTATTTCCAGTTATTCAAGACCAAACTTGTATCCCTTTGAATGGGGAGAGACCTATAAACGCCAGACTAAAAACCAAATTAATCACTCGTAAAATCTGACCAAAACAGCAGAAATAGTTTGTGGCATTTGACTCAAATAACACACAAAACACGTGGGTTTTTTTTTCAGCCTTCTCTGGCTCCTGCGCATGCACATATTTCCATGGGGGGAGCTTTTCCGCTTGCAGATTTTCCAGCAAGCCACTGGCTCTTTTTGTTGACTTCCCCATAAACTGACAGTGTTTAATGTTACAAGCTTTCTCATTTATTTTCCCGACAGTGAACTGTTCCCTTTCTTAAGAACGCCTTTGCTTTTATGTACAGTACTGTGGAAAAGTCAACAAAAGTAAATGAATTAAAAAAAATGTATATTTATTTCCAGGTAAATGACCAGTAAGTAAAATTTATTCATTTTCAATGTCAGGAAAAAAGCAGAAATATTTTTTGTTTTTCAAAAAAAAAAAAACCTACAGGGATATTTTTCAACACCTTCAAAGTTCAGTCATAGCAATTCGTTGCATTTTCCAAGTAATCCCAACCCAATTCAGTGATGTCCTAGACACATTCAGTGATGCTGAGGTCTGGACTCTGGGATGGACCTCTGGCTTCTTTGATTTAGGATTTTTCTTCCTTTTTTGTTTGTAAGGGCTTCTTGACAGCTACATATCCTTTCAGACCCATTATGTTGTCTTCTCACAGTGGAAGGATGGACAGAAACACCTGTGGATTTTTTCAGATGTGAAACAAGAATGAAGCTTGATTTTTCACCCAAGAAGTAGTTTTGAGTACTGTTTATGTGATGATAACAGTGTTTGAGGTCTACCAGGTCTTGCATGGTTGTTTGGAACCCCAGGTTTTCCTTTGACTTTCTTCGTTCTTGTTCAAATGCATCATGTTAAATCTAATCTCCTCAGAAATATATTCATTATCCATTTTAGATGCGCATGAGTAAGAAACTAGAAGGCAGCCAATGTGAGTTTGGATAGTTGCTCGTGTGAATATTAGTGTCTCTTTGAAGGGGAACAATGTCAGTGATATGCTAACTGTATGTTTCCTGCTTTCTTGTTTAAGGATGGTCTCTTGACTTTTTCATGGTATGTTAATACAAGAAGATTCTTTCGAAAGAGGCCCCGAATATTCTGTTATAACTCCTTTTAGGATGAAGTAATCTGAACCAAAAAAATACACTACATACCTTGACGTATGTGTAATTGATTGCATTACATGCGATGCTGGAAGTGATCTCCGTGTTCTGCCTGACACCTGAAGGGGTACGGGGGTACGCACCCGGAAGTTGCAAACGGAGGTTAAACGTCGCAACAACTGTCTGGCGCCTACCTCGCCGCTCCGACGCAGGGGCATCCCGGCTTGCTTGAAGCTCCATATACTGAGAAGCACAATGCACGTTGTTTCATTCAGATTGCTTCGTCTTAGCGAGAGTTATTACAGAATATTCGGGGCCTCTTTCAAGTGAATCTCCCTGTATTATGACATTTTATTCTGGGTAAATTTGAGCCATTATTACTGGTCCATTCATTGTGAAATGTTCACAAAGTGTAAGGGGCAGTTGACAATTTCAAATGGTAAAAAAAAGGAATTAGAACTGAAAAGACACTTAAAAACACGCTCTTAATATGTTGTGCACATCAAATGATTTCACACTTGAAGTCTGTCTCATGGTTTAATCTTGATGTCAGCCGCATTACATAATGATTTATTCGTATAATCCTTGTTGTTTTTCTCTCTTAAGGCATCTCTTAATAAGCTAATGGAGACTCTTGGTCAGTCCGAGCCCTACTTCGTGAAATGCATCCGATCAAATGCAGAGAAGGTATCTTCCCACATCCAGCCTACATAATAGTGCAAGAATATCAACCCATAAAATAACATTAAAGATGCAGGAATGTGTGTATGTAATTTCTGTCTGTCTCTGCTTTCCATAAGCTGCCCTTGCGGTTTAATGACAGTCTGGTGCTGAGGCAGCTTCGCTACACAGGCATGTTGGAGACGGTTCGCATCCGACAGTCAGGCTACAGCGTCAAATACACTTTTCAGGTATTTACATACAAACACCATTCATCCATATATCCCATGTATACGTATATGTGAGTACCTGCATGATAATATAGCCCATATGAATTCAAATGAATGTCTTAATTTTTCCAGACGTTTATACAAAAGCTTCTTATTGGTAGAGCAGATCCACCTGAGAGTTATTTCAATGTAAGGAAGAAGACTTAAAAAAGACCTTTTTGTACAAAGGACTTAACATGGTCAGTGTCATAGAGACATAGATATAGTGCAGAATCTTTATTATTTTCCTAATTTTGTCTGTACAATGTGCATTTAAGTATCTATGTGGTAATAATATATGGTAATATGGTAAGACCATAGTTGTAACATATTCTTTACTTTGTTTTGCAGTTTTCTAGTGAATTGAATGTTTTAAATGTATTTATTAGGCCCCCACCTTAAGTCAGTCTTTTTCTGGTCTTGACGCTGCGACAAAATGAACCATGTTTAATATTATCATAAGTTTGAAGTCTTGGCTCATGCAAATAGTGACGTGCCAGGGGCTTGCGTGAGAGAGCGAGCGGGCGAGCGCATGCGTGCGACGAGAGAGAGAGAGAGCGTGAGAGCGAGCAAGCAAGGGAGAAAATGCATGCGTGATTGCCTCAAATCCCCGTAAAAAGGCAAATCTGCTCCCCTTAAAAATAATATTCATATATACATTAAAATGTAAACTGGCTGTTTTATTATTTCAGGTTCACTGAGCATAACAGTAACATAAGGAAATGTGCAGAGGACTTTAATAATGGCATTATTGTAGAATCATCAATGTTTTTTTTTTTTGCTTTCTTTTACAGTAGTTTCTTATTTTGTTTGTTTAGTTCATAACACCCAATAAACAGTACTGAATCATGACATGTTTTGTTGATATGTAAATCTTTATGTTAAACAAAAAAGAAAGAGGTAACTGTACATTTTACAGATTAATTAAAAAAATTCTGGGTGATGATTTGCCAGAATATACAGTTCTACAGCGAACTGTGCTGAGATCTTTACATGCACAGCCCGCGTATCTTCCCATCTATATCGCTATATAGTGGAAAGAAAAGGTAAATTTCCACCAAGTGCATGATGGGTAGTACTCTCAAAAACCTAGTTGCAATCTTGCAAATAGTGACCCTGCAAGATAACCAGTCTCTGAAAAATCATAGTCTGTGACTAAAAACTGTGACATTGTCTTTAGATGTGAGAGGGTGTCAGACTTTAGTCTTTCAAAAGTCTTTTCAAAGTCGTCTAGTGTATGGTCAGCATAAGTAAGAAGTTACTTAATATTTTAGCATAAAAACATTCATTTGAAGTGTATAAGCACAAATTTGGACGCACTGTACGTGAATGAGCCTGTTAGCTATCTCAGCTGTGTGCACATAAGTTATGTTCATGCATTCACTGCAGTGCTAAAATACACATGCCTTTTTCAGATACATTTTGCAAGCTATACAAAGACTAAGATGAGTTTGGTTTTACATACACCAATCAGGCATAACATTATGACCTAAACCATTATAACCTTGTTTCTATGCTCATTGTCCATTTTATCAGCTCCACTTACTATATAGGTGCACTTTGTAGTTCTACAATTAGACTGTAGTCCATCTGTTTCTCTGCATACTTTGTTAGCCCCCTTTTACCCTGTTCTTCAGTGGTCAGGACCCCCATGGACCCTCGCAGAGCAGGTACTATTTGGGTGGTGGATCATTCTCAGCACTGCAGTAACACTGATGTGGTGGTGGTGTGTTAGTGTGTGCTGTGCTGGTACGAGTGGATCAGACACAGCAGTGCTGCTGGAGTTTTTAAACACTGTGTCCACTCACTGTCCACTCTATTAGACACTCCTACCCTGTCAGTCCACCTTGTAGATGTAAAGTCAGAGACGATAGCTCATCTGCTGCTGCACAGTTTGTGTTGTTCATCCTCTAGTCCTTCATCAGTGGTCACAGGACGCTGCCCACAGGACGCTGTTGGCTGGATTTTTTTTGGTTGGTGGACTATTCTCAGTCCAGCAGTGACACTGAGGTGTTTAAAAACTCCAGCAGCACTGCTGTGTCTGATCCACTCAGACCAGCGCAACACACACTAACACACACTGACCACCACATCAGTGTTACTGCAGTGCTGAGTATGAGGATGATCCACCACCCAAATAGTACCTGCTCTGTGAGGGCAACACATCCTCCATGGGGGTCCTGACCACTGAAGAACAGGGTAAAAGGGGGCTAACAAAGTATGCAGAGAAACAGATGGACTACAGTCTGTAACTGTAGAACTACAAAGTGCACCTATATAGTAAGTGGAGCTGATAAAACAGACAATTAGCATAGAAACAAGGACATAATGTTATGCCTGATCGGTGTATATTCAAATATGTTCCCCCATTCCTATGAAACAATAGATCAGATAGCCTAGATTTGGTTATATTAGTCAGAAATGTAACTTTTACACTGAAATGTACTCATTATTGTCTTGTCACAGCCCATAAATTGGACATTGTTGCAGGAAAACACAGTACACCTCAGCACTTTTGTTGTATCTTTGTTTTTTGGGAGTGTGTTTACATTTGATCCATAGAAAATCTTTTATTTGACGGTGCAGAGATGGAGAGCCAATATGCCCAGTGGCTTCACTTCATTCACCTCATTGTGATGTCATTAAAGGATCTCTGTGTCTCTGTGATGTATATAGAGAGTTAGATTGCTGATTGTGTCACAATGACAGCATTTTTGGTGAGCAGAAAACCGAAGAACAAGTTGTACTGTGTTTTCCTCCATCAATACACAAATTATCGACTGTGGAAAGACATTTCATTTGTACGTATCTGTGTACAAGTTGTATTTTATGACTAATATAATCTACTCTAAACTGATACTGTTACATGACTTGGACTCGAGTCCGACTCTAGTCATAAATTTGATGACTTGAGACTCGCCTGGAGAAAATCGAGAAAGACTTGCGACTCGACTTCGACTTGAACACCAGTGACTCAGACTTTGACTCGGACTTCAACGTTAAGACTCATCAGATTCTTGATACTGTTTTTATGTTCGGCTTATTTTATTTCGGAAGACAAGCGAAGCGTTTAGAGCTCAACTTCGCCTCCACGAGCTGGAAACAGGCGAAGCATCGAAAGCATCACTGCGCCCTCACTCAGCACTTCAACTTACTGACCAGGCGAAATGTCCGTTTTCCTCATGCTAGTTAAACAAAAGAACGAAACAGACTCAGCTCTCTCTGCTTGACCAATTGCTATAAGCTATAATAGCGTCTGCAGGTAAAACAACCGCAGCATTCACCACGAGGCTGAAGCTGACTTATTATTCGCCAGCTTCATGTTGGAATTGTCCGTTCCACCTTAAATGGTGCAGCACTTGAGAAGGGTCTGACTGCAGAGCCGCAGATTCACACCAGCAGTTTCACGCCCGCGGTTTCGGGCCAGTGTAGCGCATGCGCAGTAGGACAGCGCGATTGTGCCATGTAAACAAAGTCCTTATAGCAAAGTTGAGCATGACGAGCGTTTCCATTCATATTTCAGCCAGTGGTCAGTCTCCTCATTTATAAGCCTCTGATGTAACTTACATAGCGACTGATCGTGCATATCACCATTCAGGAAAGGAGACCGTTGCGAATATACGAATCAGCCATTGGTAACCGGTTACACTATAAACCAAAACACATTACAAAACCATCAGAAACCAAAAGAAACACTTAATGGTTTCTATGGGTTTTTTTCAGCAGCTATACGCTCAAAAACTCAGTTTAAGGCTGCTTAAGGTAAAGTTTTATTCCTGCACATGCGATGTAAGTGTACACATAAAGTCCCCATATTAAGGATAAGTTGATTTAGCTATATGTCTTCATAACCCATTAGCTAACCCAGGCAACATAAGCTGTAGTGTAATATTTACCCTGTGAATATCTATATGCATTCAAACCAAAGTTTGTTTTAGCCTAAAGCTTAAAATATAATGTTAACCCAACGCACACTTACTGAAAACCCACATACAACGACTGTAATGTTGATTACCCTAAAATTTGCTAAGAAAAACCACAAGTATCGGCGCATGTGCTGAATGCCACTGGCTTGAACCTGCTGGAGTGAAACTGTGGCTTTGCGGCTCTGCAGCCAGATATTATTGGGGGGCTGGTGAAAAAAGTCTTCAACTTCAGCTGCATACATTCACCATCATGTTGCTGTTTTTTCTGTAAACTTTGTTATTTATTTATATGTGTATATATATATATATATATATATATATATATATATCTTAACTTCCATCATTTGCTTTATCAGTTTTAAAATGAAACACTTTATAATAAAATCATGACAATTTATTTCTGTTTTCCTCTGGTTTTCTTACAAAATCCTGAAAATATGCAAAAACAAGACAGACACATTAAAAAGGCACACAGACATCCAGTGACTGCTGAAAGTTTATTAGCATGGACCATTCACTTTTTCCTCCCTGTACTGAAGGGTGTATATGGGTTATGTCATTTCCTGTGTCCATTCGTGTCCATGGTATCCAGGGTTGAAATCATTGTTTCCAGTTTGACCTCTTCCTTGCCTAGGTGTGGTCAGCAGGTCCTTGATTATTGTTGCCATCATTTCACAGTGCTTGATGACAGAAATATGTAGGTCACGAGTGTAAATGATATACATCTAAATGATGCGTTCTGCCCTGTGCAACATAAAATATTATAATTTTGCAAAGTGCAAGCATGTCAAAACAAAGCCGCGAGACGCTAGTAAGTCGCTAGTGTCTAGCAGCACCCCTTAATCATGTTAAAATATCCACCATGGAGAACCTCGAGTGACTTACTGCTTTAAAAAAACAAAACAAATGTACATGTTTAATGTATATTTTACGTTATTATTAATAATAATTGTGATAAACAACACCAAACTCAGCAGGTAGTGGTTGCCAAGCAACATACAATCAAAGATTATTCCAGGAACAGCACAATGGCATCTCCCTGCTTTGAACATGGCTCAGTTTTAGAACAGTTTTCATAGCTCAGTTTTCACTTTTTACTGTTGGAAGTCCCCTCAGCCTCGTGGCCAAGTGACTCTTCAATAACTGAATTAAACTGTCTTCTGCTCCAGTAATTCCCCCAGCGTGTGAGTGGGATGCAGTCTTTATTGGTGGATGTCTGGACAGTGTGCTCACCTTGGCAGTCTGGTCCTCTACACAGCCTCTGTATTGTCTTTAATGAATGTGGCCTGGAATAATTACATACACAGAGCATCTGTTTCCCATGCTTTCCACCCCCTACGGTCTGCAACGAACGAAGCTTGTGTTTCCCTCTGGGATTGGATAAATGTTTTTCCAGTGATCTTAACTGCTTCGAATATGCCTAATATCCACTGCTAGGCCAGGTGGACGTTGAACAGCAGATCGTGTTGGGCTGCACATATTAGATATTGTATATGTGGATATGCAAATGTCTTTCTAATGGTTTAATTTTTTGCTCGTTAGGAGTTTGTTCGTCACTTTCACGTGATGCTTCCTGAGGATCTAGAGCCCACACAGGAGAGCATCAGAAGCTACCTCTGCCAGGTGGACCTTCCACCTGATGGCTTCCAAGTCGGCTCCTCTATGGTATGACCCTGACCTCCCTGCTGTCGGAAAAAAAATAATTCACGATACTTGAGGACATTTTCATATTTAATTTTTCAGAGTTTAGGGAAAAAGTTGAAACAGGCAAAATGCAACAGCAAACAGTAGTGACCCATTTAAAAAAAAAAAAATCTCTGAAAAACTGAATGCAAGGTTTTTTTTTTTTATTTAACATTTGCAAAACTAAGCTATTCAAGTGTGAACAGGAGGGAACATTAAACAATTGGTAAAAACAAATGAATTAAAATGGTACAATGGGCTGACATCTGATCAGTTACTTGTTGCTGTATAATTCATGTTGTTATTATACACTAAATATTGTTTGCACAATGAACTAAAGTAAAGCCTCAGAAAAGCATATCATAACATAATTTTTCATGATAATGATGACATACCATCATATTGCCTACCCTTTCACAGTTGCATTGCCAAAATGACTATAATAAGAGGACCAAAACTGTCTCTCTTGTAGACGAGTTTGTTAGAAGCTAATGGTCACATGCCAGAGGTCTGTAGTTTGGTCTGATATCTGTAAGATGACAAACTGCCCACGTTTATTAATAGTGCTCTCAGTAGTGCATACAGTTTGGAATGTGACTGGTATTGGCTGTGTGCGTTAGGTATTCCTCCGTGAGGTGGACCGCCAGCAGCTGCAGGACCTTCTCCATCAGGAAGTGTTGAGGAGAATTGTGAATCTCCAGCGCCGCTTCCGAGCCTTGCAGGAGAGAAACAATTTGCTCATGATGAGACAGGCTGCCTGCATCATACAGGTACTGTTACTACCTCTCTAATCCTAACACTTCACTGTAGAACGCTGACTTACCTGCTTTTTCTAGTTAGGAGTAACTGCAAATTATGTGCTTGCTGTATACTGCTCTGTGCAGCCACAGTATTGTTTATTCAGTCTGTTGGCTGACCTGTGTTGATTATAAGGCTATTTGCGTTTGTGCGTGACATTAAGAAAGTATTTGGGGGATTTGACTTTATTAGAAATGTTCTGTGTCATTTGGAAAGATCTTTCAGCAGCTCAGTTCCTGCTCAGTCACTCATGAAAGTGGACCACTGGTACAAGGAGCTTTTCTTCATGGAACAAAAATAAACATGTTCGGTGCAGAAATTTGAAGCAGGAGAATGACCCGTGAAATATAAATAGCTTATGTTAATTGCAAAGAAAACCTGCACAAACAATTCTGAGTGAAGTGTAATTATAATGTCAAACCTATGAACAAATCAAATAACTTTCAAATAGTTTTCAAATCAAATAGTTTTTTTTTTCATTTCTGTCACAGTGCTGGAAGGAATAATGGCAAAAACTTTACATGGCTGTTTTTGGTCTGTTGTGATATTGTCTTCGTTTTCTAATGAATACATTTATTCCACATTGAAAAAAAAGAAATAATTTTGAAATGCTTGTGTCCTAAAAGAAAGTCTAACTGGCTGATGTCACTTACCAAATTTCTCCAACTGTACTGGTCTTCGTATGCAGCGCTTCTGGCGGAGCAGCCGGGCCAGGCAGAGGAATGAGCAGCTGGAGTATGATCGTAACATCCAGCAGGGAGCAGCAGTGTGTATCCAGTCAGCCTGGAGGGGGTTCAGAGACCGCCACAGATTTTTGCTATGGAGAAAAGCGGTCCTGGTCATCCAGAGGAACTGGAGAGTATGCCGTTATCGACGGGGTCGAGCTGCTCTCATGATCCAGGCTGCCTGGAAAAGCCACAAGGCCAGGAAGCACTACCTCCAGCAACGGCACATGGTCATTGCACTCCAGGCGGCATGGAGAGGCTATTTGGCTAGGCAGAGGTAAGCTACTGCCCTCACTACAGAGGACTGCTTTGTTTAGCCATATTGCTTAATAATACAGGCAGTTTGTTGGTCTCTGAAATGGCCTGGATCAGGCCAATCCATGACCTAAGCTTGTTCTTGCTCAGATCTTACTGGTAGCCAGCCAGAAATCTCCTGATTCGCTCACTGCTAATATTACACAAACGTTCCGACGCTAAGTAGGAGCATTGTGTTGGGGGGAAAAGTGTAGAATTGTCTCAGAGTTCCACACCGAGTGGCCTGAGTGCTGTTAAATTCTGTGAATGTGTTGGAAAAAGGCTTAGTTTTGAGTTTCATGTATTTTGCACAGCATTCTGGTGAGTATGTGTGTAGTCTTGCACCAGCAGAGGTTCTCTACTTCATCAACAGCCTTTATGTTTTGTTTATTCATTTTTTTTTTTTTTTCCAAATCTGTAGGTTCAGAGAACTAAGAGAGCAGAAGCTGAAGGATACTCAGTTGCTAAATGGACAGATAAGCCTGACTCCAGAGGAAGAGAACCCAAGGATCATGGGCCTGGACTTGAGCACATGGGAGGACTCCTCCTATAATGAGCGAGAGAGGAGCCTGCAGCGCCTAAGCGAGACCGAGGCCTCTCAGGAGGAGCCACACATTGAGGCCTTGCAAGAGACGCAGCAGAAGGACAAAGATGTGCAAGAGGAAGAAGCAGCAGCAGGACGACCAATTGCTCAGGTGGTGGTCAGAGAGAGAGCACGGACGCTGGACGATTCCAACCAGAAGAAGCGAGCCAAGAGGGAGAGCCGGCGGATGCGGGAGCTGGAGCAGGCGAAGTTTAGCCTAGAGCTGCTGAAAGTACGTTCTGCACAAGAGTTTGAGGAGAGACGCTGGTCAATTGAGCTGCCCGGTGAAGGTGTCCAGTCTCCTCAGGGCACCCCAGACAGCCAGAGCTCCAAAGGCAGCTTTGAGCTGCTTAGTATGGATGACTATCCCAAAGACAGGGCACCATATGCTGAAGCTGAAGACCTTGGCTCTCCTTCTTCAGCACCAGAGGAATACGAAACATTCTGCAGCGTCCCCAGATCTGTTCTTCCTCTGGATTCTCTTGCACCTGAAAGTCCTAAAAAAGAGCCAGCCATGAAGCCTGTACTTCCAAAACTGGAGAACTCTCTCCCAACCTTTTACATCCCTCCAGTAGATGGCAGCTCTACAGTCACAAAGCCTAGCATGGATGCAGCATCCTCCACCACACAGCCTGAGAGTCCTGCAAAGTCTTTGAAGGACAGAAGAGAGTCTTCCCGCAGACCCATGGTGGTGGTTATCAGTATGCAGAAAGAAACCTCACTAATTGAAGGAAGCATAAAGACACCAGAAGTCCGAGACAGCGCTGCCCAGACCAGCGAGCCACCCAGCCCAGCTCAGGTCGACAGCAGCGGCAGCCTGTCCGTGCTAGAGAGGCTAGAGAAGCTGAATGAGGAAAAGCAGGAGCGGCGGAAGCAGCAGCAACAACAGAACGAGAAGGAGATGATGGAGCAGATCCGCCAGCAAAAGGAAGTCCTGGAGAAGCAGCGCAAGTACTTTGCCCAGTACGAGCGAGAGATGTTTGAGAAGCAAAGGGGTGAGGCCCTGCAGAGGATAGAGCAAAGCCGGCTGGAAGGCCCCGAAAGAGCGACACCTAGGTCCAGCTCCGACATCACAGACAGAGGACCGGCTCCCATAGCCCAGCCTGAGCCAGATCTCCTCTCAGGCTCTCCAAAGGCTCAAAACAAACAGGCCGCTCTCTCCACAGTGAGGGAAAGGCCAAAAGACAAACGCACCATGCCGGATGGATGGGCCCCCAAACTAACCTTGGAGTCCCGAGATGTTGCGGCAAGAGGGAGCCCACATAAGAAGCCCCCCACGCCAAGCGTCAACATCAATATGGCAGAGAGGCCTGGAAATATATTCTTCTCGCCTAAAGACAAGGCTTCCTTCTCAAAGTAAGTGTGAAGTTTTTGACTCCCCACAGGGTGCTGTCATTCACAATTGTACAGTTCTTTACTTGGAAACGAAATTCATGGAAACTTAACAAATGCCTTGCAGGTTTGAAAAGGAATTCACCGGTCAAAAGAAGTCACCAGAAGTTCACAAAGAGGCCGCCCCCTCAGATTTCAAATCCTCAATTTCGAAAACACCGAAAGGTCGTGAGGTGAGGAAAATAAACCTTAATCTCACATTTGACACCATAAGACCATGCCAACTGGGTGTAGCCTTTGAGAAAAAAAACGAGAAGAAATTGTGAAGGAAATGTATTACTTTTGCTTGTGAGTGTATTTTTGCGTGTAATGTTATCTTGTAAGACAAGCGCATTCTGGATCACAGGAACATGCACTTGTGGTAAACACCGTTGCACGGGGGGGTTGTCACAGGAGCATTTTTATACATGTGTTGTTATTGTTTGGTTGATCAGGTTGGCAGACCAGGCCATAAAAAAGCCCGCATGGCGCGGACGCGTTCTGACTTCCTGACCCGCGGTTCAAATGCCCCGGGGGAGGGGGAGTCAGAGGAGGAAGAGTATGATGAGACCCCTCTGTCTCTTGGCCCACCCCTCCCCAAGCAGGACTCAGAGGGGGGGACACTAGAGGCTTGTCACAGTGACTCTGAAATGGTAATTAAAACGGACCGCGCTCCCCCCAACGCAGGCCCAAACCCAACAGCGTGGCCTCTCTCTACAGCTAACCCCCTCCAGAACCTCCTGATAGACTTCTGTACTCACCACTCAAACAGCTGCAGCACTGTAGATTCTACAATGTATACTATAATCTGGGAAACACCTTTTGAAAACCGTCCTCATCTGTGATGGCAGTCATATTTGCTCTTCTATATGCATGAGTTCTCTTGCTTCTTTGCGCATGTCTCTATGTTTGAGAGGAAAAGAGTTGAGCATGTATGTTTTAAACACCAGTAGGTAAAAGCGTTTATTGCATTTCGGCACTTACAGTATAGAGCCAGTCAGATCAAATAATTTATTTTGAATTTAGGCAAACGTTATTGTTTCCACAGTAACTCAACAGTAGCAAATGGTTCTTAAAACAATTCTGGTTGTTTTCATGGATGAAACTGATTGTGGTACAAACAATAAAACTTATATTTTTGTCAATTTCAGCCACACAGATCTGGATAACTCCTCTCAGAAGTGTGTTTTCCCTCCATAAATTAAGAAAAAAAAACATTCTGCATTTTAACCCACACTACGCTTTGCATTCTGATTACTGCGCTAGACTAGACCGTAACAGCCACGCTAGCTTCAGGTTGCCTGCGTTCCACAGTCCGGACTTCTGCTGCCCACAGATTCTGCTCAATGTATCACCCTGTATAATGATCACTGCATGCTTTATACACCAGCTTTCTTTTCTTCTCTCTCTTACTAGTAGAGCCTCCCCTCAGTGCGAGGCACAGGACATCTGCGGCCACCTTGGCCGTTCCCTCACCCTGTAGATTCATTCATTGCCACTCTTTAATCTTCATTTTCTTCTTTTTTTTGTAACAAACTCTCTTTCTCATTGTGTTTACAAGTATTCCTGTATACATGTATGTTCATTTTCAGTGTGTGTTTGATAATAGTGAATAAATGTCTGGTTTTTTACTAGAAGATCTTAAATTGCATTTTACCAGTAGTGTTTTTGTACTGTAAGTGTACTCTGATCACCTTCCACTGGCAGAAGGTGTTGGCTGATGAAATTGGAAGACATTCTGTTACATGTAGTACAAACCTCTAAACAGATCAAGAAGCATATTTGGGAAAAATTGAACATGCTCCTGTCTTCATCTTTTTGTTTTTTTTTCTCGTTATTTTTCTTAGGTTTTTTTTTGTGCTCCCCAAGATGGAATGCCATACGATCTATTCACTTTTTTCCCAATTTTTAAATAAACTAATGTGTTTTTTTCAGCCCTCCACACCCACTGAGGAGCAAAAGAGGATGCACAAAACTATGTCATCTGGTGACCTTGGCAAGAGTGAAACCTTGAGAAAGAATTCTCAGGGAGATGGAAGGTGGTTATAAACAAATCCTGTTAATTTATTCACATTATTAATTATCTCACAATATTAATCATGTATAGTGGTCATAACCTTTTAAATTCTTTCTTAATTTTTCAATCTAATATCCTCTAGCTTTGAAAAAATATAAAAGCATATGTTTTTGCCCTCAGGGTTCGAGGTAAGATGCGGTTCTGGACAAAGACGAAGCAGGCAGAAAAGAAGTCCTCCAGGGAGAGGCTAGTGTGCGGCAGTGACACTATGGACGGAGACTATGCTGACACCGCACTCCTCATGGGTGAAGGTGGGAGGAAGGGACTTAGTCTTATCAACTTTTTCCTGCATGCATTCTCTGTGGGAGATGACCCATTTGTGTCTGTCTGCAGGAGAATGCCTGTCCCCACCGCACAGCCCTGACTTTAGCAGCCAGCGGGATTTTAAGGAGAACAAGGAACCGTCACCCAAAGTGAAGCGCCGCCGCAGTGTGAAGATCAGCAGCGTGGCTCTAGAACCCGCCCAGTGGCAGAACGATGCACTACAGATCCTCACGTGTGCCAATGACTACAAGAGCATGAATGAGTTCCTTATGAAGAAGGTACAGCTCTGGCTTTTTTTAGTCTGCAGCCCCCTCAAGTGCTCCTTCCCTGAATTAAAACAAGTTGCACATATTTTGGAAACTGCAGATGACACAATGTTGCTTTTTTTTTTTTTACTGAAATCAGCTAAGACTGATTTGAATTTTTAAAAACAAAAAAGATTTAGTATCCCTTTAACTACACTTGGCCCGAAAACTTCCATAATACTTCTTTTTTGCAAAAATGTAGATAGGTTCATCCCATTACTGTTTTTGACAGTCAGATCAGTGCCTTCGTTTTCTGTACCATCTCTGAATAAATATGTCTTACCTAATGTTCCACAGATCAATGATTTGGATACAGAGGACAGTAAGAAAGACACAATGGTGGATGTCGTCTTTAAAAAGGCGCTCAAAGAATTCCGCATCAACATTTTCAACTCCTACTCCACAGCTTTGGCCGTGAGTAAAGTCCTTCTGTTAAAACATGAATGAAAGTCTCAGAACATGTACTAATACCTAACTAACCAGTATAGATTTCAGTTTGTCCTGTGAGAGTCCTGTTTTGCTTTTGTTCTCACCCTCATTTGTTCCATGTGCGCAGATGGATGACGGAAAGAGTATCCGCTATAAGGATCTGTACGCGCTCTTCGAGCAGATCCTGGAGAAGACCATGCGCCAGGAGCAGAGAGACTGGAGCGAGTCCCCTGTTAAAGTATGGGTGAACACCTTTAAAGTGTTCCTGGATGAGTTTATGACCGAGTACAAACCACTGGACAGCAGCGTGAGCAAAGTATGCCACTCATTTCTGTCTCCTGCATCTTGCATTGTGTTACACATATCTAAGTCTCGCTCTGCATGCTCACATTTATACTTGTCTAAATTACAGGCCTCTAAACCCGACCGCAAGAAGAGAAGGAAAAAGGACTCGGACATTGTGAGTTAAATGATAAACTGCCCATTATGCATTGTGACCTTTTTTGTTTCTGTGTCACTAGTATTGTTTTGTTTTATTCTTGTGACTATGCCTTTGTTTTTCTCCAGGTGGAGGAACACAACGGCCATGTTTTCAAGTCCACTCAGTACAGCATTCCCACATACTGCGAGTACTGCTCCTCCCTCATCTGGATGATGGACAAAGCGTGCGTCTGCAAACGTGAGTTTGTGTCCTCAGTCTCGAGACTCCTCACCAAAATGGCCCTGACCTCAATTTAACATAATCAGATTGTTTACCGCCGGACCCATGGCTTCTTAAGGGCATACTGCTCTGTTTTGGGACAGTTTGGCTTTGTCAGGCAGGATGTTTTCCCCACATCTGCCATGTTACAGTGTGAGGAATGTTGGCTTCGGCTCGAAACGTGTGTTTTCCACACGTTGTTTGACTTTTTCCTGAGATCTGCATGAGACCTGAGAGGTTGGGTTTAAAAAATGAGACTCATTGAGATGTCTGTTTCTTGTGTAGTATGCCGGTACGCCTGCCACAGAAAGTGCTGTCTGAAGATGACGACCAAATGCAGCAAGAAGGTAAGGAATTTCTCTCTGTAATTACCATCACATGTGATTGGCACTTAATTGTTACTTGTTTACTGAAACTCTCTGTTCCATGTCATGAGACAAATGACAATAAACTCGATTGTCTTGCTTTTTTGCTTGACTTTTTATTGCACTGAATGGGCATTTAGAGATAAAGCTTAAACCATTATCTGTTTTTGGTGCGTAGTACGATCCTGAACTGTCATCGAGGCAGTTTGGGGTGGAGGTGTCCCGTTTGACCAATGACGAGCGCTCCGTACCTTTGGTGGTGGAGAAACTCATCAACTACATTGAGATGCACGGCCTCTACACAGAGGGCATCTACAGGAAGTCTGGCTCCACCAGTAAGGTCAAAGAACTGAAGCAGGCTCTGGACACAGGTACAGCACTTGAAACAACCAACAGAGACAATAGCTGCTGGACTGCCAGCTCGGAGTCATGTTATTGTTCACCCCAAGGAATAACATGGTCACTCGCCTGTGGTTTGATCTCTCTCCATTGTTATCTGTCCCTCAGATGTGAACAGTGTGAATCTGGATGAGTTCAATATCCACGTCATTGCCAGTGTTTTCAAGCAGTGGTTGCGTGATTTGCCCAATCCCCTTATGACCTTCGAACTGTATGAGGAATTCCTGAGAGTCATGGGTAAGTGGTTTGTCTGGCTTAGTTCCAGTTTAATTCTTGATCTTTTCTTTTAACTGTTTTGGGTGTTCTTATAAACAGTTTGGCTGATAATTGTACACTACATATAGGAAAAATATAGCTAAAAAAAACAGGAGTTATTGCACAAGTATGTTTGGATTATATTTGTGGTTCTAGCACAAAAATTAGTCTTTGCACTTTCCAATTTTCAGGCCTTCCAGACAAAAAGGAGGTCGTACGAGGGGTCTATTCTGTGGTAGATCAGCTTAGCAGAACTCATCTGTACACACTGGAAAGACTCATCTTCCACCTGGTCAGGTAAGAAGACTCCGAAATCCCCATCTCCTGTTCTTTTTGACTGTCACCACATCCGTTTATGAACACTGTTTTATCTATTTGTATTGTGTCCAGAATTGCACTGCAAGAAGAAACCAACCGCATGTCTGCTAACGCTCTGGCTATCGTCTTTGCCCCCTGTGTTCTCCGTTGCCCGGACACTATCGACCCACTGCAGAGCGTACAAGATATTGGCAAAACCACAGCGTACGTTATGACTCTTTACTCTGTAGGGTCAGATGAGGCCCAGCAAGTTCACTTAGTATACATTGTACTTACCTGTGTTCCTTTGTTTGGTCCACCATTATTATGGACATAGATGGCAGTAGATTTCTGATCCAGCATCTGATTTAATATTGCGCCTGTGTTTTTGTGTTCAACAGATGTATAGAACTGATCATATGTGAGCAAATGAACAAGTATAAAGCCAGGCTGAAGGACATTAACAGTCTGGAGTTCGCTGAGAACAAAGCCAAGAGCCGACTGACACTCATTCGCAGGTCTATGGTAAGTAAAACAGAGGTAGACTAATAAAAGGAATACTCAAGCATTTTTCTGATGCATCTGTAGTGTACAATGATTACCATGGCCAGTACTTTAATGGTGTTTCCCCGTACTTAGAAACATAAACAAATTGACTTGCGACACTGGTAATAAAAGCCAAAGCACTGAGCCAGTACTGGGAACCAAGTTCTAATGGTCCATGGTGAATGACCGTTTGCAAAATTTGGAGAAAATCACTCCTCCTTTATATAAATATATATAAATTGATGGATACTGAATGAGAAAAGAAGTGACCTATTTTTCCTTGTTAGCCAACCTGGGTACAGATTTGATCTTAAGCGTGTAGAGAAATGGCTATTTTATTATTTAAATGTATTATGAATGATAATGTAGGGCTGCTGCAGTGGCAGATTTTTGTCACAACAATGTTTGGATACCATAATGTATGATTTACAGTATTGGAACTGTGGGGGTGATGTTAGGGTAGCATACATTCAAAACATCTTTATTAATTAAAAAAAAGGCCTGTTTACACGGATGAGCTAAAACATTATGTTCACTCAGGGATTAACCATATAATGCTGATTATCTCATAGCAACGGCGCATGTTTAGGTCTGGGATATATTAGACAGTAAGCGAAAGTGTGGTTCTCATAGCCGACGTGTTGGATATGGGAGAAATGGGCAGGCGTGAAGACCTGAGTGACTTTGACATGGGACAAATTGTTATGGCCAGACGACTGGGTCAGAGCATCTCAGAAACAGCAAAGCTTGTGAGGGACCTCCGGTCAACAGTGTTGAGTACCTATTGACAGTGGTCAGAGGAGGGACAGACCACGAACCAGCAACAGGGTACTGGGCACCCAAAGCTTATTGATGCGCGAGAGCAACAAAGGCCAACCCGTCTGGTCCGAGCCAACAGAAGGGCTACTGTAGCACAAGTCACAGAATGTTATAATGATGGTTAAGGGGGGGTGTGTGATGTGTCACAACTCACAGTGCATCGCACTTTGCTGAGTATGGGGCTGCATAGCTGCAGACCAGTAAGAGTGCTCATGCTAACTCATGTCCACCGTCAAAAGTCCCTACAATGGGCACGCGAGCATCAGAACTGGACCATGGAGCAATGGAAGAAGGTCGCACGATCTAAAGAGTCTTGATTTCTTTAACATCACATGGACAGCTGGGTACATGTGAGGCATTTACCTGGGGAAGCGATAGCACCAGGATGCACTGTGGGGGAAAGAGGGATGCCAGTAGAGGGAGTGTGACGCTCTGGTCAATGGGACATCCTGGGTCTGGATATTCATGTTGACGTCAGTTTGACACGTCTCGCCTACCTAAACATCGCTGGGGACCAGGTGTATCCCTTCATTACAAAGGAGTTCACTGTTCAATTGCCGCTTTCACCAGGATAATGAACCTAACTGCACTGGACACAACATTCAGGAATGTCTTTTTTTATTATATGTTTATTGATTTTCAAAGACTTATCCTCACAACAATCAATTGTCAGTTGCCACACCATTAACAGAAAGGCTAAACAATAAAGAAATAACATTAAAGACAAATTGCAGATTAAAGGAAAAAGGGGGATATTGCAGAGGCCTCAAAACTGAGAAGCAATGAAACACAAATGATACAAAATCAGAAATTGAGAGAAATATAATTCACATCCCTTTTAATATTCCCCAAACTGACAACCAGGTTTTGCTAAACCTTTGGTATCTGTGATGAATTTCAAAAGTTTTTCCGGTGGAAGAAGATTTGAGATCTGCGTCAACCACATATTAAGAGAAGGGACATCCGGAGATATCCATACCAACAAAATACATTTTTTTGCCAGATATGTTAAGGGTCCTAGAAGATATTCCTCACTGCCATTCAATACCATGTCGGCGCTGTGGTTCAAAAGATAAAAATTAAAATTACAGCTTTTATCTAATGTTTTCTCAACAACTTGATCAACATCTCTTCAGAACATCAGAATTTCTGTACATTGCCAAAACATATGCATAACTGTACCTTTATCAGCTTTACATTTAAGGCATAATGGGGATACATTTGGAGACATCTTGTGAAGATGTACAGGAGTAAGATCATGTTCTATACTTAAAATTCCACTCTTGGATGTTAATGGAAGTATATCTTGGGAATATTTTCTCGTAGATATTATTCCATGCATCGTCATCAAATCTGAGAGAAAGGTCTCTTTCCCATACACATCATAGGGAATCATAGTTTAACATGCTGGAACAAGACAGAATAGAATATATGTGTGAAATTTTATTTCTGAGATCATCTGGCCTAACAGGAAACCTCTCCATTTCTGTCAAATCCCAACGGATTTGACTTTCTTTGGATAAGCAATCTACAAAATGACGTAACTGCAGGTATTTGTAGAAATCTGAATTTGCAAGCTTAAACCGGGTTTTAAGTCATTAAACCTTGACTATGCATGCAAAACAAATCAGTTATTCCAGATACTAACAAATTTCAGAATTCTGCGGTCCTTATTTGAAGGGGAAAGTCTGAGTTAAGGAAGATTGGGGAATGCAATGAAATATAAGTGGGAATTTTTAGATACTTTCTGACATCCTTCCAGACCAGGAGTGTACTATTTATAATGTTTTTGTCTTTTAGATTATGAAGTTTATCTATGGAACTCATAAATGACAGGGTTTGTAACACAAGAGGTTCACAAAATGAGGACTCAATATCAACCCTTTTGGAATCATGTCTGTCTATAAACCACAACCTCATTTGTTTAATATATGCTGACCAATAACAAAGCTGAAAGTTAAGTAAGGAGGGTGCTCCAAGCATTTTGGGCTTGGTAAGTTTTGAGAACCTAATTTGAGGTTTCTTGTTCCATATGTCTTCACCTATACAGGTATTTATGCTTTTGAAGAAATTCAAGGGAATATAACAGAGTAGTGTTTGAAACAGATAATCAAGTCGGGGTTCATTTTTATAATTTTGATTCGACCAAAGAATTTAGGAAAGAAGACCAAACATGGAGCTCTTCTTTCATTTTTCCCCAAAGCGGTAAATAATTGGTGTCAAATAAATTGTCCAACTTGGGTGTAATAGATACACCAAAGGTATCTAAACCCTGCTTGAGCTACCTGAGAAGGAAAAGGCTGACCTATGTCAACACCTTGTGGAACATTCAGAGGTAAGGCTAGTGATTTGCTGAGATTAATTTTGTAACCAGACACCCTGCTATATTCAGATATCAGATCAAGAACAATATTTACATAAATTACTGGGTTGGACAAAAGAACATCATCTGCGTAAAGAGAGATACGATGGTCGTCTCCATTGATCCCGATACCAAAAATAACATCACTACTAGAGGCTCAATCACCGAAGAGAAAAGGAGAGGAGAGAGAGGGCACCCTTGTACACCCCCTGGAAAAAAAAAGACTTGACCTACCCAATCACGTTTAAGTTTAGCATGTTCAGCATTGGAAAGATGTGTTTCCTGCAGCATTCCAGTGAATATTTTTTCTTTTTTCAGAAATGTTAAGCTCTTTTTCCTCGTTACAGCACTGCCAGAACATTATTCATTACAAGCACATTCTGGAAACAGCATTTGAAGTAACGTTACAATGAACAAAATGAATATACCGTGCAGCGATATCAGAAACAGACAGATAAAAGAACATCCCTTTGCCCTCGTCCCCAGCCCTGTCCCCAGCCCAATAATATCTGTCCGCAGAGCTGCGGTTTCACTCTAGCAACTTCAAGCCAGTGGCATTCAGTGCATGCGCCGACACTTGTTTTATTTTTTCTTAGCAAGTTTCAGGCTGATTAACATTTCAGTCCTTGTACATGGGTTTACAATAAATTCACGATACATTTGCGTTGGGCTAATGTTATATTTTAAGCTTTAAGCTAAAACAAACTTTATGGTTTGAACGCATATAGACAGTCACTGGGTAAATATTACACGAACTACAGCTTATGTAGCCTGGGTAAGCTAATGGATTATGTGGATATAATGTTAGCTCAATTAACTTACCCTTAATACGGGGGCCTTATGTGTACACTTACATTACATGTGCAGGAGTAAAACTTTACCTTAAGCAGCTGTAAACTGAGCTTAATATTAAGCTTCAGGCTAAAACAAACGTTAGTTTTTGAGAGGATCCCTGCTGAAAAAAACATTGAATCCATTATATGTTTCTTTTGGTTTCTGATGGTTTTGTAATGTGTTTTGGCTTATAGTTTAACCGGTTACCAATGGTTGATTTGTATATTGGCAACAATATCCCTTCCTGAATGGTAACTTGCTCCCCATTTGTAACGTCTCTGATGTAAACTGTTTGTGCTGGTAGTGCGTGTCGCTATGCATATTACCATTCAGGATGGGACACCGTCGCCAATATATGAATCAACCACTGGTTACCAGTTAAATCCTAAGCCAAAACACATTACTAAACCATCAGAAACCAAGAGTAACACCTACAGCAGGGATACGTTCAAAAACTAAAGTTTGTTTTAGCCTAAAGCTTAATATTATGCTTAGTTTAAGCCTACTTAAGGTAAAGTTTCATTCCTGCACATGTAAGTGTACACATAATGCCCCCGTATTAAGGGTAAATTAACTGAGCTTGTTGTCTAACTTGCATAACCCGCTAACCCAGGCCACATAAGCTGTAGTTCGTGTAATATTTGCCCTGTAAATCTTTATATGCATTCACACCAAAGTTTGTTTAGCCTACAGCTTTAACATATAAAGTTAGCCCAGCACATATTTATCACAAATCTGTTGGAAACCCACATAAAACGACTGAAATACAGATTAGCCTAAAACTTGCTAAGAAAAACGAAAACAAGTGTCAGCGCGAAATTGTGGCTCTGCAGACAGATATCATTGGAGGAAACTGCTGGAGTGAAACTGTGGGTGTAAATCTGCAGTTCTTCAGTCAGACCCTTCTCGGATTTCGCCACGGTGTCGAATCCGCTGCGTTTCCGACGTACCTCTGCAGACAGATCCACGTAAAGCCCCGTGAACGATCACCTCGCGCTTCTTCACTATGGAGGACCAGATTTGCCAAATTGAAAATTAAATAAAATTAAAAAATAAATGGCTCAGTAAATTAATCAATAAATAAAAAAAACTAAAGTATATATTGCTTATTGTGATTGTAATTATACACTTATTTCCTTTTTCTGCAGTTATATATTTCTCAATTCATTTATTTTTGTATTATTTATTGTTTTATTAATGCCATTTTTATAATTTTTTCCATATCTATATTTTTAACAGTTGTTTACTTTATTCATTGATTCATGTATTCGTTTATTTATTTTTTCATTAATTCATTAATCTATTTATTTTTTCATTAATTCGTTTTATTTATTTCTGTATTTTGTCGTTCATATGATAATGAGGGGGCTTGTTTTTCACGTTCAGGCTTAGCAATCAAGACCAGGAGGAGAAGAGTTGATTAAACTGTTCTTTCACTCCATAAAGAGAACCTGTAGCATCAGTGGTGGGCTCGCTCTATGTCAAGGCGATGAAAATCAGAAGGAAGACCGACCCAGGAGGGGAGCATTTCTTGGAGAAATTCACTAAGCGGCATGGAGCACTTTGCGTTTTCGGGCCGGCCGACGATCGTCGACTTTTGACTGAAGCTGTTCCACGGTCGCCATCAACGAAGAGAGAGCACCGTGACTAGCCTGTCTTTAGCATCCTCGCCCTCCGAGGTTCTGTTTTCAAGCCTGCTTTCAGTTTGTTGAACTCGCTGTGAAAGGCTGGTAACGGTACCTTCCATAGATGAAATCGATGTAGAGATGGCGTTCAGCCGATTGTCTGTCGCGTCTAGCCGTGATCCAAAATACTTAGGACCAATCCCATTTCTTCTTTTTAACCCTACCCCTTGTTTTCGAGTGTCACCCTAACCCCTTGGAACTGAGTTACAAGGGATAGTGGTTGAAATCTTGCCCTACGAAATGGGACAACCCTCAAATTAAAACATTGCTTCATTAACAGCTACTAGTGCTGCTCTGTAGGCGACCCGGCCCGTCTTCAGTGATAGCAGAGGAGGGTAAAGTTCAGCTCCTCACTGCTGGGCTTTAGTTACATATAGGGCATCATGTGCCTTCAAAGAGGGGTATAAGACATTTATTTATTATCGCCCACCTTTAATTCTTCAGTGATACGAAGCTGAAGTCAGATATTCACCAGCTTCTCGTTCGATTTTTCCCGTTCCACCTTAAAAGTGCAGCAGATTATTAAAGGTGGAACTATTTAAGGTGGAATGGGAAAATTAGCTAGCTAGCTAGCTAGCTACCGACACGTTAGCATGCTATATGCAATTTTTTATGCTTATTATGAAGAAAACGACCATAATACAATGAAACAGCATTAAACTAAGATAATAAAATGATTATCGTAATATTTTTATGGAGAAAATTCTCACATTTGTGGGTTTCTTTGGTCTCTTGTTCAGCCGTCTTGCCGGTTTTTCTTTTTTCTCATAACACTCTGTTTGGAGTCTCTGAAAAACCTCCGTTTGGAGGGCAGTGTAGCCCCAACACTTCACCCTACTCCTCTATCTCAAAAAAAAATTGGGACACCCTACCCCTAGACGTGAACACGCAAAACAGAGGGATAAGGGCTAAGTGGTAGGGGCGAGGGGTGAAATGGGATTGGGCCTTTATCTCGGCACGAATCAAGTCTGTGCCAGCTTTAGCCGCTGCCCTGCCTGTTATCGAAGGCTCTTTTTTAGGTCTTTGAGGTCGATACGACGACATGTTTCAAGGGCAGACCGTGTTACTTTGGTCTAAAAACATAATGTTGTCGGAAGTGTTGTTGAAAAGTTTAGGAGCGGAGCTAGCTAGGTTTCAGGCGGCCATTTTCTGTTTTTTCTATTCTTCTTTCAAAAACAAAAAGTAAGACAAAAAAAGTCTGCATCATATCATCGACCCATTATTATTTATCTTTACACACAATGTTTTAATCACAAATGTGAGCTCTGTACACTCATGTTTAATCTGACTGATTTATCAAGCTAGCTAAATAGCTAAATTAGGAAAGGCTAACTAGATAGCGAACTGAGCTAGCAATTATATAATGTTATTTATCATTCAGAATCATATTAAAACAATTTTTAGCAAATACAGTAACCCAGATGAAGTTCGCCTTACCTCAGACTAGCATAATTCTGCCTGTTAATAGTTAGGACATTGAGTCCTAAGCTGAATCCGAATAGTTTATCCCCCAAAAAATCCAAAACATTGAAAAAGAATGAATTAAAAAACAGATTATCAGGATAGTGTGTGTGTAATTAAATACTCCTCAGTATTATCTTTCCACATTTTTTAGTCTAATAATTCTGACTAATTTACTGCCACAACTGTTCTCACTGCAGGTTTGTTGTGAGGAGTTTTGTCAGCTTTTCGTTCGCTTGATGGGGAAAGTTTAGAGATTACTGACTGGCTGAGAGGCGTGTCAGTCATAATTTTGCAAACGGTCAACCATCAGTGCGATAGAGGTTCAGCACGCTGAGTTTACATTGAAAAATGCTGGAGCGTTTCTTAAGCTGTGACGTCACATTTAACCATATAACTATAAACCCAGCACTTCAAGCCACATCTGTGCTATTTAACCCTGTATTTGCTCCTTCCTCTTTCTTTAACGCTGTTTTCTCCTTCCCCCCATCCTTCTTCCCCTCTCCTCTCTAATCCAGAAACCTGTAGTAATTGCGGTTAGGTTTATGAGCATAACCCGCAGTGCAGCGGCGGTAGGTACTCACTGACTCTAGCCTCATCTTGTGGCAGCCTCATTGGTCATGTCTGCGCTGTCCCAGCACTGTGTTCTGTCTGTCTCCATTGTCACAGCACACCGGTGCGAGGCCTTGGCCCTGTATCTTTGTCCCACTCAGTCAGATCACTTACACTGGCTCTTAACCAAATGCCTGTCCAGTTACTGTCATTTGGCACTGTACCAGCGGCACTGTTGCTTTCAAGGATGGGCGTTCATCCCTGGCTGTGGCTCATTTCATGGTGTTGTGTTCTGTTGAGTAACTTTGCAGCGTTCTTTATTTTCAGTCACAGGTCTCGCATCTCATCAAGCTCATGAGCTAATGTACTATTTTTCTTTTCCTTTTTTTTAAATTTGGCAACCTGCAGTCAAACGCAGCCAGAAAGGTAAAAGATAGTGTAGTTTCTGTGTTACTACCAGCTGTGGCTTCTGTAGTGGTTAGTGAGACTGAGCAAGTGCTTTGAGTCGAATAGTAGCCTTGGAAAGCATGGCTTGTGGACACAGCACTTTCATTAAGTGCTGTCTAAACTCCAAGGGATAATTTGGCGAAAAAACACATTTACAGTGTTCCCCTTGCCCCAAATGTAGCTGATCAATGACGGCATTTTTGGTATTCAAAGTTTGCTTCTCTAACTGTGCACTAGAGCTACAAGTCCAGCGCAGCCAACCTATAATGGAAGCTTATAGGCAGCCACCAGTTACCATCCTGCAAACTCCATGTGTGTTAGTGGATGTAAATTTCTCAATTTCATATTCGTTTACCTAACCGATTCATTTAAATCCAGTCAAATTTAAAATTGAATGTGGCCCCATCCACTGTCTTATGAATTTTAGACTTAACATCGTCATGCACTTGGTTTGAAAATTGTCCTCTTGTGTGACCTCATTTCTAGTAAATTCAGAGATGACCAGACAGGCAAGAAAAATATGCTTAATCATGAAAAATGTGTTCTTGTTTCATGTACCATCACAAATAGTATGCATTATTCTCTTAATGTGGAAGAAAATAGGCAGTCATGAAGTTTGTTTAAAACTATTTACAAAACATTACAACATCAATACACAAATGTGAAAACAGCTAAATGAAACAGTAATTTTGGTTTAAAGGAGAATTCTTGATATAGTGGTTAAAAGAATATAGAATACGACTCTTTACTGGCCATAATCTGCCTGTTTCTGAAAGTACCTACCAGAATATCAAACTTACAAAAGCAAACACAGCTTGTTTTATTTGCTGTTTACTCCAATTATGAGACTAAAAAATGAAGAAAAAAACAGAACAAAATAAAAAAAAAACTACTAGGTGAACTATTTGCTATTATAAAATAGGTTTCATTTAATAAGCAATCTAATTTATAGCCATTTATTCAGGCCTGTGTTCACCGTTGTGATAGTTTCTTGTCACACTATAGGACATTACTGTCACACCAATGGACATTTCCAGACAAAGAGCTGATCTTTGGACTAGTTGTGTGCTAGAATGCCTTGAATCTAATGTGACAGCTTACGTCTTCCATTATTTTATAAAGTTATACAAATAAAAAAGTACTGAAATTTGTAATATTGTAGATAAAACTTCAGTTGAGACCCTGCGTTTTTATGTCTTCTGTATTTTCTGAATTAAAAAGATCTTTTCATTAATCAGATGTTCAAGTTAATGCCCTTTGTATGATCACAGAAATGCAATTGATCATCACGTAAATTTAAGTGGGAACATGGAGGCCTACAAGCTATAGTTATATATAAATGTTTTCATTATATGCATAAAAAATTAAAAACGATAAAAACTTAATAATATAATAAATGTATGATTATTCTTCCTTTAAGTACCACGCGTTTTAAGATAAGGACTAATACCCCAGGTAGCCACACCAGTGGACAGTGATAATTGTTTCAAACAGAATATCAAACAACTTGAACTGCATTTCTCAGCTATTTAAATATCAAGTATAACAAAACATCAGTGAATTATTAAAATATAAATTTTGATTTTTGATTTATTGCAAACACAAAGATGGAGTGCCAAACAACCACGTCTTAATCATCGCATCTATGCTCACAACCATGCATTTTAACATAGCGTTAAGTAGTCATGTTTTTAAGGAATCACAAATAAGCTTGCTTGTAGTATCTTACAGACAATATCCAGGCTTCACGTTGGCTGCTGTTCAAATTCTTAGATAACAGAATGTCTTAGAATGACTTAGTTAAGCATATCGTTAGCATAATATGAATTGATGGAGCTAATTATATGCTTATAATAAGCTTAGCCACACTGACCTTGTAGTTCCAGTACAACAGGATAAAACTAAAGAACCAAATTTTGAACACCAAACCTGTCTTGGCTGATCGACTGCATTTGGGCTGAGGGTGAAAATGTGTGCATAAAAGTTTGCTAAACTATTCCTTTAAGCTCTGCGACTGAGACCTGTTTCCTCTTTCATCCCTTGTACTCAGTACAGTAGCTAACAGTCATAACCAAACTAATGCTGTGTGCATTGTGTTTATCAGGGTAAGGGGAGAGTACGCAGAGTGAGCTATCACACACCGTCTCCACCGGTCAGTCCTCGCTCTCCCTGTGCCCCTGAAGCCATGGAGGAGAGTGGAGATGAGGAAGCAAGTAGAGACTCTGAGGTGTCGGAGCAGCAGCAGGCCGCCATGCAGCAGGAGGAGAGGGTTCTGACCGAACAAATTGAGAGCCTGCAGAAAGAGAAGTGAGTGTGCAACCAGCATATGTTTACTGTCACGCATCATACTAATCACAAACATACATTTTGTATTTTATATACAATAATGATTGAATGGTATACGATACCATTAAGGTTCTAATATTAGACACCAAACAGTATTTTGTTTGTTATTTATGGTTTATTCAATATTTGTAGTATTTTTGGAACAAGATTTTTGTAAATTATAATTTAGAAGTTTTTTTTATTATTTCAGGCCTGAAAGTTGATTGCCTCATAATTCAAAAGTAGCAATCTGAATATTCATTTTATTATTATTCATACTATTATTCATACTACTAATTATTTAAAACTTGTGAATAGAATACTAACATCACATTAGAATACAAGTGTCTGCGAAAAATTATTATATTGTATTTTTTTATTATCAATCCTACATGGTAAATTTGTCATTTTGCTGCCTAACATTTCCCAGTCTGGGAACAGCACATCGTCACCAGCAGAGTGGGGTTAAGTAGGGGTTGAGTCCCTTGCCCAAGGGCACAGCCAAGAATACCCAGTCAAACCTGGGATTTGAACCTACAACCTTCCAGTTGCTGGCTCACCTCTCCTACCACCTGGCTACCTAGGCTTAAATGTTGTTGTTGACCTTCATCCGTAGGGAGGAGCTGACATTTGAGATGCTGTCCCTGGAGCCACGAGCGTCAGACGATGAGACTCTGGAGTCAGAGGCATCTATAGGGACAGCAGACAGCTCCGAGAACCTGAATGTTGACTCTGAAGGTGCCACGTCTGACTTCTCTGGTATGTTTCTGTGTACCTTTGTGGAGTGAGCAGCTTTTTGCTCAATACTGTTTGCTTACCGCGTCACGCTCTTCTGCCCCTCAGAGAGAGGCCCAGCGCTGACTGCCACCCGACCTAAGAAGTCCGAGGGCAAGACCAGAAGGACTTTGCGGAGGCAGCCCGACTCGCTGGACTCTGTGGACTCCGGCTCCACAGCTTCATCCGTCTCCTCGTCTCATCTGCACCCAGCCGCCTCATCCCACCGCTTTCGACTGCGCTCCAAATCACCCTCGCCAGGCCTGTTCCGCTCCGGACCACCCGACGATGGCCCAGATGCAGCCGATTCGCAGGACGGTGAAGAGAGGCCGCGCTTCACCAGCCGGGGCACCTTTAACCCGGAGAAGGGCAAGCAGAAACTGCGTGGGGCCAAGTATTCACCCCTGAGGCACCGCGAGCCTCCAGAGGGTGGTGGCCACCACAAGAGAGAACCAGACCTACAGCCACAGCAGCTAGTGTTGTACGGCACCAACGAGTTCATGGTATGAAAGCCATGGTGGCAACTCCTCCCCAAGAGCTAATCTTTTTCCTTGCTAGCTCGCTCATCGGCACCCCCTGTCCATGTCTACAAGCCAGCTGAACAGTCCCTAAGTGCCATGTCCACAGAGAGGCAGGAGGAAGGGGTCGGAAAAGCTATGCTGGAAATAAAGTGCCATGCCCTTTGTTCACTGGCTGTAGTCTGTGATGTTAATACAGATGTAAAGTTGCAGATTAAAGGGCAGTGCCGTCAGAAGCTGGGTGGAGCCCGTAGGCAGGGTAAAGGGAATGAGAAAACGCAGCAGGATGTACTCGGCTGCAGCCGGCTGTCCTCAGCAGATGCACCTGAGTTGCCGTTGCTGAAACAGGAGACAAAGCCATTGATAGTGCAGACTCCACAAACTCAAGCGAAACCATTGGCTGCTTTTAAAGTTTACAGTTTATAACCGTGTAAGCAGCGTGCTCTATAATTACATGTATGTATGCTCCCAAGCCTATTTAAAAACTTTTAATTACATGGTATATATATAAATCTCTATATAAATATATTATGTGATATAAAAATGTATAAAGCCGGAACACCAGTGATTTTTCTGGGTTGTTGAATTCATGTATTTATCTTTTGCCTGTCACAGATACTTTTGGAAAGCAACGTGTGGGAGCAGACATTGGCCATGTGCGAGTGGGTGTGCGTGTGAGTGAGTGGGTGTCTGTATAATTATGTGAAAACCACTTGATGGTGTTTGAAGTTTTCGCTGCTTTTTTGTTTTTTTGTGCGGAGGGTAATCTTGGCATCAAAGGGACCAAGCTAGCTGGTGTGTTTAAAGCCAGCGGATCCCAGTTAAATGAAGACTCAGAAATGTTTAAAATCACAGCCTACTGTATAATTCACCTCTTAACAGCCATCCGTCGGTTCTGGGGTTTGGATAAAAACACTATTTTGTTCTCTCTTCTTTTTACGTTCATGTCACTGAATAATTAGCACCAGCAAAACTGTTTTGCTGGACTGTGTGACCGGTAAGTCTTTAAAATGCTCCAGTCACTCATGACGTTACTGAAATGGCCTGTGCTAAAGCTGGCTCATGCTAAAGTTCTGCTCTCTCCCATTAATCCACCACATTCAGTCCCATTGTGGATTTGAAGATTTGCAGATTTGCCTACGATCGGTCACAAGACGAAGCCAAAGTTACGCTCACTGACTGTGAGCAACCATCAACGTGTTACATACCTTGTCTACATTACTAGCAGTATTTTCCTCAAAGGGATATGGATGGAATAGTCTGCTGTCTTTATTAAATGCCAGCTGAAAAGTATAATTAAAATCTGTTACCATGTAACTGTCGCACTAGAAACACGACACAAAATGCACAGCAGCAAATACGGTATATGGCCAAAAGTATGTGGACACCTCTCCTAATTATTGTGTTGAAGTGCTTCAGACACACCCTTTGCTAACAGGTGTATAATAGCAACCACAGAACCATACAATCTCCATAGACAGAGTGGAGTAGAATGGGTCGTACTAAAGAGAGCTTTAAATGTGGGACCATCATATGATGACACCTTTTCCACAAGTCAGTTCACAAAAAGTCTGCTAGATCTGCCCCATTCAAATGTAAGTGATAGTATGGGATGTAAAATGACCATGCAAACTCATAGAACAGAGCTGCTGTGTGTTGTGAGACAGTGTTAAGTGTGTAGCACGTATAAGTCACCTATCCTATGTTGCATCACTCACTACAGAGTTTAAACGGTCTCTGGATGCATCATCGGCACGAGAACTCTGCATCTGGAACTTCATGCAATGGGTTTCCATGGCTGAGCCAACAGTAAAGTTTGGTGGAGGAGGTATAATCGACTGGGGCTGTTTTTTAGGGTTTGGGCTAGATTAATGTTAATGCTAATGTTAAAGACTGTGCCATGCGGCCGTCCCCTGGGCCCCAGTGGTCTGCACACAGCCCTGGAATGGGATGTCCAACAAGCTCACACAGGTGTGATGGTCAGGTGTCCACATACTTTTGGCCACATTGCACATTGTGTACATACAAACCAAGCTATAATCTGCTAAGCCCCGCTGAGTCCACTGTGCTTTTTTTTTAGCTAAGTGAATATTCCCAAACCTTCCACTTGAAGTTTTAGTACATAGCCTCATTTCCAAAGGTTTGGTATTTGACATCATGGTATAGCGCTAAAGGGAGCTTGCCGATCACTGAAGGCCTGCTTTTCACATAGACACCCTTACAGTACATGTGAAAAACACCCTGCTGTGTGAACTGATGATCTCATACTGTCTGAAATATAATCTTTCATTGTCGGCCACAGCCGCGCCGCCTGCAGGACTGAGCGAAGTGCACAATCCCACCTCAGCATTGTGTTCCGTTACGCGGAAATGTGTGTATAAAGTGCATTTAGAAAAGTTTTTCTTACCAAAAGAGAAAATGATGTCAATGGTTGTAAAAAAAGAACACATTTTGAACAAAAGGTATCAGCTCATTAAATCAAAGCTGGAACAATATCGGAGTGGTTTACTTTTTTATGGTCAGCTTGCACTGCAGCTTGCATATCTTCATAAAAATAAATGCATTATTTTATTATATTTTAGATATTTTTAGGAAAACAAACCAATAGTTATTTTAAAATAATAATAATGATACATTTTATGTAAAATATACAGCACTGTGCAAAATTCAGTCTTAGAAGTTGGTTGCATTTTCTGCTTCTCGCAATCCAAATAATCCCAAACACATTCAGTAATGCTGAGGTCTAGGCTCAGCATTGTTGTCTTCTCACAGTAGAAGGATGGACAGAAAAGATAAAGGTTTTTGGTGAAAGGTTTGATGAAGGTTTTGGTTTCTACCAGTACCTGATTGGTTGAAGGTCCATTTACTTTGTATCTTTTAATATTTTTTATACTCAAGTTTTGGAAACTCCTGTTCACTTATTTTCCTTCGTCTTCCTCCTTCCTTATGTATGTATTTTACATCTAATCTCAGAAAAATCCCGTAGATTAACGTTTTGACTGGAAATTAAATGGAGGGTGGTCTCATGGGTTTTGCACAGTGCTGTATAATATATATTATTTCAGCATATTTAATTGTGTACATTAAAAACAGAGCCATAACAAAAATAGGGCTATAATACAAACATTTATAATATTTTTTCACTTTCAGTAACTTATTGCTGTTGTTATTAAGTATTTATTATTATAATTATTATTATTAGTAGTAGTAATAGTAGTAAGGCTCTTATTTTTAAGGCTTCTTTTTTATTTGTTATAAATAATGCACATTTTCTTATATACAGTCATATGCAAAAGTTTAGGCACCTCTGGTCAAATGACTTTTTTTGTGAAAACAGCGTCTACAGAGAACACTGCTGCACATTTTAATGTACAATTGCTGTTTATTTGCTAAATACAACATCATACAAAAGTATAAAACAGTAAAGATGATATGTGGCCTTTGCGAATGTTATGACACGTTTTGTTTTATTTTCAAATATAGGTCAAACTCAATGAATAGAAATTGTGCACTAAAATGTGAAGAAAAATGCCATATTTACGTTTGTCCCCTGTCAAGCGTGTGCTCACTTACTTTCACCTGGAAAATCAACAAAATGTGTAATGTGACGGGATGGGTGGCTATTTAAACTATTATTTCATTTTATTCTGTAATATTTTTACAGTGTAGATTGAAATACTGTAAGCCAGACACCACAATGTATAATCCACTTCAATATGTTATTTAATATTTACATCCTGTTTAAAGTTTTTGGGAACAAAGTTATTAACCGATAAATAATTTACTCTAATTATGTATTTATAGTAATTTATAGTCATTTCTGCCTCGGCGTTTGATCTCCACATGTCCAACATAAGGCATTTTACATGTTACTTTATACTTCACAGTTTCTCAGTCATTGTAAAGTCATCTACAGCTCTGTTCATCAGTCTGATCTGACATTCCTTCAGTTTACAGTTTCCTGATTGTTCATCATAACAGAATCATTTCATATATTTATTTGCAGCTTTTTTATTTTACTGATGCCAAACTATTTGAATTGGTTCCAGACTTTTAAACGCTGATGAATGTCTATTTCTCTCGTCAATTCTCAGCTGGTGATGAAAACGTAGCATCAGAAAACTGGTTTGGATGGAGGAATTGAGCCATATCGCTGCTTCGGGCGTGGACATTTTAATAAGGTGAAGGTATGAGGCTGGTTTATTATGTTGGCGACATTCTGCGCGTCCTTTTCTCGATTCCTCTCTTACACGCACTGCTGGTCCAACCTGAGCGACTGGAACCGGGAGAGTCACGTGGCGAGATCCCAGCACGCATGCGCAAAAACTCTCCCGTAAGTCGACTCAGTTCAGCGAACCGATTCCTTCACAGTGTCCGATTCAATTAGCCGACTCGTCGATTCAATTTGTATTTGGTTGTGGCTCCATAAAAATAAACGAAGGCGATTTACAGTGATTAACCGAGCGAGTCTGCTACCTGATATTAGACATATCGTCTACTGACACACACACACATTTTCTAAGCCGCTTGTCCTCCTGGGTCTCCTAACGGACTTTGTAAAGTGTTCATTAAAACAAAGGGCTACCCAGCACGAACAGTGGGGGGGAATATAAACAGGTTATTCTTAATATCTTGCAGAGTGTTACTGTATTATTTTGATCACGCTGTGGAAAAAAAGATTCTAATTATATTAGAAATCTTCAGCCTATAACGCGGTCATACACGCTGCTTTCAAGCGGTTCAGTTCAGTTGGACTTGTGAATCGGTTCAATCGATTTGTTCAGAAGAACCGGTTTTAAAAGATCGACTCTAACAGGAGGCGGGCAGGTACCAACAGCAGCGAGCGGATACACCTGTACTGCAGCTACCTGAGGCCAACATGTCCGGCTTCGACAACAACCCTTTCGTCCATCCAGTCGATGTCAACCCTTTCCAGGTAAAGAGCAAAAACGCGGCGCTGTGTTAGTTTACTGTCTTTCGGCGACAGCGCTTCGTTTATGAACGTCAAACTTGAGGAGGGAAACCTGTTGGATTGGTTGATTTCGGTTTGCGTTAGTCCCGCCCACTTTCTGCCCTACCTCACGAGATTGACAGCTGGCTGGACCAATCAGGTTTGACTGTGTGGAAACGTAACCCAATGATGACCTGGAGACGATCGAGGAAGTGTTGTTTTTGAAGAAATTAGAAAAATATGCGGTTAGATTTCAGTGTGAATTATATATCTAATCCTCTAAAGCCTTTAGTGCTGTTCACAAACTCCTCTTTTATCCTCCAGGTCCCTTATCGACGGTTTGTGCCGGTGCTGTCAGGTGTTTTACTAGCTGAGAGGTGTAATGAGATATGGAGGATGGTGCTCAAGTGTTTTTAGCATTGAGCTCAGACGCAGCGAGCTTCACTCCCTGTAGGCTCGTTTTAGACCTGTTGAGGGGCTGAGATGTGCCTCAGAGTGGGCTTTACACACACACGCAGTCTCAGTGCTGGTCGTTCTCTAATTGGAGGGGAAACCATGTCTCAAAGATAGCAGGGCTTAAAAAGATGCTTAAAATATTAGGCACAGCTCCAAATGTCAGTATGTACACTTACACACTAAATACTTTTCCCTTATGATTTCTCTGATTTTTATTTTTTATCCTGTTTCATAATCGCTCTGCACCTGTAAAACAGCTCATCACAAAACCAACTTTCAACATTTAATTTAGGAACTTGTATAAAATAGATTCATGTTTTACTTTTTATATCATTAACGTTATACTACATTTCAAAAATATGTATTTTATTTACAAAATTACATTAGCACAGTATTTTCAGCTCTATTAAACTGCTTATTTGGGTCGAGGCTCATCAGAGAGGAAGCATCTCAAGGCATGAGAGTCACACTCGCTCACTATATTTCATTTATATTTAATTTATTAATAATTTTGTTTATCAGGCAGCTCATAACATCATGAGCCTCTATGTGTCACCGGTGTTATGTGCTTTAATGGCTGGGTTGTTAAAATTTTGTCAGAATAATAAAATATGACACAGAATGTCACTGGAGTCACCGTCACTGGTGTTACACCATATTCATACAACACCACTGACTGTAAAATATGTTTGGTATTAAACTCCCCTTTTAGCATATATGATAATAGGAGATGTTAATGGACATATTAAGAATATTTAGTTTTGGGATGAAAGAAATATCCACCTAAATTCCCACTCCAAATGGAGAATGACCCTGCTGTATTATTATTAATATCAGCTTAGAGACGGAGCGGAACTTTTAGAATGAGGTGGTCAGGTAAGACCCCTAGACTGTAATGGGGTGGCGCAATGAAACAAACAGGACTGGTTTTTCTTTGTACAGAACTGGCAGAAAAACTCTGTTGATGAAACATATTTTAGTCATTCATAAGCAAATGATCTTTTAAACTCAAGCAATTTAAATTTAGCTACTGCATCTCACCATTGAATAGCTTACTGCATTATATAGCTCCCAGAGCAGCACTGCTGAAGGGACCCAGCACACATTCACTCACCTGTTTACTGAGAAAATTAGCCTGAAACTAGAAAGTTACTGATGGGTAACAACCCTGTTGGTAGATTTTCACCATAGAGCATCATCCATGCTTTATTATTGACAGCTGACTGTCTCACTTTCCATAACTGGGTTGATTATGTTTCCTTCTAGACACCACCTCTTGGCTACACCTCAGCTTAGAGCCGTAAAAATGCATTTTTACTAAGTCTTATACCTAAATCTGTTACAGACTTCTTCTTATTATAAATCAGTATACAGCATTTTGGAATTAAACTCTTCACATATACATTTTAAAGCTTCGCTAGCAGTTGGGCTTTTTCAAGTTATATATGCATATAGAATGAAAAATAACTGTAATAATACAGTAAACGCTTTAATTAGTGATATATAACGTTTCTATAATAATATATAATACATTCACCCTGTATAATATTCTTCTAGTATTGTCTTATAATAATAATTATTATAACAATAACGTGTAGTACACGATAAACTAGGCTATAGTAATAGTCCCACTTTACTGTAAGATTCATATAGAAATTCCTGTTGTGTTACTATAATTCTTTTTTATGAGGGATGTTTTAAACTCGTATTTTATATTGGATACATGTACGTTTTTGAGCTTGTATTGATATTAAATAATCATATAGAAATTCTACAGCAGGTCCTGTTTTATTACTATAGTTCTTTTTCATAAAGAGGCTCTTTAAACTTGTATTTTTATTGAAGGCTCCATCAGTTACATGCGTTTGTAAACTTGTATTTACAGTAGTATGCAAAGATGTGGCCACCACTGGTCACAATGCATGTTTTGTTTATTTTCCAAGTGAAAATAAGTGAAAACATCCTACATTGAATGCAAAAATAAATAAAAAGTAAAATGTGGGCTGTGCAAAAGTTTTGGCACATTTTATATATTATGTTTTATTTTTTCCAATATGTTAATGTGCAGAAAATAGCCATGATTGAGTTGGTTCCCTATAAAGGATGTTACCTTATTTTCGCTTAAATGTCAAAATGAAAACCGGAGGTGTTTAAACTTTTCAATATGAATCCATATTAAAGGTTTCACTTGTACATTTTTTTAAAAATGTATTTATATTAAAGGCTTCAGGTGCCTTTAAACGTGTATCTGTATGGCAGGATTCACTGGAACATGTGTGTTTTTATCTGTATTCGTGCTGAAATCTTGTGTCTGTCAGGATCCATCAGTGACTCAGGTGACCAACACGGGCACAGAGGGACTAGAGGAGTTCAACCCATTCTCAGCCAGGGCTTTGGTAAGACTTCACTGCTAGTCCCTTAGCAAAAGTATTGGGACACTTTTAAAGGAGCTTTAGTCAATTTGCAAATTAGGTAAACAAAAAAGAGGTACGTTATTGGCGAGTGTTCCACACATTATGACGGTGAACTGCAGCACAAGGTAATGGGCTTTTGGAATAGGATGAGTTTAGGGTGCTGTTTAGGGGGAAAATGTTATAAACTGTGGGGAATGTCTTAGGACTGGAAGGCTCTTACGACTGGTGGGCATGGAGTGAGATATTCACCTTTACATATTACAGGTTTATAAAGTGAAGTTTCAGGCTGGAGGAGAACTCAGAAGCTATTTTGTAATAAACGTGTTTTAGCAATAAAAGGAGGAAATTCAAATTTTGGCAGGGTGGTGACACGGTCTCTTTCAGTTATAGTTGAATGACATGCAAAACATCTGGAATATCTCTCTCTCTCTCTCTCTCTCTCCCTCTCTCTCTCTCTCTCTCTCTCGAAGGATGATCTCAGTGGAAGCACCATACCTGTCTCAGCTGCCTCTCAGCCTGCTGTGCTGCAGCCCACAGTGGAGCCCAGTCCTCGGGTCAGTTCAGCACCGCATGGACTACATTTTTTTAAGCCAGAGAGTTTTATTTACATTAACATTGCAAAATCGATGTAGTTGAATCAGACATGTCATAGTACATCAGTGTGCTCTTACACTGTGTGGCAGTAACTGAGCTCATGTGCTGTGTTGTGCAGGCGACCGCGGCCGCTGCCCAGGCCGAGCTCCTGAAGCAGCAGGCTGAGCTGGAGAGAAAAGCAGCCGAACTTCAGCGAAAAGAGGAGGAGCTTCAGAGCAGAGACACAGCCAGGGGTGAGCAGAGCGAGATGATACAGATGATGCCAGTATTGTTTATTTTATGTGGAAAAAAGTGAAAAGAAAAAATTCAATTGCAGGCAAAGAAAACAACTGGCCTCCACTGCCCAAGTTTTTTCCAATAAAGCCGTGCTTCTACCAGGACTTCAATGAGGAAATTCCTATGGAATATCATAGAGTCTGCAAGATGATGTACTACCTCTGGATGTGTAAGTGCATGTTTCATATTTCTGAATAAGTCACTGTAATATTATGGCTTTGTTTAAAATGGCATTACGACATGAAAATGATATAAAATTACATACAATTGCAAAACTGACCAAAATAAAAAATCATAAATTGGAGGAAAAATTGGCCAATTCTGATCTTGGCTGGTCTCGATTGTACATTTCTAAGTAATAGGAAGTTAGAAAGAATTAAGAATTATCTAGACTCATCTCTGGGTGGGTATGATGACCCTCCCTCTAAGCATGTTGAACAGTCTAATTATGTTTTGTTAGCAGCAGTTTGTAAAGATACACTGGCTCTTCATGTTTCTTGAAGGAGCCCTCACCCTCTCAAGGGTTCTTTAGTTAAGACTGAGGTTCTATATGGAGCGTGACTTTCACTGTGGAAGTGAGCAGTGCAGTGTGGGAAGAACCATAAACTCTGTGAACAAACTGTCAAAGCATCTAATCACTCTAATGTGAAACTGATGGGGAATATTCATATTGGCCCTGTCATCAGGAGATCACAAGTTCAATCCCTGGTGGTGCTACAGCCATTCATAGCCAGGAGTCCAAGAGAGCACAATTGGCCTCGTTCTCTGGGTGGGTAGGATGGCCTCCCTTTTCCCCCATCACTCATAAGCGATGCTAGTCAGCGCAGGCGTCTTTTGGCTGACGTAACAGATCTGGCGGTTGTCACTTTCCTCCGAGTGTGTCCGGCTGTCCAGTGACATTGCATAGCGGCAGTTCAAAAAGATGCGGTGGAGCTTCACAGGTCTCAGAGGAAGCCTGTGTTTGCCTTCGCCCTCCTAGCGCTGGTAGTGTCATGTGACTGGGAGAGTCCTAACTAGTGGGTGGAATCGGAAACGACTAAATTGGGGAGAAAAAAAAAAAAGTATTCATAGAGACTCATTTTGAGGCAGCTGCTTTTGAACTGTTTCTGTTGACTTGTTTCTAGGTTTTGAAGCAGCATCAGCCGTTCATAATCTCAGTTAAAAACTATCTGTGTCTAGTTCATAAGCAGAGATAGTAACAGGCTAGTTCCTTCTAAATAAAGTACTGTAAAGGACTATCAGTCTCCTGTGCTTTCCAGTTAGCACCAATGTAGAGAGTAACATGGAAGTAAAGTAATGAGTGATTACATTACTTTTAGTTCCATTAATGACTAAACCTTATTACAGTTTGAGAAAAGTGAGAAGTAAGGTGCAATGAAACAGTACTGCAGCAGTTGTTATTACACTGTATATAAGTGGCAAAAAATTCCAAACTTTTGAACAGAAATGTACATTTGCTGATTCTTGATTGCATTTTGACAGTTAATTATATTTCCTCTCAAAAAAGTACACTATGCTCAAAGGGAATTCTGTTGTTTTTTCTGTATTTGTGCAGAATTAAGTCATTAAGATGTAAACAAAGTGGTTCTAGAGAAAATGACCAAGTCAGAATTATTCACAGTGGTGATGGGAACCAGACATGTAAAGCGTTCAATGGGGTTAAAAGCGCCATCATAGACAGTTATTACATAAAATGTTTACAAATAACCACAGGATGCCTGAAATATTGTTCTATGATAGTTCTGCAATATGAAATTGATTTTATTTTATATTAGTTTTGGGGGAAAATACATGCAGGGTGTTGTAAGGCAAAATGGTTTTCAAAGAAGCCTTTCTTTTCTCATATTTACCGATAATTCACCATTATCAACACTACATGTAAAATCTGAGATGATACATGTTGGCTCAGTAATCATTTAGGAAAGCAATGGAAATCGCTGTATCTGCTTTCTAGACATTGTGACTCCTGGTTCCCACCACTGTAAAGAACTCTGAGGTGGACTTTAAACCAGTCTGACTTTCTTTACATCTCAATGACTTGAGTTAAGAAAACATTTTAAAAATCAGTGGATTTCCCCTTGAGGGATGCGTCTTAATGCTTAGCTTTAGCTGTGTTAGTTCTGCATATTTATGAAGTTTTGCATGCGTGAATGTTGTCTGTGTGTATATTGATGATCTGGTAAAGGCGTTTCCTGGACCCTGTAAATAGTTTTATACATTTCTTCTGCTCAATCTTGCATATCTCTGTAGATCACTGTGTGACCTTGTTTCTAAACCTGCTGGCTTGTCTGGCCTACTTCACCGTGAAGGCTGAGAACGGGGTTGACTTCGGCCTCTCCATCCTCTGGTTTCTTCTCTTCAGCCCTGGAGCTTTCGTCTGCTGGTACAGGCCCGTCTACAAGGCCTTCAAGTGAGTTTCACTTCAAGAAATGGTTTCAAACTCAAATTCACAGTTTTCCTCTTTTATCCCAAAATGTATTTGTTTAGCCTAAAAATACTGAGTGTTTGAAGCTGCTTCAAGCTACAAAGTTAATGTAGCTAATAAGTAATAGAGGCTTATCAATTATAAATATCTCACTAATTATTAGTTTAGTGCAAACTGCAGGCCTAAATACTCACTTGCCTAAAAAGTAATCTCAAATAGACCTGCTTATATGGTTTTTGATGGCAAAATGGCAAAACCATAAGCTTTTAATTGTCTTAACAACAGATCATTAAACAAATAAAGTAACTCAATATGGGAGAGCTTTTCCTTTCATTTCTTTAAATGTTGAAGTTTTGTGTGTAAATTTGCAGACAGTCTTTTACAGAAAGAAGAGTCTGTGTTTTTCCACTCAGCATTGACGGCTTCAAACAGCTGAAAAACAGTTGCTGAGCTAGTTTGTGTTTAATGTGAGACCCAGTATTCTCAATAGGGTTTAGATCTGGACTCTGACCAGCCCAAAACCATCATTAAAAATCATCTGTATATTTTGGGCTTGACCCATTTTTTTGCCCAGGATTGTACTGTTATCTGTAGAAATTGGTAAAATAATGTTGCTTATCTAAAGGCATTAGTAGTGTTTGCATTAGTAGTTTAAAGCCTGAATTTATCCATTTTTATAAATTCAAATACAGCCGTTTATGTAATATCCAAAACCACACATGATCCTGCACAAGTCTTCTGAGTTTTATAAGTCATGTTGATAATGGCAAAACGGTGGTAAATCTGAAAAAACATGTTTTCTTTGGGGGACTATTTTGCCTTACAGCGCCCTGCACGTACTCCTCCACTGTGACTGTATTTTAAAAAGTATGTTTTTGGTGAAAACGCTGAGTCTGAACTATTGTAAATCATTGTTTCTGGCATCAGGCAGCCTGTTCACAACCATGTCATGTTAATTTTTATAACTTCCGGTGAGGTGGCTTTTAGAGGCATTAAACTGTTTGGATGCCTGGTTCCTATCACCACTATTATTAACTCTAACTCTACGTTTATCTAGAACAGAGCATTTCACATCAAACCACTCTGAATAGTTTACATTTTAATCATCTGATTAGATAAAAATTATGAAAAATTAGTGGAATTCCCCTTTAGGTTCTCTTTTGTTATTTTTATGTTTTTGTATTTAGCAGTTGCAGTTAAACAATCCTGAAATCGGGGGTGCTGCAGCCCCCTCCACACCCCCACTTCTCAGGCCCCTGTAAAATACACTCAGAAACTATAGAAGTTGCTCCTTAATTTACATAAAAATGAATGTAGCACAAACATCGATATCGTGATTCAGTGTAAAAGAGGCTTTGCATCGTTTTCAGAGGGATCACTGCTTGGTAGTGTTGCTTTATTCACCACACCCAAAATCAGACGGTGATTTTGCGTCTTGTTTTGGTAACAGGTCCGACAGCTCCTTCAGTTTCTTTTTCTTCTTCTTCATCTTCTCCTTCCAAGTGATCGTGTACATCATTCAGAGTGTTGGAATCCCCAAGTGGGGAAACAGGTTAGTTAACACGCTTTAGTTTTGTGACGCTATGACCTTTCAGCAAACGCAGTTCTGCGTGTTTGTGTGTGAATGTCTGTGAACATCTTTTGTTCTTCCTTGATGTGTATCCTCTCTCTCTAATCTGCTGAAGTGTGCACTGTCCTGGTGTGAAGGCGAGATCATGTTTTTGCTTCTCTATAAATATGCATGATTTGGGTTTCTTGCACAGTGATATCCAAGTCATATGTGTATCAGCAGATCATCTACATTGGAGCGATTCTTAGATTTGACCACTAATTCAAGCTGAAAATTAGATTTTGTTCTAATTTCTACCTTTTGTGTGTATCAACAGTGACAAATACAGCACTGTGCAAAAGTTAGAGGCCATCTTTTTATTTATGTTATTTGTAGTCAAAACGGCCAATAATTAATCATTTTCAGCTCCAGGAAAAAAAATAAAACATATATTTAGCAGAAAATTACAAAGAAACGACAACAACTAAATATAATATCACACTTTTCAGTATTTAGCATTTCCAGGCTTTTCCTTTATTACAGCTTTGGGGGTCTTGCTTTCAGTTTTTTAAAGAAATCTGCAGGGATATTTTTTCACACCTCCAAAGTTCAGTCTTAGAAGTTGGTTGCATTTTCTGCTTCTTACAGTCCAAATTGATCCCACTAACAAATGTAGACTCATCAGTCCAGTTTCAGGGTTAAGTGCAAATTTCCTTTTCGCAGTGAGGTTCTTCTTGTCAGCTACACATCCTTTCAGACCCATAGCGCTGAGTCGTCTTCTCACAGTGGAAGGATGGACAGAAACACCTGTGGATGTTTTCAGATCTGAAGCAGCTTGATTTTCTGAATGAGAGCTTTAAGTGCTGTTTGTCTGATGGTGACAGTGGTGGTGTCTACCTGGTCTTGCATGGTTGTTAGGAGTTCCAACTTCTCTGTATCTTTTATTTTTATTCTGAACTCCAGTTTTAGAAACTCTTGCTTTTTCACAGATTTTCCTTTGACTTCCTTCCTTATGCAAGTGATTGTGTAGTGTTTGGGTAGCTGGATAGTTGCTTGTGTGAATGTTAGTGTCTGTTTGAAGGGGAACTTGATGTCAGTGACTCCTTTGGGGACAGATTTTGCTGGGAGGACACAGCTGGAACAACCTCTTCTCTTAGTGGGCTTGTGCTTGTCTGCAAAGTTCTTTATTTTCATGCTCCTTTTCAGTGTTTATTAACCATTCGAACCCCAGGCTTACAGTCATATGCAAAAGTTTGGGCACCCCTGGTCAAATAATCCGTTTTGTTGATTTTCTAAGTGAAACTAAGTTACACATCCTCTACAGAGAACACACTTCTGCACATTTTAATACACAATTAGTGTTTATTTTGCTGAATTTAACATATTGGGGAATAAAATGTAAAACATGCAAAAGTTGTTTTCTGTTTTTTTTGTTTTTTCTGTTTTTTTTTTCCTCCAATATATTAAACACAGCAAATAAATAGAAATTGAGCACTAAAATTAGCAGAAACATCATTTGACCAGCGGTGTTAAAACATTTGCATATGACTCTTTTATTCAGTCATTAATCTTAATATGTATTAATCATAACTACTATCAGTTATTACTACTATAAAACTACTATGTACGTTTTGTTTTCATGAGATTGAGGAGTGTGGGCTCACATACAGGCCCTCAGGATTTAAGGAGTTAACTGTGTTTCGTGTGAGAGAGTGGAAGATTGCTGAATCATTGTAAATCTGTTTGTTTGTAGCGGTTGGATCTCTGCCATCTCTATGATCGGAACCAATCTTGCAGTTGCTGTCTTCATGTTGGTTGTAGCTGGATTCTTCACAGTTAATGCAGTGCTGGCAGTTGTCTTACTGAAAATGGTAGGTAACAAAATAAATAGCCCCCTTATGCTTTAGTATTAGCAGAACGTTATTAGAGTAATGATAATAGCATTAGAGTTTATAGACTCCAGTAAAATATAAACTTGATTATTCATTCGTGTGGCTCTTACGCAGCTCAGCAGTAGTTTCTTATGCTTTGGTCTTGTTTGCTCATTTTTCCGCAGGTCCACTCTAAGTACAGGCGGACAGGCGCTAGCTTCCAGAAGGCCCAGCAGGAGTTCTCTCAGGGCGTCGTCACCAACAGAACCTTCCAGACTGCTGCGGCCACTGCGGCCTCTTCCGCTGTTCAGGGAGCCTTTCAGTAACACCCGAGCTGACTAAGTCTGTTCTGTGCCTTGGGAGGAGTTTCACAAAGCAGGATTTTTAGTAATGCTGGATAACTTAAGGCAAACGTTGGACAGACTTGACTTTGGGCTTAAAGGAATACTCCAGAGCTTTCCAAACCTAACCTCTCTCTGCCTCATCTGTAGCGTACAGCTGATTACCATGGAGGATAACTTCAGTGTCTTAATGTGCTTTGTAAAAAAAATTGAGAAAAGCTGTTGACTTGAGATACACTTACAAAGCCAATGGGCAGGTACTGAAGGCTGAAAACATCAAAAATGCTGGAGTATTCCTTTAGTAATCCATGGTTTTTGTTGTTTTTTTGTTTTTTTTTCTCAAAAATTCTGCATAGTTCAATCACTGAGATGTAAGCAGTCATTCAGAGTGGTTTGGTGTGAGATTGAATTGTAGAGAAACCTACCCACTCACATATCTTTACAGTGGTGGTGATAGAAGCCAGGGGTTGTGATGTCTACTATCCAAAACCACCTGTGAACCTACACGTCACGTGTCTTCTGTGTTGTTATATGTAATGTTGATAACGGTAAAATAGTGGAAAATAAGCTTTCTGTGGGAACAGCTTTGCCTTATAACACCTACATTTAGACCAGAAGCATCTCACAACTGTTGGAAAACAATGTCTCAAGCTTTGTACCTAATAACTTTGTGAGGGAGCATTTAAAGGCATGAAACTCTTCAGACGTCTGGTTCCCATCACCACCACTGTAAACAATTCCGACTTGGTAAGTTTCTCTAGAACGGCACATTTCACAGCTGCTCTGAGTTACTTTGTTTAATTTCCCTTTAAGCTACCTGGCTAACTGAGAAATCCTGCTATGAGAAATATCCCAGTGTCCTACACTAATCCTCCAGTCAACACCGCTCTGCCTCAGTCTTTACTGTCTGTCTAGGAGGATTGTGTCTGCTTCGATTACTGATGGAATGCACTCATAAGGTTACTGAAGGAACATTGTATAGGTGTACATTAGAGGTCAATACCGAGGGGGGGAAATAATACAAGTAGGATTTTTCATAGTGTAAATAAAGACTTTTCTTATTTTTAACTTTTTGAAGTTATTTAAAATCAGTTTTCTCACAGTTAAATGAAATTCTCCAAGTAGTCCCACTGGCTTAGGAGGCCAAGTGCCACACCAGTAACACATAACATGATGAAGTGCTTCATTATATTGTCACTGTCATATCAAAGTCTAATCTTGCAACTCTGCCCTTTATATTGTGTGACCAAGTGTGAATGTACTAGGAATAAAATCTCTTACATTAATATATTAAAGTGAAGATTTAATATTCTAATATACCATCTTTTCCTTACCAAGTTACCACTTCGGAGATGCAAGTTTTTGTTATGACAGTGCTGTGATTCTCCTCCATGCAGAAGGAGGAGTGGCAGCACAGCCAGCTGCATCCTCGGTTATGGATGGCACATGGCACAGCTGGGACCCGAACCTCAATCCCATACATACACAGCACCTCTGCACTGCAGAGTGATGCTTTTCTTCAAAGTACTATTAAGATTATAAATGAGTAATTGGTAATAGCAACATTGTAAGAACATTATTTTCTTATTTGATTTAAGGTCATTTTAAGGTGTTTCTATAATCATGGGCACTTTCTGACAGTCAGCAAAATCAGAAATGCATCAGACAGACCGATGCTGTCTACTGTAGGATCTTAAATGGATAAAAAAGTCACCATTATAATCGTTGTAATCATAAACCATTATCATTTACCATTGTAATCATAAACTCGCTCCTAAATGTTATATTTTGAGTTATTAGGGAACCCTAAAATTATTTAATATTATTAAAGCCGTAGTTTTCCTTCCGTGCTGTGTATTTTGAGTGAAATACGCTACAAGGGAAGGTTTCTGAGCCAGCTGATAGTTTCCTCTCGATGATAGGTCGGGGTGGAGAGATGATATTATTGGTCAATTTTATTTTTCCCCGCCCACTGGTGCACAGTGATGTAATCAAAAGCTAAGGCATTTTAGAGGCAGTGAAGTCACTACATTTTGAACATTACAGGAAAGCAATAATTTTCTCTGTTGAATGATGTGATGAGTCATGCTTAATATGACCGGAGACATGAACTACTAATGTAAAAAAAAATCAGGTTGACTTAAAAATCATCAAAATGTTCAGTTGGGACATGTGGCATCTGAAAAAGCAGAGTTTATGAACAGAGAAATTGTTCATTTATGTGGCAGAAAAGTGCCCATAGTTACAGAACATCTTTGAATGCTGAATCAGTGAATTGCTGTGTTAGTATGTGCTGCTACATGACTGTGCAGATAAAATACATCAAGCACATATTACTTCTTGTCTTTGTATCGTAAATAATATGTTTATGGCACATTTTAAACAAGGAATGTAGAAAACAAGTGATGCTGCTTCTGTGAAAAATATCAGAAAAAGTTTTTTTTTTATTTATTTCCTCATGTATCAGCAGAAACTCTGTACAATATCCTGAAAATCTTGATATATTGAGATTGAAGTTGGAGAGTCAGTTGACTCCATCAGATTCTGCTGCATTAGTTTTAGTTTACCCCCCCAGTAAGTCTGTTAGAATGTAAACGTATTGTTTGAAGTTTTACTTTGCATTGAGCCATCTCTGACTGTTTTGTGGTGTTGTCAGTGTGTTACACTATAGTGTGTGTGTGTGTGTGTGTGTGTGTGTGTGTGTATATATATATATATATATATATATATATATATATATATATATACACACACACACACACGTATATGTATACTATAGATGTTACATTCTTGACACACTCGTTTTCAGTGTTCTCAAACAAAAATTAATGAACAAAATGAGATTCTGAGGTCTTTTTATGTTTCTAATGTGGATGTTGGGGGATATTTTATGTTTAGGTATTTAATACTCAAGCAAAATCACGCTATGTTAATTGTTACTAAGCATATTTGCTGTTCACTGACTTTAAGGGGAATGTTAGTGTGGTTCATTTAAGATATTGGTTATTTTGTGTACTTATTTGTTTTCATTTGTTTTCATTGGCTGCAAAATTAAATTGCTTTGGGAGTTACATTCCATCATGCTTCTGTTGTCACATTATAGTCTTTTACATCATGTTTCCACTAGAGGCCAGCTTAAAGCAGAATTCCTCAAATTTTTCAAAGTTTTTGCATAATTCAGCCTTTGAGATGTAAACAAAGTCAACCAGAGTGGTTTGATGTGAAATAGTTCATTGTAGAGAAACTTACAGACTCAGGTTTCTTTACAGTGGTGGTGATGGGAACCAGGAGTCACAATATCCACAACACAAATACAGGCATTTTATTTACTATCCAAAACAGTCAGTGAACCTACACATGTCTGCTGAGTTTTATATGTAATATTAATGGCACAACACTGTTAATTTTCCTTGAATTGTATTTTCCTCTTGAGGTCAACTTATGTTGGTGATTTTATTTACCAAGAATTATTCATAAATCATGTTTACATGATTTTTCAGCCTCTTTTATTTATTAGAATTAGACTGGCTGTTTTGTTACTGTGCTTTTAAGACTGACCTATGTAAATGCTCTCTGTTCTGATTGGCTGTCCTGTGTTGTGCCTCATTTAAGAAGCATTCTGAGCTGAAACACTCCTTATAACCTCTGCATGAATAGGCGGGGATAAATTTTGCAGGATAAATAGCTGGATATTTGAAAGAGTTGGTTTTCATGACATTACAGACACAGCATAGTTTCCCTAAATTCACTGTATGGACTGGAAACCGACTGGGATGTTTTGAAACTTTAACAAACTGTATCATTTCATAAAAGTGAGGCAAATTCAGTTTTCCACAATGTGGGCTGTTTAGAAAGTAAACTTAGACCAAAACGTTATTGTAAAATGATCATAAAACATTGTCTCGATGCATCAGGCAGCAAATCTGCAACCATTTCATGTAATAACTTTTCGTGAGAGAGCTTTTAGAAGCCAGACGTCTGGTTCCTATCACCAGCACTGTGAACAGTTCTGACTCAATAAGTTCCTCTAGAACAGAGCATTTCACATCAAACCACTCTTAATGGCTTTGTTTACATGTTAATTTAATTACGCAGAGATTATATATAAAATTTCTTTTGAAATAGCCAGGTCCCCAAATGTTGAGCTACATGTAGGTAATTACTTTATTTGACCAGCAGTGGGCAGAGTTGCCTTTCAAATTCCACTCAATTCGTTTTTTTCTCTCTCTTTCCTGGATTTGCACATTAGAGTTGCACTTAAAAGCCTATTCTGAGGATGATAAATATCTTTCAGTTGGTCTGTTCATTCTATGTTTTGTTAAAATCTAAAAAAATACTTGTCTGTTCACAATCATTCACTACATTACATGTCTGATTTGCTTTATCAAATATCTGATTACAGAGATAGTGGAATCGAGAGGAAAGGAACAGCTCCTGTAATGATTTTATAATGTAACGTTTCGAAACATTTCTGAAAATATCCACTGCAGAAAATTTCCATCTACACTGACAAGGCAGTTGGTTTCACAGTTTGGACTCTCTGTCTCTCAGTCCCTCTCCAAACTCAGAGACCCCCTGGTGTTTTCCCTGCAGAGCCTTTTTATCTGTGTCTGTGCGCCTCGTCTCTCTCTGCGCAGTGACAGACACACTCTCGCCCGGGAGAAACGCAGAGCTGACAGCATCTCCGCCATGAAAGATGTAGCCATTAGTGTTTTCATGTCAGCTCCGTTTTCTACCCATTCAAGCCTCTCATGATTTATTCACTTGTTTATTTGTGAAATGAGTGAGATGGAGAGCGGCCTTATACGTGACTTATACATGACCAGCATGAGTGGTCCACAACCTGATTTAGAAAGCTTAGTATGACAGAAACACTGAGTGGGATGCTCAGAAAGACAAAAGTACAAAAATGTGTTTGTGTTTGTTTAAAGAGTCATTCTCATTTTAATTTGTTTTTAATACCACTGGGCGTTTTAATAAGATAGTTTACAGTCTGTTACAGTCGACAGTCGTCCAGTCATTATTTATGAGCCCATTAACAATCCATCCAAGGCCCTTCAGTTTATATAACCCACTCAGACTCGCCTTAAAAAAACTATCAACAAAACAGATTAGTGTCATCTGCGCTTTTTTGGATGTTTTAATAGTCAGCGCAGTTTTCTCTTTGATGAATGTTCAAGCACTGGCAGACTGCAGACTGCAGGTAGTGCCAGGCTCACAGATCTGTAGGAGAAAGGCTGGAATAGTGACTTTGCGGACAGAACAAGTGCCCTCAGCCTCCAGACCACCAAAGGGTCCTAAAAGATTCCATGTATGCATAGCATTTTTGCACCTTTCCCAATCCGATGACAGGCCACAGACTCAAGCTTTTGCTAAGTGGGAGGTCCTACTGTCCGTTTTGATACTATTTTTAGCATGCCCTCGTCCCTGACCCCATCACAGTGACTGCTCCATTACAGTAACGAGAAAAAGTATGTGGAACTACTTCTGTCTTGTCCTTATTGAATACATCGTTCAAACATTCACAGTGTAGGTGAAAAAAGGATATGCACCCCTAGGCCAGGGGTGTCCAATCTTATCAGCAGAAGACCAGGGTGGCTGCAGGTTTTCACTCCATCAAAGCAGGAGCTCATATGATCAGTTATTTGAAGGCTGAGCATTTGATCAAACAAGTAGAGTCAGGTGAGCTCCTGCTCGTTTCGAATGAAAACCGGCAGCTACGCTGGTCCTTTGCGGGTAAGACTGGACAACATTGCAGGCACTGGCCTCTAGACACTTGTGAAGTATGGCCATGCTGATGGCCAGGGGACTCATGAGCTGCGCACCCTTTGGAAAAGGGGACTTGAATGTTATGTTGTTGTTTGTCAGTTAAAACTATGTGGTACGTGTTTATCGTGTTATCTTGCGTTGGGCTGTGGGTGTTTTGTGCGTAAAACGTTTCCTGCTTTATTGGAGCTGTGTTGGCCCTTGTTCCCTGTGTGCTTTAAGTACCTCCTGTTTTCAGTCTTGCCTTTGTTATGCATTGTGTGAGTTTGCTACCTTTGTCTTTCATGGGTTCTGGTCATTTTTCCTCGCTCCTGGACTCCCCTTATCTGTTCCTGGTCTACAGTCTTCTGGTTTGTCTCATCATGTTTGATTTCTAATTTCCAGTCTTTGTCGTTTTTGTTTTCTCCTGCTGTTTTTTCTGTATAGTCATCAATACATTGTTTGTCTTTGCCACTCTGTTTGTTAACACTGTCAACATGGACTTGTATAAAACTTACTTGCAAATACATCCATGCTCCACAAGTCCACTGTTACACACAGTTTATGACCAATTAACAGAAAACTAGGTCATTCCAAAGGGTTTACATACCCATGTTTGATTGATGAACTTCTGAAGGGGTGAGAAATCAAGTCTCAGATAGCAAAAGGATAGCAGGCCGCTAATGGCACAGCTGGCAGCCCACTGGCTTTTTGCTCAGCATTTTCTGGGCAGCCCGCTGGTGGATAAGCAGAGAGTTAGACAAAATGCCACTTTTCATCACTCATTTTCCATTAATCTTCCAATTCAGTTATTTTTCCTTCGTTTCTTTCTTTTGTTATCCTTTGTAAATAGTTTGGTAAACAATTTTGATGAACAACATTTTCAACGTCATTTTACATCAGGCCTGGTCATTTTTCTCTTAGTTGTAATATTTGTCTTAGTTTGTTTTCCAAGATAAAAGGCTCTGTGCATTTAAAATCTGTTTGAAGTTATTAAAACTACTTAGATCTTGTAAGCAGGACAGTAATCTGGGTGGTCTAGCAGTGGCATACAGTCAGCGGGATGCCAACATGTGCTTGCTGTCTGGGTCAACATAAACGCAGACTTTAGGAGTTGAACTTGCCCAGAAATCATTGCAATTTAACACAATTTCCTTCTCAAACATGCAAGAAGTTTAACTCAGAGCAAAAAAACACTGTAGCAACCCCACTACTAGCTGGCACTGGCCTCTAGACACTTGTGAAGTGTGGCCATGCTGGCCAGGGGACTCATGAGCTGCGCACTCTTCGGAAAAGGGCACTTGAATGTTATGTTGTTGTTCGTCAGTTAAAGCTGCATGGTATGTGTTTGTGTTATCTTGTGTTGGGCTGTGGGTGTTTTGTGCGTGAGAGGTTGGTCACCATGAGAGTGAAGCCTGTGAAGGGTAGTGGTGACCTCCCTAGTAACCTCACTAGTGGTGTTTGTGCTCCTGTAAATGCCTTTCTGCCCTGGCATTGGATAAAGAGCACTTATTCCACGCTGACCCTTCAATTCTGTAACGTTTTCTGCTGCTAAGAAAAAGGAAACAATTATTAAGTAAAAAGTTTTCTGCTTTATTGGAGCTGTGTTGGCTGCAGCCACGCCATACAACAAGCCAGGCTAATGGCTAATGGCTAGCTCCAGTATAGCTAGGGCCTAGGCCTTCCTCCAGAGGTGGGGAGAGAGCCCGCAGCACGTCCGCACCATTCCGCTCCTAGATCTCCTTTGTGGAAGCACAAACCCCCAAAAATGGCAGCTTCCAAAGTTCCCTAGCATAACAAACCCCAAACACATTTTCTGAACACCCTACAATACTTTGAAATACTTAATATTTCAAAACTATAACATTCCATTTGCTATGTGCAAATCGGTCTTAAGCCAGGCAAAACAATTATTTTCAAAGTTGATGTATGTTATGCCACCCCACCGCGAC